ATGCTTAAAAGTCTTATTCTCTCCCTGAAGTCAAAGCAGCATAGGGATGACACATTCTTCTTGACAGGGATTTTTATTCCCTTCCCCAGAGTTCAAGCTGTGATGGGACCAGCGTAGGTGTGCATCCAATCTTCATGGGTGTGGGGGAAACAATCAACAAAGTTTTTTGTCCACTGATGTTCCACAATGGTTCGTCTGGTGTCTATTGGTCTTCTTCTGTTGGGCAGGTGATGACAACTCTTGTGGCAGTATTTCACACTTGACAATGCTTCTCTCTTGACTGTGGGGGTTTCCAGTTTCATAGCAAGCACTTTTATAGTTACAATGTGAACACTTCGTATAACATGGGAGATTGATGCAGTGCAGCAACTCACAAGCATTTCATGAAGTCCAAACACATCTCTATAAATCTAATACCTATTTTAACAATTCTAACACACAGGTGAGCTAGACTGGTTTTGCAGCTATGCCTTTGTCCATGTTCAAATAGGCTTAGGGGCCTTGGAATAAGCTGGCACCTGGTGTGCCAACCTCACAACTGGCTTTAACATAACAGACGCAGTGCACTAGCTTTAAAGAGTTTTTTCAATCCCTTCCTAGCACAGATCTCTACCTCCAAGGCTATATGCATCCATCCAGCATCCTCTGCTGGTTATGGTCATTTTCTGCTGTGAGGAATTCTTAGGTACAGAAACAGTCAGTTGTTGGAACTCCTTGCTATCCATGCTTCACAAGAACAGGCATCGGGAGAGCTGGATTCCATTACCTTATTGTGGTTGGCATGAGCTTTGTTGATTTGCATTAATTTATTTTAGATTTATATGATGTCCCCTTCCATAAAGCTAAGGCCATACAAGTCTGCATCATTTCGGAGGTCGACCCCCCAGCCCATTCCTACCAAAAAACTCAAACCCCTCCTACCTATTTTAAGTGTTTTTGAAAGGTCCTGGATTGATAGTCCTGAGAACACAAGTCCTCATCATCCACAGAATAAAATCATCAAGAGGATGGCTCAGCCTCCATGTCAATTGAATTCTGGACTCCTCAGGCTTTATCAGTTCCTCTTCAAGACTGCAATGTCCAGTGTATCACCTTGCATTTAGTTTCCACTTGCACAGATGTACCAAGAGCAGAGAAAACAAAGGAGACAGCCTGGCAGAGAAACAGTTATTTTATTTGCTAACTGGACAACTCTTGGTTGTTCGTTTGTGCACACAGTTCTTTCTGGAGCAGGTTTTTTACCACCTGCAGCAATTTCAGGGGCATCTTCTTTTTCCAGGGTCCAGGCTACCTCCCCTCTCTTCCTCTGTGTATCCCACCAGTTTCACTACTAAATTCCTATTTTTTTTCCATATTGTTCTCTGTTGCCCAAAGTCCCCTGTAGTGATAATTGGGCCTACCTTAACTGTGAGCTCAACTATGAAAAGTGTAAAACGTCACAATAACCTGTAACAACAAATATTGATGGAAAAAGGTGCAAAAGCGAGACAAAAACCGAATTAGTCGAAACAAAAAGGATTACCATTGTTATTCAAGGACTGCGTTAAGTAAACAAAAACACTGGTAAACAAAAACATTGAGGAATTGGAAATCAATGAACTAAAATTAGTGTGCTAGGTCTAATTGGTGGACAAAATAATGAGAGGACAGGCTATTCCACCTATCACTCCCTTTTGGGTCCTTAAAGAGAGAAACCTGGGGAGAAATGTTGGTTATTGGCACGAGCTCTATTGACCTGCCTGGCAACTTTTCTGAACTTTGCTGCTCAGGTGGTTCAAGGGACCCTGGGATACCCACCCACACTGCACTGCTCACATCAGTGCAGCATGCTGCTACATGCACATAAGGGTTGTGCCATACTATGGTGTAAGCACAGCAGTGTGAACACACCCCACTGAAATAGCTGTATGGCTTTAAGTAAATCAGTGTCAATGATACTGGTGCAACATGCACGTGTAGACAAGCCCTAACTATGGGGGGAGACTGTGGCAGTAGCATAAATTGAAGTTACCAATCTACAGGCACAGTCCTGTGGAAACAAATCAAGATGGGAGGCAACCTAGGACCGTCTGCCCACTGTTAACCACCTTGGTACTTTAACTGGAAAATAACTGTGCAGAGCTCTCTCCAGAGAAAGGACACAGAGCAAGGAGGTGTTCCCTATCTATCGAGCACAAACATAGAGATGCAATCAGGCTCCCACAGAACTCTGCCCAGACCTCTTGAAACATCTTCCTGACGCCCAAACCACAGAGCTCTATACCTGTGATTAGTCCACGTCAGCACCAGTAAAACTTATATTATTTAACACAAATACTAATGGAAGCAATATTAACAGAACAGCACTTTCAGGTGGATGCAACACACATATATACATTGCTCTTTTAAACCTTTCACATTCCTGAGTGCTCGACCATAGCCAGAATAGGAGGACTGGGTTGTTTGCCATACTATAGAGCAGTGGTTCTCAAACTGTGGGTTGGGACCCCAAAGTGGGTGGCAACCTTGTTTTAATGGTGGTGCTAGGGCTGGCATTAGCCTTCTTGGGGCCTGGGGCTGAAGTCTAAGTCAGAGCCGCACTGCCCAGGACTGAAGCCGAAATCCAAGGGCTTCGGCCTTGGGCGGCAAGACTCAGGTTACAGCCCCCCTGCCCAAGGCTGAAGCCTTCACGCTTTGGCTTCGCTCCCCCCCAACCCCCCAAGGCAGGGCTCAGGCTGGGGTCATGTAGTAATTTTTGTTGTCAGAAGGGGGTCATGATGCAATGAAGTTTGAGAAAACCTGCTATAGAGATTACAATTCACAGGCAGGCCCCAACAGCCTGCAAATGAAGATGCAACTGGCCAGGGTACCACCGGCTTACTGTTAAAAAGAGAGTGCCGTTATTTTGCCTCAGCAAATGAACCTGAGCTGCTCTCCAGTTAATGGAATTATGGGCTGAACTTGGAGTAGATAAGACATTTTGGGCCACATTCACAGTGGCCACTGAAGTGAGCAATGTTGGCCAGCTGTAGACAATGGGAGAACTTAGGCTGAGGTCTTCGTATTTGGCTAGCACAAATATTGCACTATATTGCAAACACAAAAGTGTACACAAAATAAACACTTATAACAAAATATGACATTGTGACAATACACTTGGCACAATGTTCCAATAAAAAGAAAACTACCAAGAGCTGTCACTTGGACAGAGCGTTTTAAGAAAATCTAGAGGCTTAGCCAAAGCAGACCACCACCTAGAAGACCATCTCACAAACTCGAAACTGGGCCAAAAAAGTTGTTCTAACTGGAGACAACCATCAGAAGTATCTCTGCTCCAGGCATAAGAAAAAGAGAAAAAATTTGGTGGAATATATAACCTTTTAGAAATTATTTAAGTTTCTACCCTAGTAGTAGGCTTGTGTGCCCTACCACAATGCAGTCCAAGGGTTTAATATTATTGGACCTTCCTCTCTATTCTAGCATGAGTTGGAAATGTAGTGGAGGTAACATACTCAATTCTTCTGGCTAATTAAATGAAGCACTGAAAACGGAACCCCTCCATACCTGTTTGGCCAGAGGAATGGCTAGTAATGATTAAGGTGGCTAGGGAACTTACAGAGTCCCAGAGGGAAGGCTATTTTCCAGGAAACACAGGATCACCACCTACCAACAGAGCAGGTCCATCTCTGACTAGGAAATGTTTTTCTTTTGGTGTTTGTGATTAGTGTGAATGAGACTGTGCAGCCTCTCTCTCTATAATGAACTCATCAGCAGCACTGAAGAGTCAAGTAAAGCCTGGGTAAAGGTTTTGATAATCATAGAATCATAGAATATAAGGGTTGGAAGGGACCCCAGAAGGTCATCTAGTCCAACCCCCTGCTCAAAGCAGGACCAATTCCCAGTTAAATCATCCCAGCCAGGGCTTTGTCAAGCCTGACCTTAAAAACCTCTAAGGAAGGAGATTCTACCACCTCCCTAGGTAACGCATTCCAGTGTTTCACCACCCTCATAGTGAAAAAGTTTTTCCTAATATCCAATCTAAACCTCCCCCACTGCAGCTTGAGACCATTACTCCTCGTTCTGTCATCTGATACCATTGAGAACAGTCTAGAGCCATCCTCTTTGGAACCCCCTTTCAGGTAGTTGAAAACAGCTATCAAATCCCCCCTCATTCTTCTCTTCTGCAGGCTAAACAATCCCAGCTCCCTCAGCCTCTCCTCATAACTCATGTGTTCCAGACCCCTAATCATTTTTGTTGCCCTAAATAATCTCCCCCCAAAAACCATTTGGAAGGCAAGTCAGAAATGCAAAGCAAGTGCCTGGTGGGGAAGAGTGTGGAAAGAGCTTTGAAGCTGGCTGTTTCCCTCTGCTCAGCTGTTTAGGGCGTAGAAACTAGTAAGGAAGGTGTGATGGAGCTGCTAAGGAAGCCTGAGGAGACAGAGTGCACCAGCTTCCTAAATGGCTTCTGCATGGGTTATTTATTCTACAGTGCCATAGTGTACATGGAACTCCACAGATAGACAAAGTCTCTGCCTTGAAAGCAAATAAGGACCCAATCCTGTGAGGTGGAGAACCCCTTAAATTCCCTTTTACTTCAGAGGGACTAGTGGGGCGTCAGCACCTTACAGGACTGGGGTCTTGCTTATTCCTAAGTATCTTCTCTTTAAATTTTGTGGCCTGGGATCCAGGTCTATCTGTCTAGATATTTATATAGCTTTCTCCCCACCCCACCCCAAAGTATCTGAGCACCTCACAAATGTTAATTTATCCCCCCATACCAGCACAGGGTAGGGCAGTTCTATTATCCCCCCATTTCACAGACAGAGAACGGAGGCACAGAGAGATTAAGTGACTTGCCCAGTGTCACACAGGAAGTCTGAGGCAAAACAAGGAATTGAACACAGGCCTCTTAAAACCCAGCCCTAATCCTTCACTTCAACGGCTCACTTCTGGGTGAAGCGTGGAAGATTATTTTTCTTGGTAATAGTGTTTCGGATTGCAAAAACTATGCTGCTGAAAAATAAATGTTACCAGCTTTTATTAAAATAGCAGCATTTTACTATACATGCAGGAGATGATTTATCTGAGCATAAAGTTTGAAACAGCTAGCATTTCTGGAACCACAGATTCATATCCCAGCAGGGTCCAATTGACCTTACTTGTCTTTGAGGTAGATGAGTTTTATGCAGTTTATTGTATGGGAGCAGTCTCAGATTGAGACCCTAAAAAATACTGAGGCTTTGTCTGCTGTATGTACACGCTAAAAATCCCACTGCATGTTTTGTGGGACTAGGGAATTGCCCTGTTCTCCTTGGCCAAAATTTTCCCTCTCCCCAAAATCCATCTCACTGCTATACAAAGCTGGCTGCTGCCTTCTAAACCAGAGATGGCTGTATTTTGCCAATTAATTTCCATTTATGTTGCCATACACCCCGGTCACATGAGGACACTAACACCCCTGGAAAAGAAACAAGTAAAAAGACATCCAGGTAAGAGATGCACCACTGAAGATTTTACCATACACTGAATTTCACTTCTAATCTCACAGGACAGTCCTGCAAGGTGGATTTTACAGACTCTAGTCTACTCACACTGGAACAGGGATATAGTCACTCTGACCCCAAAGACAGGAGTTTTGTTCCAGCCCAGCTCTCACCCATTTCTCATATACCCACATTTGTGGTGGTCTTTATAAATAATGGAGAAATTAATCCCTATATACTTTTGCGCTTAAAAACAAAGCTAACCAAAACCTGTTGTGTCCACAGCAGTGTTAGATGCCCTATCTGACAGATAAATGATAATCAGCGGCTCTTTCATGTTGAACCATAGCCCCCACCCCACCCTTCTGATATGGCAGTGAGAAAGCTGGTTTCCTACAGGAGGCAATAATGCAGATTTTGTGCTGCTGGAACAATTTGATTTTGGACAATGAATGCTAAACCAACCACATACCAAATTAACATCCAGTTTTAAGGCAACAGCTTGCACTCTGGGATTAATAAATGCTTTACATGAGGAATCTAGTGGCTCCACAGAGTGTAAATCATTTAAATTTGAGAGGGAATAGACCAATGTCCACTTGTCACTGTAGGATTAGCTCCCTAGACCACATTTGCTGGTGTCTTGTCCATTCTGATTTTGGAGACTGTTCCACATGATAAGAGATCTCACTGGCAGGATTCCAAATCATTAATGTACAGAGAAAAGAACCATGGTCTTAAAACAGATCATTAACACCCCTCTGGTTTAGCTATGGAAAGTCATCTGCACCTATTGTGTCCACAGTAACCCACGCAGCACCTATTTCACCTGCAGAAACCCAGAAGTGCTTGCAAAAGTCTGTATTTATTCAGATTGCCAGCAAACCCCACCACTACCAGTCATTTCCGCAAACACAGACATTGTGACCAGTTGGCCCACTGGTTGTACCTATCGCACTCTCCTTTGGCTCCACGTATTAGCGATTTCAGGAAGACCTCATCCTGAATGGTAATCGTTTACCATCCACCTGATTTAATAAGAAGAGCGCTGGCTTATCCAATGCAAGATGGGATCGTAAATGAACAGAAAAAAAACCCTATTGCTACTGTGATGGGGGTGGACTTCTAGGCACTGGGAATATCAGTTTCTTCCTCAAGGTGTAGGCTGGCTGGGGCATCTGTTTCTTTCTTCCCAAGTTGTCTGCACGTTTGCTCACATTTTCATTGACTTCAGTAAGAATTGACAAGATGTCTTCACCTCTACAGCCAGAGAAAAAAAACAGTATCTCTGATTAACCAGAGTGCTATAGTTAACCCTGATTCACAGAAACAATGCCAGTAGAACATATTGGCAACACTGCACTCTTAACATGCAATAGTATTCCACAAACACACTAAACACTTTTCTGAATTCAGTATGAGGCTTCAAGACTACGGAGGCCACATTCCTACTCCCACTGAAATCAACAGTAACTCTCTCATTGACCTCAATGGTAGTAGAATGGTCTCCCATGTACCTAACACAAAGAATCACACACAAACAATACTGGTGTGACAGAATGAACTGCCACATGGGGAGAGAAAAAAAGAAAAACTTCACAAGCAAATGACACCCATTAATCAGTCCTCTCAGTGGCTGCTGGCAGTGTGAGGGTCTGGACTGTATAAACCAGACCCAGTTCATTCCAGAGAGAAGAAGGAGAGACAACACCCACAGCAACAGGAGGCAGTGGGAATGCTAAGCAGGAAAACAGCTCCAGAAAGGGGCAGAAGAATCACCTTGGGAAAATGGCACATGTGTCACTGTATAGAATACAGGAGACACTTTATGATATTATGGATACTAATATTGTAAAATTGCAATGAGTCATGCCAGGTATGCCGTGTAAGGTATCTGTGAAAATGTTATAATTTGCCAAGTATGATAATCTTGCTTATATGTTTGCATCACGTTTGTATTATGAGTTATAGGTATGTAAGGTATATCTGTATTTCAAACTTGTGTTGTGCATCTGAGTGACCCCCCAGACAGAACGGCATAGCCTGCTTGATGGCCCATCAAAGGACATCGGCTGTACAAAGGGACTACACCTGATGAGTCAGCAAGCCATGTAGTGGCCTGCCTATGGACAAAGCACTCTAAGGCTTTTCCATGTGCTGTGAAGCTTGTGTTTGGGACACAGGAAGTAAAAGCCTCATGGCAAAAGAATATAAAAGGCAACTGCATCATCTCCATTTTGTCTTCATTCATGCTTCTTACCACTGGAGTAACTTTTCTAGAAATGAAGCTCGGGACTCCACCCCTGCACTCAAACCCCCACCCCAACAAACCTTATCCTACCTGGATCTGGACTACCCTGACTAGTTCCCTATACCCAGATTCCCACCAAGCCAGCACCCGGACCTGCATCTCACCAAGCTAGCACCTGAACCCCTCCTGCTGAGCACTCTACACCCAGACCCCCGCGCTGGGCCCCAACCACCTTCACCTGGACTCCCCTGCAGAGTACCATTGTGTCTGCACCCCTATTCATCCAGATCCACCCCACACCAAAACCCACCATCAAGCCACCCACACCCAGATTGCCCCACACAGAACCTTATCACACCACACCTGGATCTCCCCACACTAAGCCTCTCCACACTTGGATCCTACTGGGCTGATCCTGCCTGCCTACAGCTAGTGTGCTTGGCATGGAGGGGCAAGGCCCTAGGATGTTTCTGGGGCAGGCCTGGTCCTTGTGCTGTGTCAGGGTTGGGTGCAGTTTTACCACCGAGTCCATATCCTGGGTAGGGGACGAGAGGCCCGCAGGGTGATCTCTCACTTCTGTGCAGTCAGTTGCCTGTGCTCCCCACTGCCATGCTGGAGCCTCCACATTTATTTATTGACAAATAAAATTTGCAAAATTTTAAAATATTGTGTGCACAATTTTTTGGCATAATTTTAAATTTTTGGCACAGAATTCCCTCGGGAGTAATAATAAATCTTTAGTTCTAGACACTAAAGGATTGGCTGGCAGTATGGTATTTCGGGTAAGAGCCAAATTCCTATTGACCTGGTAATGTGGCTAACCCTTTGGGGTCAGAAGAACATTTTGTATACATGAACAAAGTTTTAAAATAACTTCTCACTGTACTGGACCTATGTGCTGATTGGGAGCCTGGAAACTGGAATGCAATAAAGGGGGCGCTGTGATTTCTTTTTCAGCTTCTTGATAACCAGCGTGGAGGATCAGAAGCAGAGTTTGTGACTGGTTGGTGAGTTTAACTTCAGTGTTACCCACCAGTCTTGGGAGTATCTCCTTTTACTTTTGCAGCCTGCCCTGACCTTGGCTTTTCCAGCCCTAAGTACACTGGGTCACAGTACCGATTTGTGGGAGAATTGGGTACAGGCTGGGACCTACCTCCCTAGAAAATTCTGGATGTGCCTGAGAAGTAAGAGTTATAGAGAACTGGGACTAAAGATTTTGGGTGTAAATGATGATAAACTACTAATACACCCTTTTTGCACGTATTCCTACATTCTCTCTGACATCGTCTCTTGAATGTGCGTAAAATTGGGACCAAGAGACTCTCTGATGCCATAGTTTATCCATGGTACATTTTCGCTCTTCTCTTCCTTAATACAGTCATGAAATAACAAAAGAAAAGTAATGACCTGAATCTGCATTCTTGGGCCAGATTCATCCCTTGTAACTCCATCCAAGTCAGTGAGGTTACACAAGGGATTAAATTTGCCGCCACGCCGTCCCCAGCCCCGGTGCTTGCCACTCTCTACAGCAGGCAAACCTAATCAGAGTTCCTCATGGCTGGACTCGTGCATATCATGCACCTACTACAACAAAGGCTCAAACTGAACACCACGCAGCAGCAAAGTAACACGTACAGTAAGACTGTAGCATTTTCCATAATTCTACCATAGCATCTAGAAGACACTGTGTAGGTATCTAACAGATGGGACAAAGCCCAAACCCATTCAAAAAGAGAACCTGGACCTGAAGCAGCCTTAGTTTTCAGTTTGGTTTGGTAAAACTAAAACCCAGCCTCCTCAGACCATCCCTAACGCCATGGTGCTGCAAACATTTATGTAAGTTTACAGGGACAAGCTAAACACATTACCAGTTTTAAACTGATATGTGTCCACGTAGGAGTTTGTACAAATTAAAAAAATCTAGTGCAAGTTTGTGGGTGGGCAAGCCCTTAGACTTAGGCTTGCCTTTGGTGAGCAAAGATTCAGGCAGTCACTCGCCATTTCTTCACCCACTGGGGTATAGGGGCTTGTTACATGGCAAGTTACTGCACAGGAAGCCAGGGTCAAAAACAGCAGCACACCATCTTGCCATGCAGTAAAGTCCCATGTGGACACTGCTACAGCACAGTAAAATCCTGGAATAGTGCTTGGCATATTACACTTTCAAGCAGTAGTACACCAATCCGCACTCCAGGACTTTCACTGCAGTGTAGCAGTGTCTACATGGGATGTTACTGCACAGCAAGCTGGCCTGCTGTAGATTCTCCCCACCACCCCCGGCATGCCACACAATAACCTACTATGTATACAGCCCTATGTTATCAGTAAATTCTCACTCTCAATCTACACAGAAGTATTACCTTGGTACCAAGAGCTGTAACTTATTGCAGAGGGCTTGAATGTACCAAGTACCATGGTGTATGTGGCGGAAAGATGCATAGCCACCCACTGTGGCCATGCCAAGGAGGAAATCAGCTTCTTCTGGAATGCTTTCGAAAGGGGAGACTAGTTGCTGTACAGGAAGCAAGTCAGGATTCTGTGCATCTGATTCAATGTAGACAGCCTGTTGTATCTCTTTGCCTTGACATGCCTGGATAAAAAAGAGTTTGGGTTTTTCAGCCAGCTGTAGGCATTGGCTGGCTGTGAAGTAGGACATGATCTTGCGGATTGGTACTTCTCGTTCATCTGTCCCATAGACCAATCCTGACTCTCCGTGAGATAGAATACAGCATACAAAGCAGTCCCTGTCTCTGTGATCTTTCGACTGCCATTCCTGCATGAGATTTTCTATTTCTACTGATGTCTTATCAGCATAAGTCTTCACATCCAGACCAAGCCATGTAAACACTTGCGCCAGCATCTCTGTTATTTAAAAAAAAAAGAAAAAAAAGAAAAGGAAAGCTGGGGAGGGTGGGAGGATAATATAATCATAATATAAAATCACTATGCAAGCTAAGCTGAAGAGTAACTGACTTCACACAAAGCAGCACCTGCAAACAAACAACCACACACACTAGAGTAGATTTGAGGATAAATGGAACCCAAACCCAGCACAATCATGAGGCTCAAACATGCCTGAGTTTTTCAGGCCAAAGTTTCATAAAGCAAGGCCTGAGACCTACAGGCACTTTTGTGCATGTACACGCAACCAGCACAAGTGGATGAGCAAAACTGGGATTCTTGGTAGACACTGGGGGCACTTGGCAGAATTTCAGATTGTGTTTGCTCCAAGTAGAACCCTGCTCATTCATACTAGAGAATAGAGACCCTGGAATACTACTGAATATGGTGATTTAGAAAGTAAGTGAACAAACAAAAAGTACAGTCCATCACAAAAAATATCTACATAACAAGAAGAGCTAAAGGCCCTGATTTTGATCTCACTTGCACTAGCATAGATCGGGCATAGATCAACTGAGGTCAAGGTGGCTAAACCACCCCAAGATTTGGATGTATAATCATACATGGTTTTTGGGGTAGGAACTGTCATTTTCTTTTTGTCTGTACAGTTTGTAACACAATGGGCCCCCAACTAGGATGGCCTCTAAACACTATTGCAATATGCACATTCAGTAATATATCAATAGCACATAACTTTGCAACTGAAGAACTCTATATCTTGGGCTCAACTCAAAGAGATAAATCACAAATTGAAGGCATTTTTGATCTGTGAATTAGCTTAATTTACATTAAGCCTCTGAAAATAAGAGACAGAACTATTAATAGTTACATACAACAGATGTCACATTTAATACAATAATGGGTTCAGTGCTCTAAGAAAACTATCAAACATATTTCTCTTACCATAGGTCTAGCTATAGTAAGTCCTGGAGAAGTTTTAATTTGGACACCCTTTTGGAATTACACAGACAGTTTGGTTGCACTGAAAAAGATGCCACTGCAAACTCACTCCTGTCTAGTAATCAATCATGTGTTTAGTTTTCCCCCCACACTCGTGATACAAGTGGCATTATTTGACTTGTATGAGTGTACACTGCTTATAACTATGTACTTAAAATATGAGCAAACAAAACCTATACAGACATTAGAAGTACAACCCATGAAGAGGCAGAGCAGAGCCTAAACCAGAAGTGACTTACCAGCATCTTTATCAGATCCTCTCCTCATCTGAAGAGTCCCAGTAAAGTTAAAATTATTAATAATGAGGCAATAGCCTCTGTGTGGCCCATCCATTTTATAGGTCATCAGCTTCTGTTGACAGGAAGCAGAAAGAAGCTCACAGCTTTTATGAAGGAATTTTATTTTTAAGAAGACAATCTATTGCCTTTAGATTCAAGAGTGCAATCCACCTGTGAGGTTACTATTTCTGTATCCCCCTGGGATTTTCAATCCCCTGTACTGCCTAGAGTTTTTGAGATGCCCCTTTTGCTGTACCCTCCCCCCAGAAGAAATATATTGTCTTCTGTGATATGTGCATATATTTCCATTTGGCATTAACGGGAGGTACATAACATTAGCGGAACAAAAGAAAGACGAAACTCCTTTATCATATAACTGCTCTAAAAATGAACCATCCAGTGCTGTTAAGCTTTGTTTAAAAGCCACAGACTTCTATTAAGTGAAACTTCTTTATTTTACAGCTTATATAATAGAGAGGTATGATAAAAGGTAAGATTACCAAGCAAAATTTAGAAGTGGTATTATTGTACCATCTACAATAATTACTAGTCAGGCAAGGACTCAGCCTATAACAAAGTCAGACAAAGATTTTCAAAGTGAGCAGTGATTTTGGATGCTCTAATTTTTCAGGCTCCCAATTTGAGAAACCTTAAAGAGGCTGGTTATTTCAGGAAATGCTGAACACTCACTCTAACAACCTCTTCAAGGTGTATCAGGTTAGGCACTCAAAAGTTTGAAACAAACATCCAAAATCACTGGTTACTTTTGAAAATTTAGGCCTCAGGAGTGTCATCCTGTATGAGAAGACAGATGTGGAGCCCTAGGCAGACTTCAGTAACTTATTAGCACATTTGACTCTGAGGGGGAAAAGGTTAGCACTTGGGGCAGAGCTTAGCAACAGAATTCTACAGTTGGTAGGGAGTTGGGGATAACTGTCATGAGGGGACAGGAATAGATTATTTCCACAGCTAGTAGGAGGACTGTCTTGGACCCTTGGCACTGTGAAGCCACAGACACATGGATCCCTAACTTTGTCTCTCAAGGTGGGGGGGGGGGGGGGTCAGAGGCAGTTTTTACTCTTGTGCTGGGAAAGAAAACTGACAGAACAGGGGCAAGCAAGGCCACAAGTTTGGCACATGCCTAGGGCTGGCCCTTAGTCTCCAATGTGACTATGGTAAAAACTGAAAAGTCATCTGGATTCCAAATATTGTCTCTTTAAATCTACAACTCATCCCCAAGATTGATAAGAGCTACTAATTATCAGGGGAGTCTTAAAAAACGGCAGGCTTGACTCTACTCCCAGTTACATCAGTTTAACCCTACAGCCTTTATAATGGAGTGACTCCCAATTTAGTGGGAAGAGAATCAGGGTCAGCTCTTTGTGCTCCTTTGGTGCCAAACTGCACCATTTCTAGAGCAGTGCAGACATCAGTTGATGTTGCTGATGCACCAACATGAATATTTTGGTAAAAGAAATTCTAGGAACTGAAGTGGTTAAATAAAAACAGCAGGATTCATTTTCCCACCAAAACTTCATTCACATCATAGAGAAGAAGACAAGAGGGGGAATTCCATGCTTGCCCAATGGTACAAGGAGAGAAAGAAACTATATCAGGGTTCTAAGAAGGTATTAAGAACAGTGGAAAACTTAGCACTGTCCTTTTAAGCTGAGCAAATCCTCAAAGTTATTGATTAGAGTCAGGAAAGTATTTAGGCGATTGCCTCAAACCTCCGTTTTGCTTTCTGGGTTGCTGATCCTTGCAGGTTGTTCCTGGCTTAGTTCAGAGATGCCTTGAATAACATTTACTGCTTTGTCATCTAGAAAAAAATTATACAAACATTTAGGGGGTTAAATCTACTCTCTGTAGATGCACCAAACCTGAATTCTACTAAAATGCAGCAGTTTTCATGATTATTAAAGTGCTATTACACTAAAAGAAAAATGTAGTAAAAATTCCATTGTCTTACTCAGCAGTTCTCCTCCTGTTTGTTCCAGGTCATATCTACTCACACACTTCAGTGACACAAATAAAATTTTACTCCTATTAGTATTGCAGAATCAACAAGCTCTGGAAGAGTGAGGATGATGGATTCTGCCTCATGGATCTTCAAGAGAATTTTCCACTAGATTGGGGGTCAACTGTGTTCTAAGTGAGTCCCCAAAGGTGGCTGAAGTTGTGGTGTAGGCCCTTAAATCCAATTACAGAATCTTTTTAGGGAATGATGCGGAAGTAGGGAAGAGCCAGTTTGACTCATTTCCAGGTTGCATTCAGGGATCTGGCAGTTAGAGGGCAAAAACCTGATTTTTTGTTTTTAAACTTAACAGCAATTTGACCTTCAGTCATTGAGGCAAATATGAAATCTCATGGTGCCATTTGTGCTGAGTAGAACAATCAGAATTACATTTATTTGGGCAAGAAATATTCCCCCCTGCCTTGCCTTCTTTAGAGCTCTCATTTCCCACTGTACACCTACTAAGGGAATCCTGTAGCTCAGATTGAGTCTAATTAAGCAATAAATATACCATTTATTTAAAATCATGTGAAAGGAAGCAATCTTACACACCCCAGTCCTCGACTCCCTGTTGATTAATGATCTTGATTTACTGTAATTTCTCCAACATGCTACTGTCCTAGGGAAATGCAAACAGCACAGGCACATGCAGTTGCCAAACTGCTGGGGCTGGCAGCATGGTGTTTGGGTTTTTTTGGTGATATGCAGAAGACAGAAGGGTTGAGAAAGGGAGGATTCTTCCTGGGGAGAAGAGGGGAGAGCCTGTATGTGTGGCAGGGAGGGGAGAAGGAGTGGGATTGAAGAGACTGGTGATCTGCCTACGCATAAGCTATTCTCTCATTTCCTCTAAGAGTGCCTGACTGTCTGGTGCTGCACTCTCAATGATCTTAGACAGGGAAAGCTGCAAAATAAGCCCTCTCCTTGTTACTCCTCCAACTGGCCTGTCTCTCCAAGCAAGGGCAATAGACCATAGTACTACTCAAGTGACATTCCAGGAACTCTCCAAATCTGTTTGAACCTGCTCCGAAAATTCATACTCTCTTTACTTTTAGGCAGCCAGCAATAAGAGCTACTTAAAATAAAAACACAGAAAAACTTATTAAGACATACCTTGTCTGGCAGCTATGAAATACACACTCCCAGCATGTTCCCGCAGGCTCCCAGAGTCTATAAAAGCAAGAAAGACAGAAATAAAATTGTCTCATGAGCCCATTAAAATAACAATTTGACTTAATCAGTAGTTACACTAACAGTAACAGAGTCCTATCGCCTTATCTCATAGTATTTGTGTACAATTAAGGGGGCAGACACAGCTTTTTGCCTCTAGTCAGACCTTCTTTAAACTTTCTGGAAAGCATGTTAGCTATTTCCCTGTCACAAGTGACAATCCACAGCAGTGGGATTTGCTGATTACCTGTGGCTGTTCTCTAAATGTGAGCAGCCAATCCCCAAAACCAGCTTGTGCCAACAGGAAAAGAAAAAGCCAACCTAAAGCAAATCAGTCACACTATTTTAAAACTACTGTTGTAAATGGAGACTTCAAAATTTTCTAAAATAAACTAAAATCAGTTAGAAACGTATAAAACTAGAAATATAGACATTAAAAATAAAAACACTTCCCAGAAAGACTTACCATAAATATTAGAATCCAGAGATTTGATAGGGGTCTCCTATATGAAGGAGGAAGAGGGGAATACCTGCATTAAAATCAATGTAATAAAATCAATAAAATAGATTTTAATAGTGATTTTAGCAGAAAAAAAGACTTGATAAGTGTCAGTGCCACATGGCATTTTGGAAAGAGATCGCAGACAGAGGCAAGACAGAGTCCCCAAGGGCAGCAACATGTTTAGCAGTTGAGTGGCAAGGGCCAGACATTTCAGAGCTGCAGCAAGCCCATCAGAGGTGAGCATCTAGAAGAGAGTGCTGCCCGCAGAGGGGGTTTTATTTTCTGGGAAGCTCCACGCGAAAAGCATATATGGTGTCCTTAAATGACACTACACTTCCATTGACCTTATGAGTGGACCTTGCAGCACATGCAGTCACATAGGGTACACTGAAGACAATGGGAAAACTTACTGATGTCAGTGGTGCCAACAGTTTACTCAGGATAAAAATTCCCTATAGTTCAGGAACATGGGAATTACCATATCAGAGCAAAACAATAGTCTGTGTAGTCTGGTATCCTCTCTTCAACCACGGGACAATAATAGATGCTTCAGAGGAGGAAGGCTTCCAGTCCCATGATGCACCTAATTGTACACTATGTATGTCTCTAGCAATGGGGAGACATTTCTTCCTGCCTCAGCTGATGAGCAGTCTATGCCGTGGATAAGAATTGAGAACCCTTGCAATTGTATCCTAGCACATACCATTCTCACTTGTATAAATGTCAAACGCTTTTGAATCTTAGTAAGCTATTTGCTTCAATAACATGCTGTAGCAAGTTCCTCAGGTTTATTCTACAGTGTATACATTTTTTTTAGCATTTTTAAATGTTACCTTTTTCATCTCCCTGAGATTGCCTTCACATTGTTATATTATGAAAGAGGGAAACAGGAACATAAAATGGCCTCATGCAAACTATGCTTTAAAAACAAATGATTGTGCTAGTTTTTCTATTGTGAAAGATGCCAGACTGAAAGCCATGGAAATTGAAGCCCTCTATTTATATATAAACCAGGTACATCACTAATAGCAGCAACACAAACTTCCCTGATTGCCCAATGTACCTCAGCTCTTGCCTAGAGGGAGCATGCTTCTGTGAGGATAATTAAGTCTCCATAACCGCTTAGTCTTTGAACTCATTCCCAATCCCCTGAGCTATCCAGTTCTTCTTTCTTTAAAGACATCTCTTTTGACACTTCTCCCTTCCTAACACTAAATATATTCAAGAGGAATAAGGCATACATGGCTTTTAGGATGCTCTGACCCTAATTATTAAGGCTAAGATTTTGACACGGTAATTTTTAGTAAAAGTCACAGACAGGTCAAGAGCAATAAAAAAAATTTACAGAGCCTGTGACCTGTCCGTGACTTTACTAAAAATAACCGGGGTCAGGGCTAAGTAGGGGGGGAGGAATGGAGTCTGGAGGGGTGGGACCAACAGGCTGAGCCCCCAGCCTCCAGCGGCCACAGGGGAGGGCACAGCCACAGGGACACCCATCCCCCGCTCCAGAGCTGCAGCCCCCACCAAGCCCTGGCCGCATCCCTGGGAAGCCATAGGGGGACACACGCCCCTCCATTGCAGCAGCCGGGCAGGGGCACATGGTCCCAGCTGCAGCCACAGGGCTGGGGCACACAACTCCAGCTGCAGCATAGTCCCCACTGCAGCCCTTGGCAAAAACCACGGGGCTGAGACACGAGGGAGAGGGGTGTGCAGCCACCGGGGGGGGCATGCAGCCTCCATTCCAGAGCTGGCAGCAGTTCTGGGACAGGGGTACACGGACACAGCCACAGCCTCAGCCCCTGCCAAGCCCCAGCCGGGAGGAGGAGCATGGCTCTGGGACGCCGCGAGGGAGGCGCATGGCCCCCGACGCAGCCCCTGGCGGATGCCATGGGGCTGGAATGAAGTGGGGGGGTGCAGCCACGGGGAGCACACAGCTCCCACTCTGGAGCTGGCTGCAGCTCCTGGACAGGGGCTCACAGCCCAGCTGCAGCACCCTCCCCCCTGCAGGGTGCTGGTTCCAGCTATCCAGCCCCAGTTGCAGGGCAGGGACACAAAGTCCCGCCTCCAGTCTTGGCTTCAGGTGCTGACAGCTGAAGCAGAAGAATTCACAGAAGTCCGTGACTTCCATGACCTCTGTGACTAAATTGTAGCCTTACTAATTATTTGATGTCCTTGGTAACCATATTTATAGCAGACTCTGCTTCCTTTCCCAGATCAGAAGGCATGATTTAGCTAGACTTCAGTCAACGACAATACAGAAGCAAGAGTGAAGAAAATAGGCTCACTGCAGCATACCTGTGAGGAAGTCAATAGCCTGACATCACCTCCAGAATGACACAGTCCTTCAGGGGTGTGATGGGGAAGTGATGCAGCTTCTTTGACTGGCAGACTGCTTTCCTGCTGAGCTAGAGAAACTAACAGGAGAGGCATAATAAACAACTTTGTGAAAACAAGAGAAACAGCTAAGCACAAACTAATCTCCTTAATAAAGGAAATATGGAGAGGCATCTAGCAAGAGATGTTTAAAACATAAATGTACAGAAATTCCATCAAAGGGATAAGAAGCCTGTAAGGTGAAGTCAGTGGGGGAACATAACTGTCCAGCTTCTCCCAGAACTGGTTCTAGATAACTGTCTAAATGAAACATTGTGCCCTTTCAGCATGCAAATGTCTATCCTACAGATCCTAAATGAAATAAGCTTAATAATTATGGCGCAGACTCTACTGGAGAGGGAACCACACATCTTATAACACACATGCATATGCACACGCTCATTTAGCCTGCCACCTATCAACAAATCCCTCCCTCTTGTGCAGGTCAATATACAGCACTTCTAGAGTGCTGTTCATCCACACACAATAAGGCTCTATCCAAAGGAGGGTCAGTCTCGTTGCCTCCATTTCACAGCTGTGAAAACTGAGGCACAGAGAGGTCAAGTGATTTTCTCACAGTCCTACAGCAGGGTCAGTAGCAGAGTCAGAGACAGAATAAAGGTTTCCAGTCTCCCAGTCTCATGCCCCATCCACTGGACCGCTTTGCCTGGCCACAGCCATTTTGGAGCTACTACGTATATTCTTACAGTACTGCTGCTAGCAGGTAGCAAAAACTAAAGGCAGCAAAGCAGAGCTCATATGCAAAGACCACAAGTGCCCCACTTTTAGTCTCAGGTGTAGCAATACATGTGGAGGACACACACAGCATCTCCAGCTACCAGACACAGCAACTAGTTCAATCTGTTCTAGTAAACCTGCTGGCACACACAGCAGCCCATTCAGAATTACTCACCTCTTTCCATTTTGTATTTGTTTACTGTTTTCAGGAGATCAGGTGAAATTTCCATACAGATTTTCTCCAGTATTTGCAGGTTGTTTTCTGCTAAATAGTCTTGTTTTTCCAGAAAGTTCAGCAGCTCTAGACTGGACTGCAAGGAGAGAGAGAGTCAAGTACACTTAACCGGCTCCTTAAATATTAATACGATCTACAAAAGCCTGCCCTGCCTTTAAAAAAAATAACAGACACTGATTCTCCTGGAGTACATACTGCTGAAATATAAAACACCTCACAATCCGTACACTTCCCATTTTATACTTATTCTTATCCGTTTTGCTTCTTACTACCAAGGAGGTGTCTCCACAGTACATTTCACAGAGCTGGGGGGCAAATCATGTTGTAACATGGTAGCTCACTGACAGCTTCATAATCTGGTTTGATCCTGATTGTATGTATAGCCAATACCAAGCTGTATAAGTGAACTACGTTATAGTCTGTATCACAATCAAGTAACTAGTTAATGTCATGTGTCTTGGTCCCATATACACAGACCAGAGCCAACTATGCTATAACATAGCTGGGGGGATTAGCCTGGTATTGTATTTCCTAGTGACCTCTAGGATTTGAAAGGCCTCAGAATCCATCACACAGCAAATACAAGAGAGAGACAGTGCAGCATAACAGTCCTTAGTGTAAATGAGAACCAGGCCCTACACTTCCTAGCCCCACTCAGCCACCACCTTCCCTCTGGTAGAAATATACCATTGCCCAAATATCTACTCCCCCAATCACATGCTGACACAATAAGCTGATGCCATATGCTGCCAAAACCCTCTCTCCACTCTCTCTCCTAGTCTCAGTAATAAAGCCTCTAGCATTCTTGGCCCTCTCCCCACATACCATATTTGTCAGCTTCTTTGGGAGCTGGTTCCTCAAGAGGAACATGGCTCTTCTTAAATCCTCACTGGTGATGTCCTCTGACAGTTCATACAGCATCTGCCTATGTGACATAGATCCGGTTAGGTGAACTAAATACCATTGTATACATACTGTAAATCCTACATTGGCACCCCATAGCCCCCCCAAAGCAACACTCAGATAACAGTAACGTGCCCACTATTGGAAGCTCTGCTATGCTCCTCCAATGCTGCCACCTGCTTCACCTGTAGCACACCTGGTGATCTCCACTTAGCCTGCTCAGCGAAGGTCAACATGCAGCAGGCAGACTGCAGGCAATGCTGGAGAGCTAGAGCTGGCGTAGTAGAGCATGAAGAGCATGATCAGCAGCCAAGCGTTATGGTCAGGAACTTACCAGTGGCATAAGCAAATTAATATGGAAGAGCCGAGGGAATTTAGGTTGTCGTAGGAGGAAGAGGTTATAAAAAAATCCCAATCCAACCCAATTCACAGAGAGAGAGGGACAGAGCAAAGGAGGAAGAGCCAGAGAGATAGTAGTGGAAACCTATGAGACAGGAATGACAGTCTATGGCACACTGTGTCACTCCTCTCCTCTGGCACAACATAAGGACAGAAGAGGACCCAGGCCTTTCTAATGCGTTGTTGGCCCAAGAATGCTCTGAGCTTTGCAGCCTCACCCCAAGAAAAAATATTAAAAGTCACTGATTAGTCTGAGCATCTGCATACTGTAAAACCTAATCACCAAACTTCACTTCATAACTTTCAAATATCACACAGCAAGTAACAGATCAACATTCTTTCAAGGCAGAAAATGTCTGGAGACACCCAGTTCCCAGAAAGCTCACCTGTACCGAGATACCTTCCCTTTCCAGGGTAGATTTTCTTGCACTGTCTCCTTAGTGTAGCCAAGTTTATGGAGCAGGAAGTGACACCTAATCCTGTACAAAAGCTCAGCTACTATGAAAGTATCTTCCTTATTCAGGAAATCCTTAGCCATGAGGAGCTGGAAGATGTCCTGAGCTGATTCTACAGCTTCCAGCTTTTTGAAGGACAGCAAGTCACTACAGAGAAATTTCAGGGCCTCCACTTCTTCAGTTCCCAGGTTTTCATCAATGACTAGAAGCTGCTGGTGAAACTTTATGCTCATGTCATCACCCATCTGGAGGCTCTTTAGGAGATACACTTCACAACCTGAGAATGGAAAGGCAAAGAAGAGTCCAATGTAATGAATCAAATGGCACTAATGCTAGGGAAGAACTGAACTTTAGCTTCTAATAGGCACTAAGCAGCATCCTTGATACTCTCTGTCGGCCAGTTATTTCTTCCAAACCATCAGAAGCCAAATACTCAGTGGACGACTTAACTCCTTCCTGCATGCACCACACTGCAGCAGTGTGGCAAGATCTGCTCCTTCCTCTTCTTGTGATCAGGAGAGAGAAGAGTCCCCCGCTGATCACTCTCTCTCACTTCTGAAGTGTGGCTCCAGTGTCTTTATAGTGGGTGGGGGTAGAAAGAGAACAAGGTGCTGCTCTTGGTCCCTGCAGCTTGACTACATCTTGCCATGGCTGGGAGAGGACAAGAAAGTGAGACTTCCTCCTGCCCTTGAGTTTGCATCATGGGAGCTCTGCCACTACTTCCCATGACCAGGAGGAGGAGAAGATGCTCTTCCCCAAGGCTGCCACTAGGGTAGTGTGAGCAAGGGTGGGCACCAAACTGGGGTGCTGTGTGGCTTTGGGGGGGGGGGGGGGGCCTCAGCCACTGCGGGTAAGGGGGACACTGAAAATGTTTTCTGCTCAGGTGCCAAAATGTCTGGTGCTCTCCTTGCCCTTAGGCTGAAACACACCAGCAGTGACATTATCACCTGGAAGCTCAAGTTCTCAGCACTATGGTAGCTGTAGAGTGCACATCCCCTACACCTTCACCACTCTGCAGCTAGTTTGCTGTTCTGTACCAAATGTGAAAGCAAAGAGTCTCCTTCCTACTCTCAAACTTCCCTTACGAAAAAGTCCTATAGAATTTAATAGGAGTGAAACTAACAGGGTTCTAGAGAAATTAATACAATTCTATTACATTTAATGGAGAATAATATGCTTTCTGCTTCACTGCCAGCTCCCTTTCCTGGACATGTTGGGGTTCCTCGGTGGACCACTCACTTTAATTTGGCAGCAGGTCGTCTTTAGGCCTTTCACCACAGTTCTCTTCACACAAAGACAAAAGGAAAAGTGGGAGATGATCAATGAACACTAAAAGCTTGGGAGGCAGTCAGCAGGTAAAGGGGTGAGTGCATGTTTCGGGGAGAAATCAGTAGGGCATTGCTGTGTGTGTATGTGGGTGGGAAATATAATTCATGAGTCCTGGTCCATCTCTCCTCTAACCACTAAACAACGCTTCCCAGAGCCAGGAATAGAAACAAAGAGTTCAGACTACCCGCTTCCTCCCACCTCTACCTACATACTTGTACCAAAATTTTGCTTACATCCTTTTCCTCTTCATACAGACTAACTCCCCCAATCTTCTGTCCCACATATTGCAGCACCGTCTTCACTTATAAACAAGATGGCTGCGAGAAAGCATAGATCTAAGGCCTTTCTACACACAGAAGTTTACCTAAAGTCTTGTTTTTAACCAAGGACAGCAGGAGGGCCAGCACCGCAAGCATGATCCTATCAGAGACCCTAGGCACATACCCAGGGCAGCAAGCCCCTCCTGCCACTGGCACTGTCTGTTCTGGCTACATTACTATTTTTACTGCACTAGCTAGATGAGAGCTAAAGCAGGTATATCTCCTCTAGCTGGGAATCACACCCCCAGCTCCAAGTGCAGACTTATCAGTTAAAAGGGGCAAATTTGTGCACAGACCAGCCCCCACTTCTCTACCAGTTAGTCAAATCCCAATAGAACCACATGATAAAAACTCAGTACAAATTCTCACTAGAACACACATGGCTGCTTTCCCAATTCCAAATCTTCACTGCTTGATGCCTGACACCATCAGTTACAGATCCCAGCCTCTCCTGTGTTTTGCAGCTTAGCTATTCTATCTCCCGCACCATTCCAGCCAGCGTTTTCACAGCTGGCACTGTTGCTGAATTGGGCTAAGCTAAAAACGAACAGTTGCTAAATATAAAACTTAAATTGGTACAAAAATATGATTAAAAATTTTAGATTAAACCATTTAAAAACTAAACATTAATGAAATTTTAAAAAATTTGTGTGTGTATTTTGTATCTTGGAGGGATTAAGGGGGCAAAAAGCGAGACACGTGTGGAGAGAAACCAGTCCGCCCAGAGCAGCTGGCGGACACTACAGAAAGACATAGGGAGAGGGGGTGGGAAGAAGGGATGGACAGCCACTCTGTAAAATCAAAATACAACCAACAAAACCCTGCTTCCTAGTTTCACACCTCCACCTATCTTACCCTAAGAGGGAGACACAAGTAAAGCTAAGACTCATGTACTATGTCCCCTCTTTCTGGAGGGGCAGGAGGGGTGATTCATAACCAGTCTTAAAAAGAAAAGGAGTACTTGTAGCACCTTAGAGACTAACAAATTTATTTGAGCATGAGCTTTCGTGAGCTACAACTCACTTTATCGGATGCATGTAGTGGAAAATACAGTGGGGAGATTTTATATACACAGAGAACATGAAACAATGGGTGTTACCATACACACTGTAACAAGAGTTACAGTTAAGGTGAGCTATTACCAGCAGGAGAGGGGAGGGGGGAAGAACCTTTTGTAGTGATAATCAAGGTGGGCCATTTCCAGCAGTTGACAAGAAAGTGTGAGGAGGGGGGGGGGGGGGGGAATAAACATGGGGAAAGAGTTTTACTTTGTGTAATGACACATCCACTCCCAGTCTTTATTCAAATTAATTCCAATTCAGCAGTCTCTCACTGGAGTCTGTTTTTGAAGTTTTTTTGTTGAAGAATTGCCACTTTTAGGTCTGTAATCAAGTGACCAAAGAGATTGAAGTGTTCCCCGACTGGTTTTTGAATGTTATAATTCTTGACGTCTGATTTGTGTCCATTTATTCTTTTACATAGAGACTGTCCAGTTTGGCCAATGTACATGGCAGAGGGGCATTGCTAGCACATAAGGGCATATATCACATTGGTAGATGTGCAGGTGAACAAGCCTCTGATAGTGTGGCTGATGTGATTAGGCCCTATGATGGTGTCCCCTGAACAGATACGTGGACACAGTTGGCAACGGGCTTTGTTACAAGGATAGATTCCTGGGTTAGCCCACCTTACCTGATCACTCTTGTTACAGTCTGTATGGTAACACCCATTGTCTCATGTTCTCTGTGTATATAAATCTCCCCACTGTATTTTCCACTGCATGCATCCGATGAAGTGAGCTGTAGCTCACAGAAGCTTATGCTCAAATAAAATTGTTAGTCTCTAAGGTGCCACAAGTCCTCCTTTTCTTTTTGCGGATACAGACTAACATGGCGGCTACTCTATAACCAGTCCTAGTAACACAGTCACATGCCCACCCTCGAGAAACAGCCTACTTTGCACCAACCACCACTCAGACACTCCTTCTACATTTCTAGATCAGGAAAACTATGGGAAGCAGGTGGTGCCACAGGGTCTGGGGGGATGCTGGGGGACGGGGCAGGCGGTGGGGGCAGGGGGCTGGGTGTCTGTGGGGGGGTGGGGAAGAGCTGGGGGGGTGGGGGCTGAGTGTCTGGGGCAGGCGGGGAGGGTGCCGCGGGCCGGGGCCGGCGGGGGGTTGGTATAAGCTGGAGGAGGGGAGTGGGGGCTTGCGGGAGGCAGGGCCCCCCCTGCTCACCACTCCACGGCGCGCATCCCCGTCAGACCAGTGCCAGCGGCCAGCGCCTCAGCGGCTTCCCTGAGGAAGCGCTGGGTTGGGCCGTGCGCGGGGAGAGGGAGGGGCGGCCGGGGCCTCACCCCCGCCCCCCACAGACACGGGACCAACCGGCACCTCCCCCGACAGCCGCGCCCACCCCATCCCCCGCCTGCTTCGGGCCAGCGTGCGCATGCGCGGGGGGAGCCCCACCCGGAGCAAGAGCGGGGCGGCCGCCCGCCCGGGCCTGCAGCCTTCACCCCACCCTCACCCCCGGCTCGCTCGCTCGCTCCGCCTCCCGCGGGCAGGGAAAGGGGGGAACTCACAACCCTGGGTTTAGCAGGCCAATGCTCAAACCACTGAGCCATCCCTCCCCGGCTACCCAGGGGTTTTGCTGCGGTGGCTTTTGAGCTGCCTTGAAACAAAGTTCGGGGAAGATTACCCAGCTCGTCTGCACTACCAGTCCGCCTGGCCCTGGCGCGATTGGTGAACACAGTAACACAAAACAGGGTTGTCTCGTCTACACTGACAACGCCAACAACACTGGTTTTCAGCTGGTCCCCACAGCATGGTGGATTTGCAGGAGTAGGCAGGATCCAACGCTGTGCATCTGATCATGGGCTGGAAGAGGGAACTACAAATGGGACCTACTGCCTGTAACAGGCCAGACTATCCTTCCAGGGATTTTTTGCTCTTTCACACTTCTGGGGACTTGCTTCCATTTCCTTTACAACTTTCCTTTCTTACAAGTTCCCCAGCACCCAACTTTCAAAATAATTTCTTTGCGTTCAGAACATCCCTGTCCTGTTTGGCGAGACAACTGCTGTCAAATGCCGTGTCATGGTGACCATCCCAGTTTCGCTTTTCGCTTTCCAAGACTGAGGGTGTTTGGGTGAGAGGAGGGGAGTGCTTAACCAGTCTGATCTACTTTCATGTAATGACTTGAAAAACCTTTTTCCCCCCATGACAAACCCTGTTACTAACAAAGTACATGTCAGCAGTAGCATTTTTTCTAACAGAGCTGGCACAGAGTTAAAGAATCGAGAGGAAAGTCTGAGAAAGACTGAGAAAGACTCATGCTCAAATAAATTGGTTAGTCTCTAAGGTGCCACAAGTACTCCTTTTCTTTTTGCGAATACAGACTAACACGGCTGTTACTCTGAAACCTGAGAAAGAAAAGAGACAAACATACCTTCAGCATTCCAGACTCCACAGGAAGTTAATACGCTTGACCCAGATCTAAGCACAACAATGTCTCTACTGCAGAAAATTCTCAATATTGCCTGTTCACAACCTGCAGCAAGAAAACTGAAAAGAAACTTTCACAGGAAGGGAGAGCATGCCCTGAAAAGCCTTGCCCTTCAGCAAGTTGGTACATATCAGCCCCTCCCCTTTTCTGATCCACCAAATACAGCAATACAAATGGCTACACCCACATCAGAATCAAAGGATATTAGCACATGTATCCATAAACAAAAAGAAAAACAGCCATCTATCAGACCGAGCTAATGCGAAACCTCAAAGTTAACTTGAACATCAGTTTTAAAAGAAAGTTACGAGTAATTTCTGATGCTATATCTGCTCTGAGCTCCCCTTCCAATGGTTTAACGATCACATTTTCCCTTTTCATTTTCACCCCGTTTTATTGGTGCATGAAAAACACATAAATTACAGGAGAAACTGAATAAGGCAGAGGATGCAGAGGAAATAGTGCCCCTGCCTATATATTAAGTGCTGCCAAATGCACAAAGTGAACACAATGGAAAAAGAAACTTTTACTGACAGCCAATTTAAGATGTTATTTGTCACAATAGCTGGTTTAAAAAACTAATTCAGACAGAAGATCCTTTGAACCTGGCTGCAGAGCTAGGAATTGAAACTTGAATGCAGACTCCATGCACATGTTCCCCAATCTGAGGTTAGCATAGGGCCATTGTGCTGTAAACCAGTGAGTACTGTCCAACGTTTCCAACAGGGCTCCCTCAAAGCTTTCTGCTGTACTCAGCAATACCGGCAGGGATTTCCCTACACCTCGTACCCCAGATTTCCATACATCCCCCCGCCCCCAGTGATCAACTAGATACCCAGTGTTGCCAACTTAGTTGGTTACAAATTTGAATGGAAATTGAAACATTAATATACACTTCAAAACATATACAGTATATGATAAAATACTTGTACCTGAAAAAAACATAATAGGTTTGAAAAATATAAACAAAGACTAGCTTCCTCATACAGCTGTTGTTTTTTATGACAATGTTGGCCCATTCATTTCAGCAATGTTGGCCAACTTTATCATTTCAAATTATAATTTGTAAGCAAGGTCTGAATGAGCTCTCCCCTGACAGCTAGTGGGGATGGAGAGAAAAAGCTTCAGGGCCAGACTGTATTTACATGAACACACCTACTCTGCCAAGGTATCCATCAGACAGAGCTATTTTGCCCAAGTGATCAATGAGCCCTGGCACCTCTAGGCTTGGCAGTTCATAGCCCCAGGACTTCTGGGCTTGCCACATCAGTGATGAATATAAAACTTACTTGAGTCCTGGCACTTCTTTCATTACAAATTAAACACAGGTCACCCTCAATTGAACTGCACTCACTAAACAGGGGGTTGGGATGCCAGATCCTAGTGGAGAGAGGGTGGGGATAGGTGTTTTGCTTGGTGGTGTGGACTCTGCCTAAAAGTCATAGGCACTATTTGATCTGCCCCATCCTGTTTGAAGATAGAGTTGATTAGGCTCCATAGAGAGTCTTTTGTTTTTTTAAGTGTCCACTAGAGCTGAAATCACTGATAATCGGGTCTAAATGCTTAAACCTGCTGTGGGACACAGTGTTTCTGTGGAAGAGGTTACCCAGCCTGCACTTGCTGTGAGGTTCCCACACTGAGAGCTAGGTGGAACCTCAAGAAACTGAACTGCAGAGGTCACAGTGACAAGTGACAGCAGAGTTGACTGCGCAGGGCCATCAGAGATGGAGCAATGGAGCGAACAGTGATGCACAACAACTGCCAGAGTGAGTGCCCGGAGGGCAAGTGGCTGAAAGAAAGAGCAAGGTGCCTTCTCCCCTCCCACCCCCCAGAGTGGGAGGTGAACTCACGTGAAAGCACCTCTGAACTCTGGTTCTTCATTGACCAAGGACAACAACTATGAATGGGGGTGGGGGGGTGGAGGGAGAAGGGAGAGATATGTTAAAAGAACATTTGTTTGTTGGACTATATTTTAGTGACTTTGCTCCAGAATGCTAGATTTGTGACTGGGAAACTTATAGAAATATACATTTCCTAGTAGGCCAAGATTTTTAAAATGCGTTATTTGCCAAGGTAGTTATCTCACATGGTCACTATTTTGAGAGGTTGTTATCTTGGGGATTTATGTACTAAACATTTTTATTATGTTATAATTTATTTTTACATAAGAACATAAAAATGGCCAAACAGTCAGACCAATGGTCCTTCTAGCCCAGTATTCTGTCTTCCAACTGTGGCCAATGCCAGGTGCTTCAAAGAGAATGAACAGAACAGGCAATCAAGTGATCCATCCTCTGTCATACACTCTCAGCTTCTGGTGAACAGAGGGTACGGACATTCACAGCATGATGTTGCATCCCTGCCCATCCTGGCTAGTAGCTATTGATGGACCTATCCTCCATGAACTTATCTAGTTCTGTTTTGAACCCTGTTATAGTTTTGGCCTTCACAATATCCCCTGGTAAAAATTCCAAAGGTTGACTGTGCGTTGTGTGAAGAAGTGTTTCCTTATATTTGTTTTAAACCTGCTGCCTATTAATTGAATTGGGTGACCCCTAATTCTTGTGTTACGTGAAGGAGTAAGTAACACTTCCTTACTGACTTTATCCAGTCAAGATTTTATAGACCTCTATCATATCCCATTTTAGTAGTCTCTTTTCCAATCTGAAAAGTTCCAGTTTTTTAAATCTCTCCTCATATGGAATCTGTTCCAAACCCCTAAGCATTTAAGTTCCTCTTCTCTGTACCTTCCAATTCCAATATATCTTTTTTGAGATGAGGTGACCAGAATGCACACAATATTCAAGATGTGAGCGTACCATGGATTTATATAGTAAAAATGGAGGAGCTTGGTTTGTCAGACTGATCAGCAAAGCCAATATGGACAACCTTCATGAAAAGTCTGCAAAACACCAAGCCTCTGGACTGCAGCAACATGCAGAAAACCTTAGACGCCAGTCACTGCAAAAGCCCATTTTAGAAGTACTTAATGAGGCTGTTGAGAATGCTGGAGACATAAACACAGTTTATGCAAACAAACATGGCTGTCACATCGTACTTTCTATTTAAGCAAGAGATACCACACACTATAAACTGGAGGCCAATGTTAAATCCATTGTCACTTGTTAATTCTGAAGCTGGAACTGGTTCCAAACAAGACTGGCAAATGCTCACTATCTTTCTGCAAGAAATTCAGTTGACTGGCTAGAAGTATGTGGTGCAACAGTGAAAGACTCAGCAGTTGAAAAAGTGAAGAACTCTCACCGCAATAAAAAAATGTGCATACATGGCTGATGAATACACCAATGCAAATGGGCATCAAGTATTAAGTCATTGTGGTTATCTTCATGTCAGTGGTAGGCCAATAGATGCCTCTCTCGATGCTCAGGTTATAGAAGACACATTGGCTGCATCTGTGACAACCCACATCTTAGAAGAGTTAAATGCTTGTAAATTGAACCCCAAATAGATGTCTCTGCTTGTGCATTTGATGGAGCTGCAAATTTCTCTGGAAGACAGTGGAATACAAACTTTGCTCAAAGAAAAGTGTAACCCTAATCTCTACTATACACACTGCAGAGGCTATCTATTCCAACTTGCACTAGTACGAGCTGCAGAATCTTCAAAAGACATTAAAAAGCCATACATTTCATGTCTTCGTTATACTATTTTTTTTCAGCAAGAGTCCAAAAGGACTGAATGTCTTGGGGAAAACAGAAGATACACTGGGACTGATGATCAAATTAGTCCAACCTGAGAAATCCCTGGGCTTTCTCATGAGTGATCCTTGGCTGTTTTAAAATTACTGCAACTGTTATTACTGGCTTGGGAAAGTATATACCAAGATGAGATGGATCTAAGTAGTGAGGCTGATGAACTACTTTTGCTACTAAGTTCAGAGAAGACTATCACCTTTCTCTCTCTCTCTCTCGTAAGTCTGCTGATGAAACCATTTGGGTCATTAAACAATGCCATCCAGGCATCTGCTACAACAGTAGTAGGTCTTTGTCCAGAAAGAGAAGCGACACTTGGGTCAATCATACTGGAAGAAGCAAAGACTTCACTCCAGAAATTGACTAATGAAGGTTCTTATATTGAATCCTTAAGTGAAGAGGACAAGAAGTGTTTGTTAAGCCCGTTGAAAAAGTATATAGACTTGATTCTTACAGATCTACAACAGAAACTTCTGGATTCTACTCAACCTCTGCATAGCTTTTACAGATGCCAGTCTTATAAAACGTCAACTGTTGAGTGGAGTGAAACACTACCAGCAAAGGGGCTGCCATGTGATCAGGACAGAATAGAGAATATGAACATAGATTGGAATGTCATACGACGAACGAATGAAGATTTGACTTTCACTTCTTCTTTATCATCTCTAGTGGTTTGACCCAAACTTTGTGCTGTTTCCTGGGATGAAAGAAGTAGGAATTCAATCAAGATATACATATTGGAATTCAGAAAGGTTCAGAAAAGGGCAACAAAAATTATTAGGGGTATGGAATGGCTTCCAAACAAGGAGAGAGAAATAAGACTGGGACTTTTCAGCTTGGAAAAGAGACGACTAAGGGGAGATATGATAAAGATCTATAAAATCACGACTGGTGCGGAGAAAGTAAATAAGTGTTATTTACTCCATCTCATAGCACAAGAACTAGGGGTCACTAAATTAAATTAATAGGTGCCAGGTTTAAAACAAACAAAAGGAAGTATTTTTTCACACAACACACAGCCAACCTGTAGAACTCCTTGCCAGAGGATGTTGTGACGGCCAAGACTATAACAGGGTTCAAAAAAAGAACTAGTTAAGTTCATGGAGGATAGGTCCATCAATGGCTGTTAGCCAGGATAGGCACGTATGGTGTCCCTAGCCTCTATTTTCCAGAAGCTGGAAATGGGCGACAGAGGATGGATCACTTGATGATTGCCCGTTCTGTTCATTCCCTCTGAAGTTCCTGACATTGGGCTCTGTTGGAAGACAGGATACTAAGCTAGATGGACCTTTGGTCTGACCCAGTATGGCCATTCTTATGTACATCTCTTGCTATTCCCAGTCACAACAGCTACAGTTGAGCATTCTTTTTCCTCATTGAATAGAATTTTGTGTTCTGAAGGAAGTTGCTTTCTGCCTGATCATGAACATATCATGAAGGACTGGAAGTACCCGGACACATGAGAAGCCATTAAAGATGAACGCACTGCATTTGAGAAGTTCACTAACAGAGTTGTGAAAAATTACAAGAAACCAAGAAGGATGTAGATGTAGTGCTTCATAGTAGGCTTGAGTAGCCAACTTTAATTTGTGTGATGATTTTAAAACATGAGTTAAATCTAATAAAATGGTTATGAAACATTTTTCAGTTTTTACTATAGTGCCATACAGCTCACCTTCACCTGCACGGTCTCACCCCTTGGCCCTCACCCCACTCTAAATTCAAACAGCCTCCCCTAATTTCATTTCCTGAGGAAAACACTGAATACAGATGACATCTGCCTTGCCAACTCTCACAATCTGATCATAAGCCTCCTGATAATTGCTCTTTTTCTTGAAGCCCCAACTGCTGGAATCATGTAATTTTGAGAGACGTTCTAGATTCCATTAAAAAAAAAACAAAAAAAAAAACTTTGTAGCCCTCACTGTTGCAGAGAAAAGAGACTCGCCAGGGGCTCTGGTGGGTCTGTATTAGTGACCCCTCACTCTGCACACCATAAGGCTCCTATCCTTGGTGTAACTCCACTGGGAATTATATGTGAGGGGAGAGCAGAGATTTGATTCACTGAAACTGATGGAATTTGCATTCCTGTAAGCAAGGAAAGAACTGGGGTTACTATGTAGCCGGGTGGATAAGTCATTTGTACTTTTTTAAAACTACAAAATCCAATGTTTAAAATGTAAATATATTTATTTAAATCAAGTTTTAACATTTAATTCAGATATTTTTTATTTACATGTTGTTAGTTCTTTACTTCCTTCCTATTTTATAGTCTTGGATTGCCAAAGTGGATGTTTTGTGCTTGTTTCTTTAACTAGTTTTCTGTTAGTACAATTTCAGATTTTACAGAGATCTTTCTACTAAGAAGTTTTTCATTTATAATGCCTGTCCATGCTGAAAAAGACAAGTCCAGGGCCTCATTAACATCCTTACTCAGACACAACATTGATAAACAAATATCCCAGGCTATATTTACATTTTGACCGTGTTATACTCTTCTATCATGGTTTGCAGCCTGAAGTAAAGCGGACTTTTGGTCCTAAATTGCGTAGGTGACTGTGAAAATCCCATTCTTGGATTCAGGAGCCCAACTTTGGGTTCTTGTTTTTGAAACCGTTGGCCTTGTGTGTATATATAAAAAAGTTCAATCACTTTATTAATCTATTTCAAGACTTGTTTAACTTTAATCACATGAGTACTTCCATTGATGTCAGTGGGACTACTCATGTAAATAAAGTTGTGTAACTGATTGTTTGCAAGAGCAGGGCCTTTTTTTTTTTTTTTTTGGTGGTTAGGCCTATGGCAGTTTTGTACATTTCAAACAAGAGACTCTACCAGTAGTGGTATTTAAAAAAACAGCATGTAGGATGTATAATAAACTAAATTATGATCTAAAATTGCAATAGCAGACGTTTTCAAATTGATTAAAAAGAACCCCAATACATTTAAATTACCTTGATTTAAATTGCTCCTGTCTATTATGATGTTTCATTTTCTACACATCAAGTTATTGAAGGACATTAATTTTGAAATATTAATTTATTCAAAGTTAGACATAAAAAAACGAACTGACAAAATAAATACAACTAGAACTTACTATTCAACAGCGCGTTACACGGCTATAGAGAGATTAACATATACTTCACAAAAAAAGCACAGAATCCATGGCTGATCCACTAATTAATACAGCACTGAAGAAAGACGGTCTTGGAAAGAGCCCTAATGTTAGGACAAGGGTGGGCAAACTTTTTGGCCTCAGGGCCACATCGGGGTTGCGCAACTATATAGAGGGCTGGCTAGGGAAGGCTGTGCCCCCCCAAACAGCCTGGCCCCTGCCCCCATCCACCCCCTCCTACTTCCCGGCCCCCTCAGAACCCCCAACCCATCCAACCCCCCTGCTCCTTGACCCCTGACTGTCCCCTCCCAGAACCCCTGCCCCTAACCGCCCCCTGGGCTCCCACCCCCTATTCAACTCCCTCTGCTCCCCGTCCCCTACTTGCCCCTCCCCTGCAGAACCTCCACCCCATCCAACTGCTCCCTGCTCCCTGACTGCCCCTCAGGATCCCCTGCCCTTATCCACCCCCCCGCCCCTTACCATGCTGGAGTCAGCCATGCTGCTGCACTGCCCAACAGGAGCGGCGGGCCAGAGCGCTGTCCGTGCAGTGGCGTAGCTGCAGGGGAGTGGGGACAGCGGGAGGGGGGCCGGGGGACTAGCCTCCCTGGCCGGGAGCTCAGGGGCCAGGCAAGACGGTCCCGTGGGCTAGATGTGGCCTGCAGGCCATAGTTTGCCCACCTCTGTGTTAGGAGGTGTATAAGCAAATCAATGATAGAAGATAGAAAAAGCCTAAATAGAACAGCGGTGAAGGAGGGAAATACAGCAATCAGCCAGCTACAAAAATGGCTCCTTTAGGGCTGCTTGTATCTGATAAATGTAAAGGGACAGCGATCAGAATAGCTGACACACACTGAGCTTTGTATGTAGCAGACGCTGCAGCAGTGATTCCAGACAGGCTTTGCGCTGTCACATAGGGGCTGCATCTTGCCAGAGACCACAGCCCTCCTGCAGCCCTTAGTCACTCCTGGCTCACCACAAGCATTTTGACAGGAAGTACCAAGCAGTAATAACAACAACAATACAAGTGTGTGTGAGAGAGAGCGAGCCAGTGTGTGTTTGTGTTTGACTGTGTGTTGGAGGACTGTGTAAGTGGGTGTTGGGGAGTGAGTGTGTGCGTGTGAGACAATCTGTATTGGGGGACTGTGACTCATGAGAGGCAGTCTCTCTGTGTAAGGGAAGTGTGAGACAGTGAGCGCACTGTCACTTTAAGTCCTCCCCTTCTTATCTCCCTTGCTCGGCCTGGCTCCCCCCGCGAGCCCGTGGAAGTTTCACTCCTCCTGTCCTTGTCCTGGTCCCGGTCCAGCCCCCGAGCCGCGCAGGGTCCAGGGAGGGACTCCACTCTGGGTGGAGGTGGGCTGACAACATGGCATGAGTCACACTCATCCCAAACTTTTACCAACCACTCCCCTTATTCCTATCACAATCTCTCATTTCCTCCTCTATATATAATATGCATAAAATCAGAATGAATATGAAATTAAAACACAAACTAAACAAAAAGTGTTAATCTTTAAAAAATTAGAACACATACAAAATAAAGATATTAATATGTATTATATATGTACACATTTCTATTACACAAAAATTATATATTAGTATAAATAAATATGTGTTTTTCTCTACAGCATCTCCGTAGTCTTCTTTCCTCAGCCACATTTTGCCCAACACTGGGCTAATTGCTAAACTTCCACTGTTTCGACTGCAGAAGCTGTTTCTAGGCTTGTGCTTTTTTTGGATGAAAGTTAAAAGCAGTCTGGCTTCAAGGGAGTGTTACTGAAAGTCATGGCCAAGCCCACAGCAGGCGATACATGGTGGGGTTGGGAAGCAGAATGGCCACTTCTAAAACAAACTTATTGGCCAAGCTACCAAGCATTTCACCTCTGGCAGCCCTCTTTTAGGCCTGGTCTACCCTTAAAAGTTTTGCCTGCATAGCTTTGTCAGTTAGGGATGTTATATTTTGCTGGCATAGCTGATGGCAAAAGCCCCTTGTGTGATGCAGGCATACCAGGAATGCATCATCCTTTTTGCAACCATGGCTTATTTTACTAGGGGAACTAGCATAAGCTATATCAGCAACAAGTATAACTGATATCAACTACATCTACTCTAGGAGAGTTTGCTGGTATAGTTATACCAGAAAACCTTTTAAGGGTAGACAAGGCCTTAGTTTGTTTGCTACACAGGAAACTGTACCAAGTTAAATAGTTCCCAACAGGGTTTGTGTGTTTACTTACTTTAAGTAGACTGGGGAGGGGGGGGGGGGAGATGGGACCATGTCATGGATGGAAGTACAGTCAGGCCAGTGACAGAAGCTTAAAAATGACTCATCCAGGCCCCAATCCTGCAAAAAGACTGAGAGTCAATCAAAAGTACTCACATGCACACTCACTTGCCTCAGAGCTCACAGGATCAGGGCCTTGTAGATAGTGGAAGGGAAAGGAATTGTTACACTTATGGTAATCCCATCTCTTATTGTTCCCTTAGGGAATGGAGAAGTAAATTAAAAAAAAATAAAATTACTAAGCAGAGGTCTTTTGTCTTGTAGAAATGCAGTGGCACAGGAGAACTGAACCTTGTGCACGTGAAGAGATTGCAGTGTCTGTAGTACGTTGCCCTTATGACTGAGTCTGAAGGTGCAGTGGAATGGGTGACTTGGTTCTGCCTGAGACTGGAGCATGTACTAAGTCTCACTGGCTGAGGCTCAATCTAGATGGGACTGAAATAACGTTAGAAGGGTGGGAGCAAGCAGCCCAAGGAACGGGGCTAGCTACAAAAACTCCTCTGCTTGGTCAAACGTGGAGGTTATTTGCTAGCCAGATTCACAGATTAGCAGTCTAATCCAATCCTGGGCTGCTGCTGGATACTCGGGGTCAGCTGTGGCAAAGAGCACATTTATCCATCTGTGCCCGGTTTGGCAAGTGTGACCTTTTATTTCAGAGGCAGGCCTGGCTTCCCTTACCTAGGCTTTTGTCACTGAGAGATTAGATTACTGTAAAGCACTTCAGGTAGGGCTACATCTTGGGACCACTGGGAAGCTGAAGTTAGTTCAGAATGTGAGAGCCTGTCTGTTAAGTGGGAGCATAACACACCAGCGCTCTGTGAGCTGTACTAACTACTTGTGGGCTTCTGGTGCAACTCAGGCACTTCAGAAATGCCTGGAATAATGACAATTGAAGAAAAAGCCCACATGGATATCCGCGTCTTAACATCGTGTCCCATGCAATTTTCATTAGCTTTTAACTGGGGGGAAAAAAGAGTTTTTTCCTCAAGGTGTGTTGTAGCAGGAGTGAGTATTGTTGCTGTGGATCCAAGGTCCTGTTGTAATCATACACTCTGCTGTTCAGCTCAATATGGATATCCAATAGGGGGAGTTTTCTGCAAAGAGAGAAATAAAATTCTCACAAGTGAATGGAGGAGATCATCCCTTTTAACTTAAGAAGGCACCAGAGGACAAGCAGCTCCAGGCTCAGCGAGAGGAATGTTTCCAATCTCTGTCTTTAATACCAGAGGTAGAGATCACAAACTTGAGGTTACATATGCATTTATCAGACAGGATCTCTTATACTACAAACTTACTAGCATGTCATGGAGGACTGGACTCCTTCCATTCCTGACATCTTATGACCAAGTTTTAGATTTTAGGACCCTGTGGGGATGTGCAGAGCTTTTCTGCTGACTCACACTGAACCTGGCTGCCAGACCAGGTGGGATCTCTTTAGCTTAGCTTCAACTCAGAGTAATAAATGGCTCTCTGAGGAAAACTGAACTAAAAAGGGAAGGTCAAGAGGTCCTGCAGGGAAATTAAAAAAAACAACAACAACAAAACACCAGCAAGCAGCTCTGGCTAAATGTTTATAGTTCTAAGTACAGTACTGCTTAAGGACTCTGTTATTTAAAGACAACTCTCAGTTTGGACAATAGCCTGTTGGGGATGTCTGTTGGGGGTGGGAGAACAGCATGGGAATCCTGACTGTTCACATATCCTCTCCAGGACTGGACCTTCTTCTCCCATGCTGGAAGTAACCTTGCAACCCCCAGCTCTGGATTACCCTTACACTCTGCTCCAGAATTAGAAGCTCCATCCCATTTCTAGAGTACCTGGCCTGCACCCTGTAGGTCTGGGCCCACCTAGACTAACCCTCCAGACCTGGGCACCATCTTCCTCTATTGTCTCTCACATCACCAAGGTGCTCTGTAGTACTAAGCAGGATGAAACCTCAGCTCTCTTGCTGTGGGGCAATAAATTGAATGAAAAGGGTTTTTTTTTTTTTACCTTTTATGAGGATTGCGCAGGAGCTGAGCCAGACAGCATAGATAAGAGGAGGAGGAGCTGGGTGACCTTTCTAGCACAGACACATCCACCTTGCATTGACTCCAAAAGATGTCTGCTACTGGGGGAATACTACAGTTCCAAGGTCTTCTGGTATTGGCAGTGATTTTCTGTTCTTTCCCATCCACCTCCAGCAGACTGGTGGGTTCTTGCAGATCTGCTGGCACAATGTAGCTTTGAATAAAGAAGAGCTTTGGTTTCCCTAGGAGTTCAGGGCATGAGTCTCCAGTAAAAAAATTCTTCACCCGATCCAAGGGGTACCCAGGAAAGGTCTGGTCTGTGCAGAAGATGCTCTGAGGGCTCCCCCGGCTGACCAATATGCAAATAAAGCTGTCATAGTCTCTGTGCTTTTGCAGCCTTGCAACTTCATGGAATGTTTGGTTCATGGCTTCCACACTTAAATACCGATAACAGTGAACTTCAAAGCCTAGAACTTTAAAGGTGTCCTCCAGTATATCTGGAAAAAGAAGAAGGAATTTGTTAAAGTGAATGTATTTCACTCAGTGAATATCAGCCATGTTGAAAGGCTCTTAATATCATGGTGTTTCACTACTGGAAAAACAAGCGGTTTGTTTCACTAAAGAAATTCAGCCAAAATCTAGAGTCTTTGCAGTGATATCAGTGTCACAATGGATTACACACATGACGATGTCTACATACTATCTTGAATATGAGGAAGGTGTCACAGTTTCAGGATAAGTGCACTTGTATTCCTTCACCAAGGGCACCTGCTTTAGGCTCCCAGCTCCTCAGCCATCACCTTTCTGGGCAGAGACCTGTCTCACTCTCTCTTGAGGCTGCACAGTTGTCAGCCTACAGCAAGCCAGATTGCCTAAAAGGTCAGCATCTGCACTTTGCTTTCTCTCCAGAGGCTATGACCAATGTATCACCCCCAGGTACAAATTACCACACAGTCCTTTCTAAGCAAGAAGATTTATTCTTAAGGTGAAAGCATTACAGAGAAAACACATTAAAAACAATAAAAGAACCCGCACACATGCTGGGAAGGTTACCAGAGGTCACCTCAACTCCAATCTTGGGCTCTGGTAGGTGTCAGACCTTCAAAACCCACAGCTGGATTTTCCCCATGTTTATAAGTTCATAGCTGTCTCAGATTCAGAACCAGAACACAGGCTAGGCAATTCAGTCATTTCTTTGTACAGGTAAGGCCTTTGATCTCCAGTCTCTGGGAGCAGGTAATCAGCAGACAATGACCCACTCATCAGGGTGTAACTTCAGAAGGCTGAGGTTTTGTATAACTGGAGGTGGGGAAGTTGCATTAACCTCCCTCTAGGTATTTCCCAGGAAATCCATTTCACATTTATTTTCCCAAAAGTCCATTCTTGTCTGGCACTTTTTTAATATAGTCCTTTGAACTACATTCCCAGGCCACACGTCCTATCTTCCCGCCCTAGAGAGGTCACACACCCACATAAACTTTGCATTTAATACAACTGACTCCAATGATACTTAAGCTTAATTCAACAAGGTTTCTCAAGGATATTGCAGGAAATTGCCATATCTGTCACCACAGGTATTTCATAAATGTGAGATGCATTCAACTGTGACTGCAGTGGGCTTTGGATCAGGCCCAGTGTCCCAAAAGAAGTGGCTTAGGGCTTTTAAAATCAGGCTGGAAAGAATGATAGACAGCGTACTACGGAGAGCAAAATTGTACGGGCAGGGAGCTGAGCTGGACTGCATAACAGGGGTTTTCCCCGTCTCTAACTGTGAAAATTTACTCAAAGTGGCTATTATGACAGAACTAAAAAGAGGTGCTGAGGCAAGGTACAGAGCTCAGCTGCTGGAATGAGACACAGCATTAATTCATCCTTGCAATTCTAAAGGAAGAATGGACAGTGGAGTCTGAACTAAATCACACAAACCTGGTGAAGAAAGATTTCTAGAGAGAGACAACTGACAGACCGTTCTCATCAACAAAAGGCAGAACACCGCAAATGAAACCTCGTAATTATGCCAAAAGTTAACTGCAGACATGGGAGGACATCAGATTTTAACTCTGCTGTCTGTTTGAACAATACTGCAAGAGAGCATTTTAGGCTCTGAAGAACTATTTTTGGGTCATTGGCTAATGTTAGACAATCAGATCTTGGAGACTGAAACCACAAGTAACTTTTAATGTTTACTGAACCATTAACTACCACAAATTACTTAGAATTGTACCTCCCTGTTTTCTCTCTTAACCACATTCCCCAGATACATTTTCTAAAATATTTTCTATTATTATTTATGAGCGCTACAGGTGTGCGTGGCACTTTACAGACATAAAGTCGGATTGCTTTTTGCCCCCAGAAATTTAGAAGTCCCAAATTGGCAAAAGAAAAGGGGGTTGAGCTACTTGCGAACGTAACTTGTAGCCAACAATAGCTGTACATGCTATTATCCCCAGCAAACCACACAGAGTTGGCATGGAGACCAGAACTTACGACACCAAAAATGTAAGCCTCTACCTCAGGGGTGGCCAGCCTGAGAAGGAGCCAGAATTTACTAATGTACATTGCCAAGGAGCCACAGTAATACGCCAGCAGCCCCCCCCCCCCCCCCCGCTCCCAGCGCCTCCCACCCACCAGCAGCGCTGTGGATCAGCCTCCCACTCCCTCCCTACACCTCCCAATCAGCTGTTTTGTGGTGTGCAGGAGGTTGGGGGGGAGGGGGAAGAATGAGGGCACGGCAGGCTCAGGGGTGGGGGCAGGCCCTGTGGCAGAGACAGGGGTTGAGCAGCGAGCACCCCGGCACGCTGGAAAGTTGGCACCTAGCTCCAGCCCTGGAGTCAGCGTCTATAGCAGGAGCCGCGTATTAACCTCTGAAGAGCCGCGGGCTGGCCACCCCGCTCTACCTAGCGAGCTAAAGGGGCAGCTCTGCAAGCTCACTCGCTCACTAGGAGGAGCGGAGAAACAGAGACAGTAATATTCTTTTCACTTTCTGAAATGGACTGATCATGTGAAATAATGCAAAAGACTTTCCCAGGGTTGTGTGGGGTTCTTTTTGTTGCTGGTTTTTCATTTGTTTTTTAAGTAGGGAAAGAATAATGTTTCAAATTTAAGATATTTCCATTTTAAAAACTAGTGGGGAAAAAATGGAAGTGATTTTTGCAGCCAGTTAAATCTATTGTTCAGAAAAGCTGACAGGCATCAACAGTTAGTTGTGTGTTCTGCCAGGATGCTTCATTCAAAGATGGGAAAAGCAACATCCCTATCTGAGCGATTAACAAGAGGCTGCAGTCTCTCAGGGCCATGTGGGGGGAACACCACCTCTTCAGGAGGTTGAATGTTGAAGAGGGTGCACAGTTCAGGTAAAATCAGGTTTAGCCCCATGAGATTTTTTTATTCAAGAGACTGAATCGTTTTAATACTGTTTAGCCCTAAAAATACCTTGTTCCTTAGTTAACAACAATCAGATATATTTATTCCAATGTAGGGCATGTACAAACAGGCAATCTGAGTGTCTTTTACATAGTTTATTCCTAGCAGAGAGAGAGAGTGTGAGTGTATCCGTCCACAAAAAACACATGCTTATCTGTAGCAACCTACACATACACATTATTTAATTAATTACAGCTGACATTCTAATTGCATGCTATTCTGTCTTTGCAAAATATGCTGTGAGCTTTGGATGGAGCTATTTCACATTAGAGGTTGAACAAGGGGAAAAGTAAAAGCCAGGGGTGCAGAGATCTAAGGGGGCAATATCCGATGCTCCATATAACTCCAGTGGCAGAAACCCCGCCCCCCAAGACACGGCAAACACTTTATTTTAACGACATCCTTTATCACTAAAAAATCCAGGCAGAGAAGGTGGAATTGTTTTGCCAGAGAAATGCTGCAAATATAGATCCCAGCTTCCATCTTGATTTGAGAAAGGAAGCCAAGATCCCCTAGAATCTAGCCATTGGTGGCTGGGCTTGAATTTTATTCAATCTATGATAAAGTGGTGTTGCTTGTGTTTTGTGTCATTTGCAGCTGCTCCAACTTTGGTGCAGTCTCTTCAGAATAACTCCTGGGCAGTTGCACTCCATCCGCTTCTGATGGCAGATGCAGCTCTGTCCCCCAGCAGTTCCTCCCACCCTTTTTCTCCTCTGCCTGAAAACATCTGACTTCTGCAATCAGGCATCTCACCACACGGTCTCTAGAATAATCAGACCCTTCTTAAACTATATGTAGGCATTGTCATATGCCCTGCCGCTGTCAAACCTCCTTGTAATCCTATTAACATAATATGGGTGGGTGCATAAAGTACAAGTCTATTTAACAGCCCATTTCCAGAAGGTGATGATAGAAAATTTATCCTCTACATTTAACTATTCCTGAGAGACCTAAAAAAGCTGTGCAAGCAGCTGTGTTACTGCAGGATTTTGCACAGGCAAAGAACAAGTACTTGTGCATGCAGACAGCCGTTTTGTGCATACAGGCATAGTCTGCCGGTGCATATTAAATGCCAATTTCTGAAGATTTAACCCGTTTTTGCCCCCTCTGGCTATGGAGGACCCTGCTCTACCAAGTTAACATTCTCTGATTGGAGCATGCTCCTGTAAGGACAGTTTTGCTCCTTTGTCAGGGCTGAGTTGTCCATACGGAGCAGGTGTGGCAGAGCTAGTTTAGGGCTCTTCGATTTGTTGTTATTAGACCCGATGCCCATTTCCTTAGTATGGGGTGTTTGCTGAGTAACAGCCATTTAGAGGTGTGTGTGTGTGTGTGTGTGTGTGTGTGTGTGTGTGTGTGTGTGTGTGTGTGTGTGTGTGTGTGTGTGTGTGTGTGTGTGTGTGTGTTGCACAAGGTCTGATGTCTTATGTGGCAGAGGAGATCTAAATTTATGCACCAGGGACCCTGAATTTTTATAGCATTTTCCCCCTCTACTCTCTGCCCTCCCAACAAGTTCTCTCTCTCTCCCTCCAGTTCTCTGCCCTTCTCCCCACATCCACTTTTGCTGTAAGAAGGTAGGTCCTGCCATTCAACAAACCACCCTATTCAGCAAAGCGCTTCAGCACACACTTAAAGCTAAGCCCATGCCTAAATTCCACTGAAGTTGGGATTACAGTAAGTACTTTGCTAAATTGGGCCACAAAGAGCAGGACTGCATGCAGGGCCAAAAACAGCCTCAATTCCTCCACACCTTAAGAGCCCACTCCTCTGCCTCCACCTCCATCTGCCGCCAATTTAAGTGCATCTGGTTTTTCCTCACTGACCTCCTTATCATGGGAATAGGGGATCTCTTTAGCCCTCCACCCCTCCCATCTTCTGTATCCCAACCCAAGCCTGCTGCCACACACAGCTCCCCACTCCTGAGGCTTGCAGGAGGGAGCTTCCAGCACAGCAAAGTGGTAATTCTGTAGCGTGACCTTTAGTTCATTCACTATGAACACAAACACACAACTCTCACCTGCAGAGTATCCGTCCCTTATACTCCTTATTCTGAGATTAAATTCAGTTCTGTTTATGCAGCCTTCACATTTTCCACATGCCACAGGTTTTAGTATTGCCAACGCTAACAGTGCAGTGGGAGCTGTTGGGAGGGGAATGAGAGCCAGAGATTTTGGCAGCAAGAGTCAGTGGGGCTGTTGGTTGTGGGGAGGGTTCCCTCACCTTTCATTCCCCATTTTGGGGGGAGGAGATGGAGGGTTGAATAATTTTGTCTCCACCAGAGCAACCAGCTGCCCAGATATTTAACCGGAGCAGGGACGTACACGATCTCGCTTCAGGCCCTGCCCTAACTCTGTTTCCCTTTCTTGCCCAGTTACCCAGACTCACACATGGGTGTTTGCCCAATAGCCCTCCACTCTGGGGAGTCTGGCTATGAACCAAGCTCATGCAATACAGACCTTCTCCCCTCCCTTCCTAGTGGCTGATACCCTAACTGCAGGGTTCTCAGTCCTATTCCTGCTGAAGTTTTCCTCCTAGCGGGATTCCCTCCCATGTGGCCTTCCTCACTGGCTCCTGCTCGCTGCAGGCTGTTCTCCCAGGCTTTCTCCCTAAGAGCTCCTCAGCCTAGGCTTCCTCACGGGCCCTTTCCTGACTGGTCCCTCCACCTGGGGAAGTGGGCTAAGCCTGGCAGAGGTGCAGCTGAGCCCCAAGCCCTTTAGAAGGCAAGGTCATCCCGGTTTACTGCCACGAACTTGAACACCAGAGATATACATTAGCCTTTTTCCTGCTAAAAGGATGAGCAGTGAAATAGTTAATGTTCACATTTAAATTCACATAATTAGGCGTCAGCATGAATATCCCATTGAATGAGTAGCTCACGCTTCTCTCAAAACTATTGTTTCAGGCTGTCTTCAAACTCAGACGGCCACCAGCTCATGTTATGTGCCACAGAGATGATTATGTGGCCACTTGCACAGCTGCATAATCATTTACACAGGCCCCTCCTTCTAGTCTTTTCTTTAATTTTACCACAGGTGGTTCAAGCGTCAGGAATGTAGGCAAGGGCTTCTTCCTTCATGGCTCTGAACAAATCCCTTTTTTCCTATTCAACTTCTGCCTCCCTTTAGAAGAGTGGAAAGGCACAGCATCCTCGAAGGATGCCACACAAGCTGTAGCTGCGGGAACTCGTATACAGTAAAATTCAGAGAACCTTCCCTTCACTCTCCCTTTTGCACCAGGATAAGGCCTTGGGTCCCTTCTAGCATGGGTGCTAGCACAATTTGGATAGTGGGGGTGCTGAGAGCCACTGAACTGAACTGTAAACCCCGTATATGATGGAACCCACATCAAGCCAGGGTGCGCAGCAGGACCCCCAGCACTCCTAGCAGGTAGCGTAGCCGGGGGGAGCAGCCGCTCCCCCTCTGGGCACCAGTGGCGCCTTTTCAATTTATAGGTGCCTTTTTAAAATTTTTACTCACCCGGCGGTGCTCCAGGTCTTCAGCAGCAGGGGCCTTCACGCGCTCCGGCTCGGCGGGGGCCTTCACTCACTCTGGGTCCTCGGCGGCATTTCGGTGGCGGGGTCCTTCAGGGCCGCCGAGGACCCAGAGCGCCGCCCGATGTGTACAAGCGGGTGGCACCCTTTTTTATGTCCGCTGCCCCTGTTCGCTCCACCTGGCTACGCCATTGCTCCTAGTTCCACCGCCTATGACTTCTAGTTCCAAGAATCCCCATATGGTGGCTATCAGAATTTCTTGTTTTACATCTGTCAGCCTAAGATGCCACTTGCCTGCCAGATTCAGATCCTGCTGCGTCTCCATGTTTGCAGTTACTATTCTCCAAATATTGTGTGAAGAAAAGTGTAAGCATTATAGAAAGATGGTCTGTCCGCTTAGACCATTAATAATAAGGAACAGCAGAGAGCTGCTCACAAACCCCCTCCTTCCACCTGCCCTTAGCCTTGAATTGGTGCTGATTGCAAGCATTCTCTGTTTTCTGTTTTTAGCCACTCGTGTATTCCACTGGCATGATTCAAGCCCTAGAGAGATTTTTGCTTACGCAAGAGTCTGTCACATGGACCTTTTCAAAAGACTGTCTGAAAAATGCAAACTTTAACCTGGGTATTTATGGAATTCAACTTTACATGTAAATGCTTCCAAAAATGTCAAGAGGAAATTAAAGAAACCAGTTCCTTCCCCTCTAAAGCTGTGATATCAGCTTCTGCTAAGCTGAGATATGACAGAAACCCAGGTGTGTTATGAATAAAAGGTTCTGTGCCTTCAGCTACTCAAGACACGTGCTGTCCAATGTAAGCACACTGTTTGAAGTGCACTATTGCTTTTATTTTTAAAAGCAGTAAGAAACTTCCATTCTATGCCTGCCCCTGATGTGAGATCTTGAGCAAGTCACTCCCTCCCAGAAACTCCACCCTTTTTCTTCCTCTTGGTCTGTTCTTGGTCTATTTACAGCTTAAGATCTTTGGGGCAGAGACTCTCTTGCTATGTGTATTTACAGCACGGAGGGCAATGTGCTGCTAATCTCAGCTGGGCCCTTTAGCCACTACTGTAAAACCAAACCACCACCAAATAATAGTACCAAATAACAACATTTTAGACCAGATGACCAATGAGACCTGACCTTTGTTTTGCAACACACACTTGCACAGTCGGAATGTAGTCTGGCCAATCATAATCCTTACATTACAATATTGTACATGCTGCAGAGTAGAGCTGCAAAGAATTTTATGTTCTTGAGACCCACCTGTGTCATTGCCAATGCAATCTATAATCAGGCATATTCCCAAAGGCCGACTCTGCATTCTGTACTGATCATCGTACACCTAGAAAAGCAAAAGAGCAAATATCTATTTCATTGCTGCGCTCTCTCTCCTCCAGTGCACAGACCTTCTCCTTTTTAACCCCCTTCCCACACAGAGCTGCCCCCTCCCTCTCTCACCCTGTGGGCTGTGCACAAAGTGGCTTGGAGAAATGTATGTGGAGGTGCTGCAGCTGTCCCTCTAACTGACATACTTCACTTCTGTGATGGGAAAGGTTCCGGAGGCATTGATGCATGGTTTTTATTTGGCACTGCTATTACCTTGGTTTGGCCCCTCACTCCATGCAATCTCACTATCTTTAATGGAGTTGCATCATAAGCCATAAACAAATGCGGAGTGTGACCCAGACTTTCTAGGAAAGTTGGGGCAAGTTTGATTGCAAAGCTGTTTACTGCAGACAGATCTTTAACTTAAGAAGAATCTTCTTAATCATATGGCCATTCACAGCAATGACCCTGATGGAGAGACTGTCAATTCTCTCTGTACACAATGGGACTTGGACAACTTTTTATTGCCACACTAACAGGAAGTGGAACAACTGTGTGTTCTATACACCTGCAGCGGCATGGTTAATTACATTAACATGTATTTCCTTACCGAGCAGTCATCTTGTGGAAAAACTACAGTTCAGTTCACTCAATCCCTCCCCTTTAACAAGTTTACCACCACTTTGCTACAGATATTCTATTCCTGGTGGAATTCTGTGCCAAAAAAAATTTAAAATTTTGCAACAAAAAATTTAAAATTATGCATATTTTATTTGTCAAAATAACACAATATCATCACACCAGTTTCAATTATTTTTGATCATTTATTTCAAAATACCTGTCAGCAAATATGTCTGTAACAATACAGACAACAAAAGATTCAGGAAATGTTTTTTTTGACAAACAGATTCCTTACTAGGCATATTAATAATGAACTCTGAGTAATAATTCACTTAAACTACAATACAGAACCGTATTTCCCGCACTCCTCAGAAGCGGTGCAAAGGCTTGGGAGAGTCAGGGGTAACAGAGGAGCTGAGGGAGAGGGAAGTAGATTGCTGGGAAGGAGCCTGGGTGTGAACTTGGAGGGTTGTTGGGTCTGGATGGGAAAAGTATGGAATGTTTTTTTTTTTTTGTGGTGGTTTTTTTTTGGTGGGGGTGGGGGTATTGTTAGGAAGCTTCCCCCACGCAGACCCTGGCTAACCCCAGCCTCTCCCATTCAGTCAGGCATACCTGCCCTTGTCCCCATGTGTCTCTGTATCCCTCCCCCATCCCCAAGCGTCTCTGTGCCCTCAGCCAGCCACTCCCCTGTCCCTGTGTAGCTCTGCACCCCTTTGCCTGCTCCCACGTCTCTGTGCCCTCAGCCAGCCACTCCCCTGTCCCTATGTAGCTCTGTACCCCTCCCCCCATGGCCCTGTGCCTCCACTCCCATTCAGCCCCTTCCCCAGTCTGTCCTCCCCCACTAGCCCTTATAAGCCCCTTCCCCAGCACCCCACAGCCCTTGTCTCCTCACCTGGCCTGACAAGCCCTGCAAGCACTTCCCTTCACTGGCAGGGAGCTGCAGCTTAGGGCTATCGCCAAAGTGCCCTCTGGTGGGCAACAGGCAGAACTGCAGCAACATTCTGGCAGAAGCTTTTTTCTCCACAATTAGAAATCTGCAGGGCTCATTAAATTTGCAGGCGCGCAGTAGTGCAGAATTCCCCCATGAATAGTATTCCCTTGCTAACAATAAAGCATACAGTAATCCCCTGCCAAAAATGCACAAGTATTATGCAATTATGCATTTTTCCAGGCATGGAAATGGAGGATGTCTCTTCAAAAATCAGTCACAAAAGAGCCTAAAGTGTATATATACCTTTTTTTTCACCTGAGATGAGGTGGCTCCCGATTCCTGTACTGATGTGTGAACTGGTTCTGCTGTGGTTACAGAACACAATATAATGATTCTCAGCATTCACGTGATATTTTAGTATGCAGATATTAGTGAGGTTTCTTTCAAAATAAAATTAAATAAAAAAGTAACCCAACATCTCTCTCCTTCAGCCCTGTTAATTCCTATCCGAGCAAATACATACTACATGTTTAAAAAAAAACAAAAAAATTCAAGTGAACCTAGCCCATGTTACTAGTGACTGAAAATCATTGTGCGCTGGCAGAACAGTGGCCTATGAATGTTCACAAAGCATCACATGTGAAAGTAGTTGGAGGTCTCAGCCTAGTTCCTGATGGACTACGGTGCCCATGATAAAACCTACATCTTATTGCCACTAATTGGCACCCCTTTTGGCAGGCTCTGCAGAGATGCCAAGGATTAAAGGCACATGGAAACACAGCTACCCTTGCACATTCCTAATCAGGGGTCCCATTAGAGTGGCAGCTCGTGGTTCTCGCAGTGTAGGGATGCCTGCACTGCTGTTGCTCATATTGTTCCAGTGTGGTGGATAACAAGAGGATATCAGTCTCCAGGGCTTCAATTCAGCACCTTTCACAAGCAATAAATTAGCCAAGATAGTAACACGTTGCAGACTTAAGAGTTCACTTTGCTTTTCTGGGCCAGCTCAGATGGATATAGGAAACCCAGAAGTGGGGAAATAAGTTAGCCCTAGTTATGTCTTGTTTTACAATGGTTAACCCTGTTTCAAAAAGGCTAGTTACCTAGATCTCTCATCTTTAATTGGCTGAGCTGGTTTGGGTTTGTTTTTTTCTAACTTGGCTTTCTTATAAGAAATATGTTTTGGATCAGTTCTCGTTTCTGTCGTTGCACTCCATGGGAATTTAGAAGTATTGTACTATTTTAGAAACACTACAGGGAAATAAATGAAAAGAGACAGAAACAAATACAGTGGTTTCCTCATTTATCCCAAGTCAAAATATACACAGAAAAATTGCCTGAAAATCCAATCGAATCTACTTTGTTCTGCTTCTTCAATACAAAGGTAAGATTGCCCCCACACCCACGTCTGTAGTTCTCTCCCTCTCTCTTTCCACATAAATAGACCTCTTAATTAAATGATCTGTGTATTTTCATCAAAACTTTACCCAAGAAAAACAGCACATAGGCACACTGATTACATGAATTTTTAACATACGCAACCATATTGTTTTATGGGCAGCATAGTCCATTAAATTAACAGCAAAAAGTAAACTGGATCTCATTCCTTTCCTTTCCCCGTGTAGTTTGCAACTTTTTCACTAGGAATGTTTCCTGAGGTCTTTCTGACCTCTCTAGATTCCCACATAGTACTTGTACTGAATCCCATCCTTGGTCTAACTATGTGACACATCTAATCAAGAGTTAAAACACCAGTTATGTGGGTAATGCTCAGGTCTACAGGCTTTATATAGTACCACATCCTATTTTAATGTGATATCTCCCACATTGGTATATAGATGGTATCTGAAGGAGACTAATTCTATTATCTTAAACAGTAAAGCATCATTTTTACTTCCTTAGATTCTACTTCAGTAAGTTAGATAGTTTGTCACCCAAATGCTTTAAAGAATGTTTAAAATGAAGGACACTGGAAAATTTAATAAAATGAGTAAATATTAAAAAATAGTGCTCGTATGGAGTGCTTACAAGCTTCAACTGAAATCAATTGGAGTGGCAGGTAATCAGCACCACTGAAAGCTAGTCCCTTAATACAAAGAAGTACACAGATGGTCTTTTTATTAATGAAAGAACAGGTAGGGTGTTCTTACTCTGAATGGCATGTTGTCCATTTAATGATCTTTCTTTGTTCACGTTCTGGATCTAAAAATTAAAAAGAAGGCATATTTTCCTCTCTTTTACCAGAAATGTACAATCACACCTTGTTAAATATCACACACGATTTTTCAAAAAGAGAAGGTTATAAATAAAGAGTTAACAGCTCTATCCACTATACAGGAGTAGCAACATTTACCGCATCAGGCACAAACTTTGGTCAAAGGTTCAGTCAAAACAAAGCCAACTCCACACAGAGGTGGAAAACTGTGAGCCAATGAGGCGTTTTGCATGCAACAGGCAGTTAAACTGAATTGAATGGGATGCTGTATCTATACTGTAGCAACTCTGAAAACTAGTTTTGTGTATTTCCCAAACTGGTAACAGAAAGGGACATTATTGTTGAAGTTGTGTTGGAGGGTGTACTATGCACTTCAGTGTATATTATATTTATGATACACTTCATACATTTATATCTACAGAATATATAAGATTGAAGAATTCTTTCTGAGGAAAGGGCTATATTAAGAAAGCTGGAATTATCATGACATCAGTGTCAGACAACATATTCAAGACCCAGCTGCAAATCTAGGATAAATTACATACGACAAGAATAAACTCCTAATAATCTCAAACGGACTTGTCATATATTCAGTCAAGATCATTGATCAAAACATAGACTTTATGGGAAATCTAAGGAAAGTTACCTTTCCCAAAAACATAAACCAAAACCTTCAGCTTCGAACAGTCAGTGGGAAAAGTATTTTTCCATAGGTTTTCCATGACGCACCACAGCCATACATAAGGATAAAGAGCTTGATCTTGTCCTAGTAACTCAGGAAAAAAACACCCCTTCGTAGCTTCAATGGAAGTTCTGTCTGAGTTACAAGTGCTAGATCAGGACCAAAAAAGCAGCAGGTAAAAGGGACTAGACAAATAGATTGAGCAATGCATTATATTCCAGTTACTAGAAGTACCAAGTGCCCTGAATTAGTTTTCTCTATCCCCCAACTTCTTGGAAGGTCAATTTCTTCTTGCTCCTGACAGCTTTTACAGACAAACCACGAATCTGGCCGATCTGATGCATACTTACCCCTGAACTGTAGGGAGGGTCAATGAGAGTCAGGTTAGGGAGAGATGCCTGAAGTGCATTTATATACATTGGCTGAGAACCACTGTTGGACAGAGCTGAAAATTGAACAGAAATATACAGAGATGAAATTAGCTGTGGTTATTAAAGCAGAGCCTTCTCCCCAAGATGAGTATGTGTTTCAACAGTGCCCAGCACAATGGGGTCCTGGTCCTTGACTGGGGGCTTCTAGGCACTAATGCAATACAGATTAATAATCATTAATAATGAGTCAGTCAATTTTTCAGTCACAGCTGGATCACCATCCTAAGGGCGTAGTACTGTACCTACATATTGCAAAGCTCTTCAAAATGGTAGCATGTATTCCAGTGTGCAGCAGGTGAAGGGAAAAGTTATATTCCCCATTCTGAATGTCCTTGGTATTGTGATATATCTAAGCATTTTTTTACACTGTAGTTCCTCGAAAATGTAATCCAGTGTCTTCATCACCAAGCGTGTCCAATTCTTAGGAGGACTGAATGATCCCTATTCAGTACTGAGGTGAAAAACATGTGTCTTACCTTCACATTTGTACCGCTGGATCTTCTTTTTCAGGTCTATCCTATGAATGTTCTGCAAACAGTCTTCTATCAAATCCAACTGATTCGGAGCCACCAGATTTAGTTTCTCTAGATCACTGACAACAGCCAGGAAACTCTAGGACAGCAGCAGAAAGCATTACAAACTCGAAGGCCAGCAATTTGTTCCCTACCAGAAACTCTGGGAAGAGCAAGTCTAGCCTCAGTAGCCCAACAAAATGATACAGGGCATAATGCAGGCTCTCCTTTAACTCTTCAGAGACTACGAATGCAAGTCCTCCTAAGCATTCACACAGCTGCCAGTCTGGAATGTGCAAGGATTCTTGGTGTCATGCCAATTTATTATCTGAAAGCTAGAGTGTGATGCTGTTGCAAAGACACATCATAGTGTTTGAGGAAACAGTTTTCATTTTCTCCCCACTGCTCAGTCAGCCAGGCAGAACCTTGCCTCACATGCCACAGAGTATGAAAGCCTTGGGAAATCTGTATTTTTTTCCCCCCACCCACTCTTTTCTCTGCAAGAAAAACCTCAGTGACAAAAAAACAAATTTCTTAAACTTGTGCTCTGTGAGGACAGATTAATTATCTCCCAATTACTGCATCCCTCTGACTCAGAACACCCAGAGAGACACAACCAGGATTCAAATGGAAGAAGAGCTGCTTTGGTAAAATAAACCTGTTTGTTTAACATGTGAACTAGGGGACAAACACGAAGGGGCATTATCCCCATAATCATGGTTACATTCATATTTTTCTCCATTTGGGAGGGAGAGGGATTGGATCCCACATACTTTCAAATGGCAGAACTTTTAAGGGGAGAGGCTTTATTTCTGAGTTTCTTCCAGCAACTAGTCCCACTAAGTGTAGCACTCTTCATATTTCCCTCTCCTCATCTCTCTAGATCTTAGTTCCTGTTCCATCCTATTTGATTTTAATGCATCATCATCCCGCCCATAATTCCTTATTTCTGCTTCTCTTTTCCACTGTTTCTATGCATCTCTTTTCTCTCCCTTCGGGTTTCACATGTTATTTTGGTAACTTGCCTTTTCCTTTAGTTTCTCATTCACCTACCCCTTCCATTTTGGAGCAAAAAAGATAATTCAATATGGAAACAAAAAGTAGGCATTACCTTCTCTTTTGCCATTTTCATACGTGGCACATAATCCTTGAGCAGGAAAATGACAGAACCCACTTCTTTTTTATCCAGCTCTTCGTTAATCTCTACCATCAGCACCCTGCAAGAGAGATCAGCCATTTCCAAAGGATTAGCTTTCAGTAATATCCCAGTCCTGCTCAAATGGCCCATGTCACAGAAACAGGCTTTATCCAGCTCCCCAGTCTGATTAAATAATCCATTCCTTGCAATCAACACATATATCTCTCTAAGTCTCCAAGACACACTCAGTAGGGAGAAGGGTCCAGTGGTTAGGAGAGCAGACTGGAAATCAAGGGAAGTGGGTTTATATTTCTGGCTCTGACTTTGACTTGATGTGTGAGCACGTTAACCTACAACCCACCAAGTCATAACATTAAGTGTTACGATTACATGACTTCTGACTGCTTCAGGGGACTAAAGGAAAGCAGGAGAGGGATCAGGAAGACATGTTCTCCAAATGGGTGTCACGATTTCCTATTGACTCAATTCCCACAGTCCTTCCTAGTCTTTTGAACAATTGCTGTAAAAGTCGCTGTATAGATAAATTCTGATAGCACCCTGTGATGGGGTAGGAATGGACTGGGCGCACCCGGCCCTGCACAGTCTGGACTGTCCCAGCTGGAGCCAGGGCTTTAAAAAGTGAAGAAGAGCAGTACAGAGGGAGGCAGCAGAAGGGAGCACAGGGCTGCTCTGAAGGGAAAATGCTACTACCCAGGAGCTCATTGCCTGGGATCTGGCAACACAGATCTGGGCAAACCCACGGAGGGGAGGCAGACAACTGGGATTGCAGGCCAGAGATTTAGGGAAGTTACTCCAGGAAGCAAAAGGGGACTGGGGTAGGAAGTGGTCCAGGGAAGAGCAACGGTTTAGCACCCCAAAATGTCAAGTGTAGCTGCCTAGCAGTAGACCCTGGACTGAAGCCCACTGGAAAGGGCATTACCCCACCAGGAGTCTTCACCTTGGTGAGACACCTGCAGGAAAGGCCTTGAGTGTTCAAGTGCCCAGCCCCAAGCAGGTCTCTGTGCTAAAGGGAAGGACTGGAAACCATTGTGCCAGGGGTACTGAAGGAACGGACTGTGCTTTCAACATGGAGGTGCCTGCCAAAACCCCGCCAAACCATTAGGCAGCACTTTTGGTGCCTGTACACCTAGGATTGCCAACTTTCTAACAGCAGAAAACTGAACACCCTTCCCTCGCCCCACCCCTCCCCCCACACTCACTCCATCCCCACTCCCTCCATTGCTCGCCCTCCCCTCCCCCCCCCCGCTCATTTTCAGCGGGCTGGGGCAGGGGTTGGGGTGAAAGAGGAGGTGCAGGCTCCAGGGTGGGACCAGAAATGAGGGCTCCGGAGTGTGGGAAGGGGCTCCAGGCTGGGACAGGGGTTGGGGTAAAGGAGGGTGTGAGGGCTTCGGCTGGAGGTGTGGGCTTTGGTGTGGGGCTGGAAATGAGCAGAAGGGGCTCCTGGGCTGGGGCCGAGGGGTTTGGAGTGTGGCAGGGAGTGTGGGGTGCGGGCTCTGGGAGGGAGTTTGGGTGAGGAAGGGGGCTGGGGCAGGGGGATGGACTCTGTAAGGGAGTTTGGGTGCAGGAGGGGGTTCAGGGCTGGGGTGCAAGCTCCGGGCGGCGCTTACCTGAGGTGGCTCCCGGGAAGCCGGCTCCTATGCACAGGAGTAGCCAGGGGACTCTGTGCGCTGCCCTCGCCCACAGGCACCACCCCCGCACCTCGGTTCCTGGCCAATGAGAGCTGTGGAGCTGGCGCTCGGGACGGGGGCAGCACGCCGAGTTCCTTGGCTCCCCCGTGTCTAGGAGCTGGAGAGATATGCTGCTGCTTCCGGGAGCTGCGCGGAACTGGGTAGGGAGCCTGCCTTAGCCCCGCTGTGCCACCAACCGGACTTTTAGTGCCCGGACAGTACTGCCTGGGCGTTCCGATCAAAAACTGGACACCTGGCAACCCTATATACCTTCTACACACCCTCTCTCCCATCCTAAGAGCTGAACATCAGAATTATGTAGTCTGGAGCAGGTGTAATTCTGCGGGTAAGTCAATGATCGAAAGGTAAGAAGAGACTCCGCAGTATTGCACTGGTCCAGTATAAAATCATTGACTCTCTCAACATCTCCAGTGTCACAATGAAGAAGCTACTGTCTCATACTTGCACGAAGGACAAGCTCACTGCATACCTTGCAGGAAAAATAGTACAGCATGTGAAGAATTACTCAAAGAATTTTGTCATTGCATGGTGTAATGAAGCTGCTGCCTTGTACTGTTCAGTGGCATTTCTTCATGGTTCCCTTGAGGAGGTTGAAACTAAAATTATCTTGTATGCCATCAATGCCAGAGGGAGGTGCTACTAAACCCTGGATATTTACGCAAGACACAGATGGTCTAGTGCTCTCCGAGAGACGCTACCCAAAACTTCTGCAAGATTCTGTTTCCTGTGCCTGCTCCTGGGAGAAATGAATCGCTGTATATCCCTCAGAGATGTGTGCCTATCACTTGGGCCATTAAAAGCTGCTGCCCTGCCAGGTTTCTACGACCATTCAGGATGTGACATTACTGGAAGGTTGGCTGGAAAGTCCAAATTATCTTACTGGAAGGCATTTATTCCGCCTGAATAAATACTCATTCAGCCAGAATACTCATTCTGAAGTTGCTCAGAACAGCTGAGGCTATGGCTACACTTGCAGCTGTAGAGTGCTTTGGGTTAAACCAGCCTTTAGAGAGCGCCCTAGGGAAAGCTCCGCAGTCTGTCCACACGGACAGCTTCAAGCGCACTGGCGTGGCCACATTTGCAGCACTTGCAGAGGCACTGGGAGCGGTGCATTATGGGCAGCTATCCCAGCGTTCAAGTGGCTGCAACATGTTTTTCAAATGAGGGTGGTGGGGTGGAGTGTGGTGTGTATATGTGGGGGGGGAGAGAGAGGGTTTTTGGGGTGCTGACAATGTGTCAGCACGCTGTCTTGTAAGTTCAGACCCCCAGACACCCCCCCCAACTCACTCAAAGCAAACAGTAAATGTTTGTCTAAGCAGATAAGCAGCTGCTGTCTGAACACGTCCACATTCCTGCAGCGATTTCACAACAAAGGGAAGAGTGACCACTTGGCTTAAGGGGATTATGGGACGTTTCTGGTGGTCAATCAGAGCGCAGTAACTTAACTCCTCATTCACACTGACGCTGGGGCATCTCAGCCAATACGCAACAGATGTTATCCCTCTCGCCAAGGTAGAGTACCAGGAGCGCTCTAGCCAGGGAGTCAGAGCGCTCTATGTGGACGGGGAGTAAGGTAGAGCGCTCTGAGTGGCTTTATTGCGTATAAAGTGCAAGTGTAGCCAAGCCCTGAGACAATGCTGTTGAGGTCATAAGCCCCTTGGTGGAGTTCATATGCCGAGTTTATCATTTCAAGACCAACATTACGACACTTGCAGAGCTATGCTGGCAGATATTTTTCCAAGAAACAGACAAATGGAGACAAAATTGCCACCAACAAGATATGTATTGGCACCTGGTATCAAGGGGGGGGGGGGGGAAATCATCAAGCAATGGAATGGCTCTGGAATGACCAAATGATCCAAAACTACCCTCCTCTATTGGGCACGGATGGGACTTAGAGGATGGACAGATAACATCAATTATATGTGAAATACCATATGTTCCTGAATCAATCCTTCAACTAATCAAATGCTCATGTCCAAAGACCAGATGTTCATCACCCTGCAAAAATGTGACAAGCAGTCTGCCTTATACAGAGATGAACCAGTGTGGGACTGACAAGGATCAGTGTGACACCCTGTCTAGCAATGGTGCCTTAGACCAGTGGTTCTCAACCAGGGGTACATGTACCCCTGGGGTACTCAGAGGTCTTCCAGCGGGTACATCAACTTATCTAGTTATTTGTCAAGTTTCACAACACGCTACATAAAAAACCCTAGTGAAGTCAGTACAAACTAAAATTTCATATAGACAATGACTTGTTTATACTGCTCTACATACTACACTGAAATGTGACTACAATATTTATATTCCAACTGATTTATTTGATAAATAAGGTAAAAATGAGAAAGTAAACAATTTTTCAGTAATATTGTGCTGTGATACTTTTGTATTTTTGTAAGCAAATAGTTTTTAACTGAGGTGAAACTTGGGGGTACACGAGACAAATCTGACTCTTGAAAGGGGTATAGTAGTCTGGAAAGGTTGAGACCCACTGCCTTAGACAGAGGCAACACTGACGGTGACTTGGATGAATAAATGTTTTCAGTCCTTCATGTCAAGGCTAACTTCCCGAGGATTACCAAAGAGCAATATCTGTTTTATTCTGGGAGATATGCTGCTGGAGACAATCCTGCACTGTAGGTTTACGTGGCCTGGTTTTGAATGAATGGACAATGATGAATGGGGGTCACTAAATATGGTGATGCTGTAGAGGGTCTTGTCTATCTATTCATCCCCACTGCTCTTCCTTCTAGCTATATAAATCATATAGGTACCTAGTGTTTAATGTATATAGTTCCCCTCTGTTAAATATGAAGCCACACACTTAACACCACTACTTCTAAGAAACTGGTAGGCTGGATGTAGGGATCAACTTCGGAGAGCGTCTTTATTATACCGGTTTCAGAGCAGCAGCCGCGTTAGTCTGTATTCGCAAAAAGAAAAGGAATACTTGTGGCACCTTAGAGACTAATCAATTTATTTGAGCATAAGCTTTCGTGAAAAGCTTACGAAAGCTTATGCTCAAATAAATTGATTAGTCTCTAAGGTGCCACAAGTACTCCCTTTCCTTTTTATTATACCGCTATGTGATCCTCTTTTCTGCTATTCTTTTACCCATAATTTATATTAAACCAATAACAACAAAAAGTTACTCTTGAAAAGTGAAACAGACAAATTACCTGTAATCAGAGACCATTCTAGGATACCTGGCCAAATCAGTCTCCACTGCTGTTCTCTCTGTCCTCAGGGCCCTCCTCAGCAAGTCAAACCTCCTCACTCTGTATAACAGCTCAGACAAACCCAATGGCAGCTTTCCCTTCTCATTCAGCACCCCCAGGAGATCCCTGATGTCTGTATTAGATAAATCAGGAACCAGATCCCGGCACAGGAAAAACATCATCTCCTTTTCATCTTCGTCCAATTCCTGCTCGATCTGGTGAATGAGGGCAGCTGGCACTTGGCACTTTGTCATCACAAGCTGCTGTCCCTTTAAGTTTATCTGCCCTCTTTTTGTGTTTTAAGCAGGAAGCCAACATGTCATGAAGTCCATTTGCAACAGAACATGTGGTTCGTTGTTGATCTTAATCAGATGTTTTTAAATAGAGAAATTCTGTTGGAAAAAAAAAAAAATTACAGGCCCTGCTTGAATTGATGATTTACTGAGCAACCTTTCAAGTAATCCAAGTTCCTGCTGCACTTCAATCTTTGAGGCATTCAAGTTCCGGTCAAAATGCTGATCCTACTTACAAAGGTCCAGTATTCGTGAAGGGGTTCCCCAAGCTGTTCATTATGAATAAAAAAAAGTACATGATAGATCAGTATCAGCAGAGAATGGAAGATCCATTTAAGTAAAGCACTATTAATTACGCAAATCTGTAAATTCCAAAGGAAGTGAAACAAAAAACAACAGCCCACAAATGAGAACAGTGAGTGTTCAAGTTGTTTTAGAACATGAAAAGTTCAGAGCCATAAAATTAAAAAATCTAAACCCAATCATTCTCACAAAAGAAACAAAGAAAAAAAGTCTCAGTACACTTTCCTGCAAAAGTTTAACAGCCAAGAGGTGTAGTGAAGTCTCTTGTTACTAAGACAGTACTTAGTACTGGTTACTAAGAGGTACTTTTAAAAAGTGTACTACAAAACATTATCTAGTATTCACAGCACATATTAGCTAGCATAACATGGACTAGTGTAAATACATTAAACATAAAGCACACTTGTCAAAATAGAGGCGCAAAGTATATTTTATGATGTATTATCCTTGCTTATCAGCATAAAACACCAGGCTCACTTACTGGTCAGTTCATGAAATCCAATAATCCATGGTGGGTTCTCTTAGTTGCTGATTCCAGTTAGGGAGGGTCCACTGTAAATGAGTTTTTAAAAAGGTTTTTCTTTTACTTAAAAAGAAGTCCAACACAAACTTATAATAAATCTTTGAAGGTGCAGATGGGCCTTGTGCTGCATTTTTAATAGCATGCATTTACTTTTCTTTAACCTGTTAATGCCTCACCATTTTCAAAGATGTCTTGAATATTCAGAGTGTAAGAATAGTATTTGGTTAAGGAACTGGGCTGAGTTTCTGGAGACCAGGGTTTCTCCTTCCTGTTCCTGCCACACAGCTCTTGGCCAAGTGTCTTAGTCACCCACTGTCTCAGTTCCCCATCTATTAAATGGGGTAATAGGCCTTTCCTACCCCACAAGAATAGGGTGAGAGTAAATGCATCAGTGTTTGTGAGGTACTCCTTTACCATGTACGTAGCTAGGTAGATAGCTATTTTCCAATGTACTTTTCTCTGAAGTGAAAGTCAGTCGGACTTAAGTGACTTAGGCACCTAACGGCTTTTGAGAATTCTACCTATCATGTTTAAAGCTGCTGCTGTGCTTTTCAGTCCTTTGCCACAGACTTTGGAAGTCATGGCTCCAGAAATGGTGAACAGATAATATATACTGCTTCCAGCCAGTTCAAAGTAGATCAGAGAAACCCAGCTGGAAGCAATTTTCTTCCCTTGCAGACCCTTGTTAAAAACAATACATCTCTTTCATGTAAACACCTGTGCCTCACATCTCATACATGAATAAAAATAAAGGCCCATTAAACCCACAAGCCAAACCACTACAAAGAACTAATCAAGTTCCCAGTGCAAGGTCTCATTCAGCTATATGTTCCACTGTACACAATGACCCATATTTTCTGTAGAGCCAAAGACTGTGTCTCCATTTGACTTTTTATAACCTCAGACTTCCAATGTCCCGAGCAGGGGTGGTAGCAACAACAGGAAGAGCTGCTGGTGTGTCACCAACCCTAAGGAGCACAGGTCTAGACAACATAAGGATTACAATGGCATTGGTTGCAGGCACCTTGTCTGCACGATAGAGCCAACCTGTGGAAGCAGCAATAGGAAATTGGAGGAGAAAAACTAGCAGAGACAAGGCCAAACACCTGTTGGGAGATCCAGTTACAACAAAGCTAAAACACAACTCCATTTTGCAGTGTAGATGAGATCTAAATTATTTATAATCAAGTTTCCAATCCCCAACAAAGCCTGAGGTTTCAGCACTGAACTGCAACAGAAATCAATTAGAGTGCTAAGTGCTCAGACTCTCTAAAACAGTGTTTCCCGAACAGTGGGTCCTTATCTACCGGTGGGTCACAGGAAGGGTCTAGGTCAGGGGTGGGCAAACTATGGCCCGCAGGCTGCATCCGGCCCACCAGACATTTTAATCTGGCCCTCAAGCTCTTGCTGGAGAGCGGGGTCTGGGGCTTGCCCCACCCTGGCACTTTGGCACTTCAGCTGGGAAGCAGGGTTTGGAGCTGCTCCACACAGCTCCCGGAAGCAGCAGCTCTGGCGCTCCAGCCGGGGAGCAGAATCGAGGGCCGCTTCACATGGCTCCTGGAAGCAGCGGCATGTCTACCCTCTGGCTCCTACGCGTAGGGGAAGCCGGGAGGCTCCGCTCTGCATGCTGCCCCCACCCCAGTAGCTGCCTCCGCAACACCCACTGGCTGGGAACTGCAGCCAATGGGAGCTGCAGGGGTGGCGCCTGCAGACAGGACAGCGTGCAAAGCCGCCTGGCCATGACTCCACATAGGAGCTGGAGAAGGGACATGCCGTTGCTTCCAGGAGCGGCTTGAGGTAAGCACTGCCCTAAGCCTGTACCCCTGAGCCTCTCTGCGCGCCCCTGCCCCAGCCCTGATCCCCCTCCCACCCTTCAAACCCCTCGATCTCAGCCCAGAGCACCCTCCTGCACTCCCAACCCCACCCCAGAGCCCGCACCCCCAGCAGGAGCCTGCACCCCTTCCCGCACCGCAACCCCAGCCCTGATCCCCCTCCTGCCCTCTGAACCCCTTGATCCCAGCCTGGAGCAACCTCCTACACCCCAAATTCATCCCCAGCACTGCCCCAGAGCCCGCCTTCTGCCCCCACTCTCCACTCCCCCACCTCAGCCTGCACCCTGAATTCCTAATTTCTGGCCCCACGCCAGAGACCACACCCACTCCCCATTTCCAATTTTGTGAGCATTCATGGCCATACAATTTCTATTCCCCAATGTGGCCCTCGAGCCAAAAAGTTTGCCCACCCCTGGTCCTGGTGGATTCTGCATTTCCCGGAAATCCCCTCTCCCCCATCTCTGACTTTTCCTGGGCAGCAGGCTGGGGAGTGGGATTTGGGCAGCAGCCGGAGCCAGCAAACTGGTAGTCAGCAACCTCTCCTTGCCCCGCACGTGCTCCAGAGGTGCCTTCCTCACCCCTCTCACTTCCCCTGGGCAGCAGACCGTGGCCTGGGGAGCTGGATCCTGGTGGCAGCACAGAGGAAGCACCTTCCGGGCACATGCAGGGCAGGGACAGTGTGCTAACTGTCCTCTCGCTAGCTCTGGCCACTTCCTCAGCGCTGCTGCTGCCCAGATCCCGCTTCCACTGGACAGCAGGCAGAGGTGTGGGGAGCAGGATCTGGGCAGCTGCACGGAGGAAGCAGCCTGAGCCAGCGAGCCTGGGAGCTATCATGGCCCAGCTCCAGGGAGAGAGGGCCCAAGGCTGGGAGAGTAAGAGCAAGTGGGCTGGGTGGAGCTGAGCAGAGAACTTGGGCTGAGAAGGGAGGGAAGAGGGGAGCAGAGAGCTGAAAAGCGGGGAGCAAGGGACTGGAGGGCTGAGAAGGGGGGCAGCAGTAATGGCAGGTCCCCAAAAAAGACAGAATGCAACTGGTGGGTTACCTTAGTAAAAAGCTTGGGAACCACTGCTCTGAAAATCAGCACTCAGTACTTCATGTATTCATAAGAGCATTGTATACGTACACTGCACTAGAAGTAAACATGTAGGGAAAATATACAGCCACAGTATTTCCACTACGGTACAACACCAGGAAACCCCAACACTTGACTGCAAAGCCTCTGGTATGCTTTAATGTTTCTGCATATTGAAAGCTACAATGGAGAGACCACAATACAACACTTTTCCTCATCACATCCACCATTTAGGAACCCAGAGAAATGAAACACAAGCTGTTTCATTTCTGTCTGCTGACAATGCGGTGAGAAAATTAACCCTAGGGCTGCCTCTACCACAGTGGCACAGGTAGAAAATAGGTGATCTCCTAGGCCAGTAATCAACACACAAGTCTATAAATGCTTGTATTTCAGTGGAAGCTGACACTTCCTCTCAACAGAACTCTTTCAAATGTGTGGGATAATTTTTTTTATTATAACTAGTTGAACAAATTTGAATATCCAATTTTTTTTGACAAAAACCAGGATTTTGGGGCAAAAATTTGCATTTTTGACCAGCTCTAATTTTTATAAACACACACACACAAACACACACCCAGACATACCTACTCATAAATAAACATCCACCCACACCTAATGTTTTTTAGGGGTTGGCATGGGAGATGGGGCATCTTCAGGTCTCGATGAGGGCTGAGGAATCCCCCCACCCAATACACCAGAAAGTGATTTGCACAGTTTTCTGTCGGGGAAAAAGGTTTAACAGGTTTTTATTCTTCAAACCAAAACCAAAAAATTGTGGGAATTCCATAGAGGAAGGAGGAAACAGAGTGATTGTGTTTAAAAAAAAAAAAAAAAAAAAAGAGCAGCCAAGGGGGTGCTGGCACCAATGGTACCTGCCTCTGAAAGACACAGTTCTTAACAGCTAAAAGTGGGATTTTCAAAAGAGCCTAAGGGAATCTGGCATCCAACTCCTGTTTAATTTCAAGGGGATCTGGGAGTTTAGTTCCCTTAGGCTCTTTTGAAAGATCCTAACCTACACATATTTGTGAAGCTTACTAAAAAGGTACTTCCCAACAGAGCTCAGATTTCAAACATGCAAAAGGATTATTCACATACTTCCACTGAGATTTGCTTTAGATGGCTTTTTACGCTATTTCTACATCATGAACTCCCACATTTACTAGAATGTCTGTCATGTGCTCATCATGCAAAACTGCAGATTAGTACTTCAAGCTGATTTAATTTATATATAAATTAAACATCTACTGCGAAGATGATATCACAAAAGAGGAACCAGATTACCAAACAATCCCGATCGCTTTGTATCCATGACCTGTCCTCTTCCTTATTTACCATGCCCCCGATTTTTGTATCATCTGCAAATGTTATCAGTGATGATTTTGTGTTTTCTAGGTTTTTTTATCATTGATAAAAATGTTAAAAAGCATAGGCCAGAGAACTGATTCCTGCAGGACCCCACTAGGAACGTACCAGCTCAATGGTGATTTACCATTTACAATTACATTTTGAGACCTATCAGTTAATCCAGGGGTGGGCAAACTTTTTGGCCTGAGGGCCACATCTGGGAATAGAAATTGTATGGTGGGCCATGAATGCTCACAAAACCGGAAATGGGGTGCGGGAAGAGGTGAAGGCTCTGGATGGGGGTGCGGGCTCTGGGGTGGGGTCAGAAATGAGGAGTTCAGGATGCGGGATGGGGCTCTGGGCTGGGGAGGGGGAGTAAGGTGGCGGGGGTGAGGGCTCGGGGGTGGTGCTGGAGATGAGAGGTTTGGGGTGGAGAAGGGTGCTCCAGGCTGGGATCGAGGGGTTCAGAGGGCAGGAGGGGGATCAGGGCTGGGGCACATGGAGAGACTCAGGGGTGCAGGCTCAGGGCAGAGCTTACCTCAAGCGTCTACTGGAAACAACGGCATGTCCCTTCTCCGGCTCCTATGTGGAGGCGCAGCCAGGCAGCTCTGCACGCTGCCCCATCCACAGGCGCCACCCCTGCAGCTCCCATTGGCTGCTGTTCCTGGCCAATGTGAGCTGCGGGGGTGGTGCTTGGGGTGGGGGCAGTGCGCAGTCCCCTGGCTGCCCCTATGTGTAGGAGCCGGAGAAGAGACATGCTGCTGCTTCCAGGAGGCGTGTGGAGCAGCCCCCAACTCTGAATCCGGGAGCTGCATGGAGCAGCCCCCAACACTGCTCCCGGCTGGAGCACCAGAGCGAGGCAAGCCACAGACCCTGCTCCCCAGCGGGAGCTTGAGGACTGGATTAAAATGGCTGGTGGGCTGGATCCGGCTCACGGGCCGTAGTTTGCCCACCCGAGTTAATCCATTTAATATGTGCCATGTTAATTTTATATAGTTCTAGTTTTTCAATCAAAATGGGGTGTAGTATCAAATCAAATGCCTTACAGAAGTCTATTACATCAACCCTATTACCTTTATCAACCAAACTTATAATCTCATAAAAAAAATTAGTCTGACAGTATCTATTTTCCATAAACCCAGGGTGATTGGCATTAATTACATTACCCTCCTTTTATTCTCTACTAATAGAGTCCCATATCAGCTGCTCCATTATCTTGCCCAGGATTGATGTCAGTCTGACAGGCCTCTAGTTACCCAGGTCATCCTGTTCACCCTGTTTAAATTCTGGTACAACGTTTCCTTTCTTCCAGTCATCAGGGACTTCCCCAGTCTTCCCAGGATTATTTAAAATAATATGTCAGACCTGCTTATAGGGCTATGTCATCTCCCTGTACTGTCTGAGCCTCTCACTGTGTATAGGGTCTTTGTTGTCCAAGGCCATGAACTCTATTTCAGATCAGATACTGCAACTCTATTTCCTATTCAAACTATGCCCCTCACTCTCTTGAGAGCTTCATGCAGGTGGATTCCTGTCACATAGAGCTCATTGCAGGATCAGGGCCAATGTGACTGGCTGATGACAGAGATGTCTGTGACTGTTCTTTCTAGTACCTGATGCTTTGTCCCTGATCAAAAAGGCCCAATGTAGGCACGGAAGGGAAGTTCGGTCTCTAGGCTCATTTAATCCCTAGCCCCCTGCTGAAACAATCAGCTAGCACGCAGTCTGACGGTGATTCGTGATTCATAGGTTCACATAGTACATTTATAGTGCAATTATAAACCTGCAGCACCAAGTCTCAGAGCCCAAGTCAGCTTGGTCTCAGAGCCAGGGCTTCAACCCCAGCATCTCCATTACAATTTTTAGCCCTGCAGCCTGAGGCCAAGTCAGCTGACCTGAGCTCTGAAACTTGGTGTCACAGGTTTTTTTTAAATCACAGTATAGCTGTACCCATAGATTCCAAGGCCAGAAGGGATTGTTGTGATGATCTAGTCCAGGGGTCGGCAACCTTTCAGAAGTGGTGTGCTGAGTCTTCATTTATTCACTTTAATTTAAGGTTTTGCGTACCAGTAATACATTTTAACATTTTTAAGACGGTCTCTCTCTATAAGTCTATATCTTATATAACTAAACGATTGTCGGCTGTACAGTAAACAAGGTTTTCAAAATGTTCAAGAAGCTTTATTTAAAATTAAGTTAAAATGCTGATCTTACGCCGCCAGCCTGCTCAGTCGGCTGCCAACCTGGGGTTCCGTTCACCTAGGCTGGACATGGGGTGTGAGGGGGCTGGGTATGTGTGTGGGGTGCAGGAGTCAGGGCAGGGGGTGTGGGGGGCTGGGTATGTGTGGGGGATACTGGAGTCAGGGCTGGGGTCTTGGGGGGGTGCAGGGGTCAGGGCAGAGGGCTGGGTGTGTGTGAGGGGGGTGCAGGGCTCAGGGCAGGGGTGTGTGTGGGGGGATGTAAGGTTCAGGGCAGAGGGCTGGGGGTGTGGGTTGGGGTCGTGGGGGGTGCTCCCAGCCCCAAGCAGCTCACAACAGGGGGCTGGAGGGGATATGCCCTGATTCCACCCCCCTTCCCCAAGGCCCTGTCCTCACCTCTTCTCCGCCTCCTCCCCAAGCAGCGAGCCCTTGCAAGGGCCATCAGCTGATCGGAGTCAGGGAGGGAGAGGAGGAGGGGCAGGAACGCAGCACGCTGGGGGAAGAGGCAGGGGAGGGGGGAGCTTCTTCACCCTGCCCCGGTGGGGGGGCAGGTGGAGAAGAGCGGGCCGGGGCAGGCAGGATTTTTAATGGCACGCTGCTGCCTGCCAGGGTCCCAGCCTGGGTTCGGAAGCAGGCTGAGCGGGGCCAGTGGCTGGGACTCGGCAGGCAGCAGCGTGCCATTAAACATCAGCTCGTGTGCCGTCTTTGGCACATGTGCCATAGGTTGTCGACCCCTGATCTAGTCTGACCTCCTGTATAACTTTTGTATTCTTGTGCCTCTTCTCTGAACCTTCTCCAATTTTTCAACACCTTTCTTGAATTATGGGCACAGAACGGGACCCACTATTCCAGCAGCAGTTTGACCATTGCCAAATATAGAGATCTACAACCTCCCTTGATATGACAGACTTTTTTGCAACTGCTTCACATAATGTGTGCCATGTTAATTTTATATCTTTCTAGTTTGTTAATTAAGATGTCATGCGATATGACAACGCCTTAAAGAAGTCTAAGTATATTACATCAACACTATTACCGTTATCAATCAAACTTGTAGTCTCATAAAAAAAGAAACCAAGTTACTTTGACGGGATCTATATTCCATAAACCCATGCTGATTCGCATTAATTCTATTACTCTCCTTTAATTCTTTATTAATTGAGTCCCATATCAACTGCTCCATCATCTTGCATGGGATTATGTCAGACTGACAGGCCTATAATTACCCAGATCTTCCCAGTCACCCTTTAAATATTGGCAAAACATTAGCTTTCTTCCAGCCTTCTGAAATTTCCCTGGAGTTCGAACACTTATTGAAAATCAGCATTAATGGTCCAGCGAGCTCCACAGCCAACTCTTTTAAAATTCTTGTTTAAAATGCAAGTTATCTGGACCTGCTGATTTTAAAGTGTCTATCTTTTAGTAGCTTTTGTTTAACATCCTCCTGATATAGCAGTGGAATGGAAAAAAAGCGTTATATGACTACATCATCAAGTGTGTTTGCCAAAGCTAGGAGATTGTTACAATAGGCATGACCTGCTGCTCCCACCTCTAAGATCATCTGCATACCGCAGCTCAATGTAAAAAGCTTGTAAAGCACATGTAACCCCACATCTACTTCATTGTACTTACTAGGAAATCTGGAGTCACTTTGGAAGGGATAAATCTTACTCAACAACATCCGATACAGTTGTACCTCAGAACCTCCACCAAATATGGTGACACGATTATGGAAGAAAAATGGAGGGCTTCCCCAACCCTCATCCTCACCCCTCTGCATCCCAGACACAAAATTTTACAGGGAGCTCCCCCTCCTGCAGCTGTCAGTAATATAAAGGCCGGGGAAAGCATGATGGGTGGCCTTGTTACACACAACAGAGTGGAAACAAAGGGTCATTTCCTACCTCCTTAGATAGCTCACTTCTTCTCTCTCCATGTATTCAACCTGTGAAAGGCAATGGGGAAAGCCCCAGTGTCAGTGGGGGTGTATGACTGAGGCAGGCAGCTTGTTGTAAAGCTATTATAGTTCACAGTCACACCAAAACCCACAGACCTTAGAGCACAGTGGGACTCCGCTGTGAGGGAGTCATATGGTCTCTGGGGTAAAGGGGCTAGATTCTAGTGACTCACAAGGGCACAGCTGCCCTTCTCTCTCCTCAAAGAAGGGGAAGAAGCATAGCCCAAAGGGGATGATAGGATCATCAGTTAAATACAAGTCTCTGCCTTTCGGGCTACAACACAAACAGGGAAATTCAAAGTTTGGCCCCACGTGCCTTTGTGAGAAACCACCATGCTAAGGTAAGGACACATTTTCTATCAAAATTCTGGCCTGACTTTTGTCCACATGGGTTACACTCTAACCTAGACTCTCTAGGGAAAATTAAAAGATTAAAAAGTATATTTGCTTGTCAGGCCATAACATTCCTGTTCCTTGAATGAACAGGAAGAGCCACACTCAAATCAAACAGCAATGAAAATCCAGTACATTCATTTACTTTTATGAAGCTGTTTCACTCTCGCCATAGAATTAATTAATCCCTGATCCTCCAAGTCACTCCACACACTCCAGACCCGAGTCCATGCAGAGCTAAGTGCAAAAATCAGAACCTAAGGTAGTTTATAAAACTACCACAACAACTTCTGAACCCAGGTAACAGTGATATGCCAGCAAATCACACACAAAGACCTGTATTTCTGGTTGCATCTACCTTGGCTAAAATGGGTCCTGTCATTCACTAGTGACAATAGCAACTGTAATATACCATCTGACCCCAAGCATTTTAACTATGTCTCTAATCCTTCTGCATTATTACAACTCTACCCATTGAACTCTGTTTTTCCTGCATGCAATGGCAGCAGACTCTGCACGACATATGTGCAGCATGTGTTCTCAGGTGTTTATTACCGCAAGGTCACCTCTCAGACCTTAGATTGGGGAACTGAAAGGTTTTTCAAGATAAGACAAATAGTGTGGGAAACAATGGTATTTTAAAGTAGAATAAATGTTGTGCTTGTCAGATTTGACAGTGTTCCTTGAACATAATGAATAGAGGGTTGTTTCCTAACCACAAGGGCCATCGTCAAACCAGCAAAAATGGGACCCATATTCGTCATCACTGTAGCTCTTATTTGGAAAAAGTCTTAGTTCTACAACATAAGGTCTGCTATATGATTCTACAGGAATATAACCAGGGTGCTGCTGGGTTTCTTTGCCATACCAGCCACATGCTGCAAGGACATTGTGCAACCTCTCTGCTGTCATTGTGTAAGCAACAGAAGCAGGGCTAGAGACCACTATTGCAAAACCTCTGTGTGGGGCCTCACTCACCCGACTCTATCCCATTAGGTCTGTTGCTTTTCCAAGTTTTGTTAAAGAAGTTTTTAACTTTCCTTGCACCTGGAAGAGGATCTAAGGTTAGAGACTTAGGTAAAAAGAAATCCATAAGGATTTGATAACCTTTTGCATGGTTCTTTATGAATCAGAATCACTTAGGCCTTAGGGCTGCTTACAATTTGCTCTAGTTTAGTTCAACTGCAGCCATGCAGACCCTAGCTTGGGCACTCTTAGCTCAGTTTCAGTTGCTCCTAATCAATTTTAAACTAAACTGAAATAAGCTGCTTTTAAAGTTTAAGAGACTTCACCCAGCCTCGTGCACCAGTTTTAAATGGGTTTTTAAATGACCGCTGACATCAAACCAGGGCGTTAACGTCAGTTACTCGCATCCAAATGCCCTGGATCTTATTCACAGCGCCTTGTGAATCCCCCCTGCCCCAAACCACCACCACGGGCCCCCTCAGCCAGCGGGACCGGCCGTGGCAGCCGGAGGGCCGAAGTCCGAAACCGCCCCAGCCCTTTGTTCCGCTCTCGGGCAGGCAGCGACCGAGCCCAGCCCGGCCACCCACCGCGCAGGGCCCGGACAGAGAGAGCCGGGAGCTGCCCCCGCCCCGGCGCCGCGGCCAGGTCCGGGCGCGGATCCCGCGGGGGCCCCAGGAGAGGCGGGGCAGGCTGGAGGCCACGCACCTGAAGGCGCACCGGGCGGTCCCGGGGCTCCAGCAGCGGAGACGACCGGAAGGCGAAAGCGAAACTGGCTGGTCCGCGGCCCCGGCGGCGGGGCCAGGGGCGGGCAGCGACAGCAGCAGCAGCAGCAGCTTCCTGTGCAGCCTGGTGGCGGAGCCCGGCCGGGCCCAGGGAGGAGGCGCGGCTGCGTTCGCCGCCCGAGCGGGGCGGGTCTGCCGGGACGGTGCCCAGCCCACAGCCGAGAGCCGACTGTCGGTGTCCCTCCGGCTCGTCTCCAGGCCTCGCTGTAAAGTGCCGGCCCCGGCCCCGGCCCCGGCCCCGGCCCTGGAGAAGCAGTCGTCGTGTCACCCCGGGGTGCCGCCCTGCCTTTGTTCCCTCGCTGCGGGGTGGGGACTTGGGAGCGAGTCAGGCACGTCCACGATTTTTCTACCTCTGGTAATCGTCCGGCGCAAACTAGTTGTTTTGTTTCATATACTCAGGCTTATGCAGTAACGTACGCAGCGCTTCCTACCGGCTGTTTGTACAATGTGGGGAGAGCTATGAACATTAGTCTCCCCCATGAGGGCAGGTGATGGGGGATAATAATTTATAACTCTCCCCACATTTTACAGCTTGGAAATCGGGCAGCGTCCTGTAGGACGGAAGTGACTCATGCGTCAAACACTGGAAAGTGGCTTAAGCACCATTCATCCTGCAAATGTTCATGTAGCTTTAAAGCCAAATTTGTGCTTCCCATCGTCGCTGGTTGTGCCTGAATCCAGTCCCTCCTGCGTAATTTAAAACAGTGCGAAGGCCGCTCCACATTATGCGGGCTCCAAGAGGCTGTTACGCAGCAACTGGGATGCAAGGAAATCCTGGCGATGCCCCGCTCCAGTTGCAGGGAAGGGGAGCCGCATAGAAGTCTGTATGCCACCACGGAGTCCCTCTGCACTGGAGGATTCAGGTCCATATTGTGCTGGCAGAGGCACAAAGGAAGCCCAGTTCTGGGGAAAATGTAGCCCTAAATCTTCCCAAATGTTATATTTAAAGGACAATGCATAAAAATGTAATATAAGTTTACAGAGCTGCGGTAGTGCTATGAGAGACATAGACATTTCTACAGTTGCTCTTACTACAAATAACCCAAATACTTTTCTATGTGCTTGAACCACTGGCAGGAGAAGAGGTCCAGCAGCCATTCAGTATCTCACCTAGCATATTGTCCAGGGCTCAGTCAGCTGGTTTCCAATGGAATAATGAGCACGAATGAGGGAGGAGCTTGGAAAAGTTTGTTACCTTTATTAATATATATTCAATATTCTGGGGTGCTGGCTAAGGAACCCCTTTTGGGGTGTAGAGCTAAGGTGTGAAAGTCTTCCAGATCTGTGGATGGTGTTGGTTTATTATGAATGCACTTACAATAATTAATAATACTGGACAGTTATCTAGCAATTCACAGCTTCAGAGTGTTGTACAAACAGTAATTAATCCTCAAACACTCCTGTAAAGTAGGTATTGCTCCTGTTTTATAGATGGGGAAACAAAGACACAGAAAAGTTATATCAAATGACTTTACTTGCACACAGCAAGTCAGTGGCAAAGCCAGGAGTAGAACTCAGAGTTAATGTCTCAAAACTCTGGGTTTAGAATGATAGACTCCTGATAACATTTTACTTTTACAATACACCTTCCACCCTGAGAGATCAGGAAGCATTTTACAAAACACTGTAAGTGTGAATCATTTCATCCTTCACTGAAATGCAGCAGCTGAATACACAGGAACACTATACATAGTTGAGAACAATATGTTATTGAAACTGCAGGGAGAAATTAGATAGGCAAAATGTAATTATTCAAACTGGAATGTGGCCAGACACCAAGCTAATATCCTATCTTGCATAAACATGCTATGAGATATGTATTAACCAGAAGTGGTTAGGATCTCAGTTTAATATCTAAAAGACAGCACCAATAGTACAGAAGGGCTTGTGGCATCATGCCACGGCACTGGATCAAAAGGAAATATGCCATTCACTGAATCAATATCCACTTTTCTTCCTTGGATATATTCTGTCCAAGAGCATGGAGACCGAACCTGGGTTAGTAGGAGAGGACTTTTAACGTCAGAGCCTGAGGTGATCTGGCTGCAGGCTAACAGATATGAATGGATAGTGCAGAGAATTGCTTTCTGCAAAAATCTATGTTAAATTGGCAAATCATCTATTTTGTTCGTACAAGACCATCTACACATAAGGGACTGACATACTGTATTATTTATTCATGCTCTCAGTTTTCTTTTGAATCACTTTCTTAATTGTTTTGTATGATTGCTCAGCAGTTTGTGTATTTTTGTAGATTATATGAGCTAATGTATTTTTCCTTTGCAGTTTCTAAAACTAAACACTATCCTATCTCTTCCACTCTGTCCTCCTTCTCCTGGAATAACACGTGTATATAAGGCAAAATGTATAATGCACCAGTATCTCCTGCAAATTGTAACCAACCTTGTTTGTCTGAGTGATTGTCTGACCAAGAAGTAGGACTGAGTGGACTTGGTAGGCTCTGAAGTTTTACATTGTTTTATTTTTGAATGCAGTTTTTTTGTACATAATTGGACATTTGTAAGTTCAGCTTTCATGATAAAGAGAGTGCACTACAATTCCTGTATGAAGTGAATTGAAAAATACCATTATTTTGTTTTTTACCGTGCAAATATTAGTAATAAATATAAAGTGAGCACTGTACACTTTGTATTCTGTGTTGTAATTGAAATTAATATATTTGAAAATGTAGTAAACATCCAAAAATATTTAACATAAATGGTATTATATTGTTGTTTAACAGCGTAATTAATCGTGATTATTTTTTTTAATCACGCGACTAATCACGATTAATTTTTTAATCGCTTGATAGCCCTAGTACTGAGTGAAGTAAAGTTGTAAAATCAATGTTGGCAAAGCAATAAATGAATCATTAACGCCTTTCTTAATTAGCAGAAATAGTTCTCTGTCTATAGACACAGAGAGGATTTCTGCTTGTATTTCACAAAGAATCCAGCTTTGACCATTGTCAATTCTATTTTTAAGCATGTATGGCTGAGACAAGCTCTCATGTTATTGTATTATTTTACAATCACGTGAGATCCTCAGGTCCAGGTGGCTGTTACGGTTTGTGAACCTGATTCTTGATCTGTAAAGTGATCTCATCTGATCTGGCAGAGAGCCGTTTTATTTTTAGGACAGTCATTGCTATGGTTACAGTGAAGGCAGACTTGGTTCTTAGTATCCCTGATTGTGGAGCATTTGCTATGTAATTATTAGTAACAATAAAATAATTTTGAAATTATCTCTAATCAGTGTATTATGTGCATGTAGGGAGGAAAAATTATATACCACAATAGTTTTAGAACATGAATAAGCATTTTATTTAAAATTAAACAACATTTTTACATTCCACAAAACACCAAAATTAGTTATCATAAACCTAGGATACATTGATGAGCTACATTCATCACTGGTGTAACTTATGAAACCATTGAATTGCACCCACTTAGCTAAGCAGTAAATTTGGGTCACGGGAGTCAGGCCTGCTTAACTAAATCTGGGAAATATAGCTGTTTGCATGTAAAGTCTATGAGGCTATGAAATGACTTCGTTTCTTCATCCTACAAATAGTCATGGACCCAGATTCATAAGAGTAGCCCTATTCAAGACAGCACTTAGGCATGTGCTTAATTTTAAGTGCTTAAAGTTCAAGTTAAGTATGCACTTAAGAGCTGTCTTGAATAGGAATGGAGTTAAACACTTGCTTTCATGCTGTACTGAGTTGAGACTGAAATTAGTAAGAAGGCAAAGAACTGTCAATTCAATTGCTATTCTTTATCTGAAAATCTGAAGACACAGAACTAGGCAATTCAGAACTGGGCATATTGTTCCTTGTTCCTCTATAAACTCATTATAATATAGTCCTCCTATTACAGTTCTTTTCCAGAAAATGAAGAACCTCTGAAATCGTCAGAACAGTTTTATTCTATTTGTTAACTATCTTTAAACAGAATGATCTGCTCTTTATAAAATACAACTTGTAAGCAATATCTATCAAGTAATGTAACAGGTTATTAAATGTATCATATCTAAGGCTACGTTTTAGTCACGGGTATTTTTAGTAAAAGTCCTGGACAGGTGACAGGCAGTAAACAAAAATTCATGGCCTGTGATCTGTCCATGACTTGTACTATATACCCCTAACTAAATCTTGTGGGGGGACGGCCCAGGGGCCACCGCAGGTGCTCGGGGAGAAGGAGGTGGCCTCGGGGTGCTACGGGTGCTCGGGGGGAGGTGGCTAGGGACTCCTGCTGGTGCTGGGGGGATGGGGTTTGGCAGTGCTGGCAGGCTCTCTACCCAGCTCTTTGCAGCTCCCCGGAAGCACATGTCCCTCCCTCAGCTCCTAGCTCTGCGTGCTGCCCCCACCCCAACCACCGGTTCTGCAGCTCCCATTGGCAGTGAACTGCTGCCAATGGGAGTTGCAGGGGCAGTGCCTGCGCGTGGAGGCAGCCTGTGGAGCTAGAAGCTGAGGGAAGGACACGTTGCTGCTTCCAGGGAGCCACCCAAGGTAAGCGCCGCCCAGAGACCTCATCCCCCTTCCACGCCCCAACCACCAACCTTGAGCCCCCTCCCACACGCACCCAAACTCCTGCTGCTGCTGGGGGAGAGCGGTGCGATGGCCCGAGACTGTCCAGCAGCGACTGCTGCAGAAGTCCCAGAGGTCCTGGAAAGTCACTGAATCCATGACCTCCAAGACAAACTCACAGTCTTAATCATATCACATACATAAATGTTTACAGGTTTCAGAGTAGCAGCCGTGTTAGTCTGTATCCGCAAAAAGAACAGGAGTACTTGTGGCACCTTAAGACTAACAAATTTATTAGAGCATAAGCTTTCATGGGCTGCAGCCCACTTCATCGGATGCATAGAATCGAACATATAGTAAGAAGATATATATATACATAGAGAAAAAGTGGAAGTTGCCATACAAATTGTAAGCGGCTAACATTAGCCAAACCGGACAGTCTCTACGCAAAAGAATAAATGGACACAAATCAGACATCAGGAATCATAACATTCAAAAACCTGTAGGAGAACACTTCAACCTCTCTGGCCACTCAGTAAAAGACTTAAGGGTGGCAATTTTGCAACAGAAAAGCTTCAAAAACAGACTCCAATGACAGGTTTCAGAGTAGCAGCCGTGTTAGTCTGTATTTGCAAAAAGAAAAGGAGGACTTGTGGCACCTTAAAGACTAACAAATTTATTTGAGCCTAAGCTTTCGTGAGCTACAGCTCACTTCATCGGATGCATTCAGTGGAAAAAACTGAATGCATCCGATGAAGTGAGCTGTAGCTCACGAAAGCTTAGGCTCAAATAAATTTGTTAGTCTCTAAGGTGCCACAAGTACTCCTTCTCTTTATATTCCAATGAGAAACTGCTGAGCTTGAATTAATATGCAAACTAGATACTATTAACTTGGGTTTGAATAGAGACTGGGGGTGGCTGGGTCATTACACATATTGAATGTATTTCCCCATGTTAAGTATCCTCACACCTTCTTAAAAAGAAAAGGAGTACTTGTGGCACCTTAGAGACTAACCAATTTATTTGAGCATGAGCTTTCGTGAGCTACAGCTCAAACCGTCTAAATGGGCCATCTTGATTATCACTACAAAAGTTTTTTTCTCCTGCTGATAATAGCTCATCTTAATTAATTAGCCTCTTGCAGTTTGTATGGCAAACATATAAATGTTTACATGGCACCTTTTACCCAGAAGGATCTAAAATTACATTACAGTCTTTATACACAGATTACAGATATTGGGTTCAATCCCATTTTCAGTGTACCTCCGAGAGTCTTTGAAAATAAAATACTAATAATGTATGGCCAGACCTTCAGCTGGTTGAAATTAATGGAGCTATGCCATTTACATCTGACCCATGACATTTAAGGGCCTGATCCTGCGCTGCTGAAGTCAAGGAAATATACCTACTGATTTCAATGGAAGCAAGATCTGGCTCTAAATAAATACACGCCTGCGTGCTAAAGCACTTGGAGTGCTCTATAATGATTCAAAATTACAATGAGATACAGAAAATAAAATCTCAACAGGTTTCAGAGGAACAGCCGTGTTAGTCTGTATTCGCAAAAAGAAAAGGAGTACTTGTGGCACCTTAGAGACTAACCAATTTATTTGAGCATGAGCTTTCGTGAGCCACAGCTCACTTCATCAGATGTTACGTGGAAACTCAGCAGACTTTATATACACACAGAGAATATGAAACAATACCTCCTCCCACCCCACTGTCCTGCTGGTAATAGCTTATCTAAAGTGATCAACAGGTGGCCATTTCCACACAAATCCAGGTTTTCTCACCCTCCACCCCCCCACACAAATTCACTCTCCTGCTGGTCTAGCCCATCCAAAGTGACAACTCTTTACATAATCAAGTCGGGCTATTTCCTGCATAGATCCAGGTTTTCTCACTTCCCCCCCACCCCCATACACACACAAACTCACTCTCCTGCTGGTAATAGCTCATCTAAACTGACCACTCTCCAAGTTTAAATCCAAGTTAAACCAGAATATCTGGGGGGGGGGGTAGGAAAAAACAAGAGGAAACAGGCTACCTTGCATAATGACTTAGCCACTCCCAGTCTCTATTTAAGCCTAAATTAATAGTATCCAATTTGCAAATGAATTCCAATTCAGCAGTTTCTCGCTGGAGTCTGGTTTGAAGTTTTTTGTTTTAAGATAGCGACCTTCATGTCTGTGATTGCGTGACCAGAGAGATTGAAGTGTTCTCCGACTGGTTTATGAATGTTAGAATTCTTGACATCTGATTTGTGTCCATTTATTCTTTTACGTAGAGACTGTCCAGTTTGACCAATGTACATGGCAGAGGGGCACAATAGCACCTGCAGATTAGTTTCTAAAGGTTCTTTGAAGCCTGTAAGAGAACTAACATAAACCACTGGCAGCTCACGACATACCTTAAGGCCAACATAGCATAAAAAAAAAAAAATCAAAAGTATGCACATCAAAAGGGCACATCACTGCTAGACAGTATTCGTGTTGTGCTGCAAAGAGCGTGTTTGGTGGGCGGCATACACATGTCTGATGCACAAGACTCATCAGCATTTCAAAAAATACTGTAGCTAGTGTTAGCTTGAGTAATACTTGTTTCCTTCTATGCTTCCATCTAAAACCAAGTCATCACAAGCACAATTTCATACGGGACCCAGCTGGAATAAACAGTGCACACCAGCCAATCCACATGTGTATTCCAGGCAGTGGGACCTGGGGCTCAGTGTGGAAATACTTTGTACATTGTACCTTACATAGCATGTCTTGTTTTGCTTTACAGAGAATGACACAAGAGCATGAGATGCTTAAGAAAGGATTAAGTAAGACAATGAGCCTTAGTAAAACAAGCTGTTGTATAAACATCATCTTGGGAAAATATCATATGGAGGTGTAAAACTCCACTGAAAAGTACAGCTGCAATCCCATGATCACAGACATTTACTGGGCTGTGAAAATAAAGCTTTGTCATAAGAAGGGTTGTATGAAAAGTGGCATTTTAGCAAATGTAAGCCTCTCCCTCCAGGAAATAGAAATCAGAAGTTTTTGCACTCCTGTATTGTATCATGATACGATTATTGCAAGAAACCCTCTCTTGCCAGCACCCTCACACTGAAAGCACACTGCATGATATTTGGTGTTAAAGCAATGTCATAGAAAAGCAGGGTAAGAGTGTGACTCTCCTCATGTAATGCTGTGAACATGCATACTCCCTGTTATCATAGGCTAAACTGAGGTTGCAGATCAGAAGGGGAAGTGATAACACTGACATTATAGCCATGTCTGATGTTATATCCATGGACATTATAAGCAAGGAAAAAATCACTATTCTATCTGTCTAGGTTTTTATAACAGCACTTACCTTCATATTTCTAAGGCCATGAATCAGGAAAGCATTTAAGCACACCTTAAATCCCATTGACTTTGAAAAAAATACCTTAGAACTAACCAATTTATTTACAAGTGCCTGTTTGTTTCTCAGGAAACCACACACACCCCCTCTTTTTTTTTGAATACAGACTAACACGGCTGTTCCTCTGAAACCTGTCATTGACTTTGAAGTAATTGACACACTGTGCTGTTGGTAGCATGAGGTAGGTAAAGGTGGCGGATAACTGGGGACAGACCATGATATTGACCTGTACTGGATTTATTTTAATATTTTTGTTGTTGCTTTTTCATTTTGGTTTTATTCTTCATTTAAATATTTCAATTTCACTTTGCATCAGTTCAAGCTACATAAAGACATTATAGCTGTTGGACCTGTGAAAGTAGAATGAATTATATTGAAATTGTAATTCATTAAAGAAATGCTGCTTGAAGAGTTTGTTGAAATATATTTGTCAGGAAGAGAAACATTAAGGAGTGTGAGACAATGGGTCCTCAAACTAATTAACTTAGAGCTCCTACTGAGCTAGAGATTGGTAAACGTTAGCATGCAAATAAGATATGTATGTATATTTGTCAGTTTCTGCTTCCTTTTGTCTCCTATGTTAAATTGGCTTTGGCTTCTGTATAAATAAGTTAGATTGAGCTTTTGCAGGGGGCTCACATATATCTGGGTGCATTGGCAAAGTGCTTTGCTAATAAACAGAGTGGTCTGACAAATTATATGAGTCCTGAATCTGACTTTGACAGACCCCACAGCAAGGATGAATGAGGCACTATGAGACTGCCAAACTCTATGGCTAAAGGGCAACTGGAATATTTCTTCTTTCTGCTGTTCATAAGATGCATTTTCAGAATGTTGATTAAATGGCTATAAACATATGGACCTACCACTATTAATTGACTATAGTTTAAAATACAGATAACATATTTGCATTTACTCGTAACAATCCATATAATCAGAGCTATTTCTCATGCAGAAAAAACATTCCAAAGCTTGTGCTTTCCTTTATTCCAAAAACCCCACACACCAGCTTGAGGGCTATTATCACCATGGGCTGGGGCAAATGCATGGCCTGTGTCTTGGTCTCTGTCCTTTGCTACAGTATTCTCTGGGGTACATATCCATTTTGCTGAAGGTGCTGTCTGACTATAAAGTACTACACACTGTCCACTACATGTGGACCTTTTTAGGATTTTCACTACTTCCATCTCTTCTGGCAGCAGGCAGAAAAGCCTCTGTGAACTTGGAATCTATCTTCACTATTGAATTTAATTTTTGGTATACAAGCAAGCTAATGATTTAGTACCATGAGTGAGTTTTACATGCAGTGTTAAGCTGATTAAACTTTAACGCCCATGATTTCTTGGTACCCAAACCCTGAAGTGCAGTAATTAAAAAAATTCTGTAACAAATAACACTGCAGAACTTTAGATTTATTATTAAATGGTTTTCAGACCCGTTTACAATTTAAAAAGTTATATCTATTACCAGTCCCAGCTCTGCAAACTCAGCCTAGGATCCGAATAACAAAATAGGATCTTGCTAACATCACTGCTAGTAAATATTTAGTATTTGGAACTTTTAGCCAACAATTCTTTTGATGATACAGGAGCTATAGCACAATTAAGCTCACTTTATAGCATTACAGAACCAAAATAGCTAACAGGGTAAATAATAATTTATTGTATTCATAACAGTGAGAAACTGTAACTCTAAATGCATACATAAATAAATCTCAAAAAGAAGGTGCTATTTATAGGTATTCAGGAAAATAAATGTCAGCACATTTCAGTGTAAAGGTCTAAACTTTTGAATAATTAGCCTGTTGATCTAACCAAAAAGGATTAATGTAAGTAGCCACGAGCCATGTGGGTGCATCAAGTGTAAGTGCAGAAAACCAGAGTTAATTATAAATATTAGGGTTGGAAAGAATCTCAAGTCATGCAGTCCATTCCACTGAATCAATGCAGGACAGTGGTCAAATTTCTACAGCACACATGTTTGTTCCCTCTTTAGCTTTAATCTCAAGTGGTATCTCAATAATGACAATTCAGCAACTTTCCTTAGCAAATCATTCTGTTGTCTGAGCTTACTGTTAAAAGGTGTCAGAGTAGCAGCGTGTTAGTCTGTATTCGCAAAAAGAAAAGGAGTACATGTGGCACCTTAGCCCTGGTCTACACTAGGACTTTAGGTCGAATTTAGCAGCGTTAAATCGATTTAAACCTGCACCCGTCCACACAATGAAGCCCTTTATTTCGACTTAAAGGGCTCTTAAAATCGATTTCCTTACTCCACCCCTGACAAGTGGATTAGCGCTTAAATCGACGTTGCCGGCTCGAATTTGGGGTACTGTGGACACAATTCGATGGTATTGGCCTCCGGGAGCTATCCCAGAGTGCTCCATTCTGACCGCTCTGGACAGCACTCTCAACTCAGATGCACTGGCCAGGTAGACAGGAAAAGAACCGCGAACTTTTGAATCTCATTTCCTGTTTGGCCAGCGTGGCAAGCTGCAGGTGACCATGCAGAGCTCATCAGCACAGGTGACCATGATGGAGTCCCAGAATCGCAAAAGAGCTCCAGCATGGACCGAACGGGAGGTACGGGATCTGATCGCTGTTTGGGGAGAGGAATCCGTGCTATCAGAACTCCGTTCCAGTTTTCGAAATGCCAAAACCTTTCTGAAAATCTCCCAGGGCATGAAGGACAGAGGCCATAACAGGGACCCGAAGCAGTGCCGCGTGAAACTGAAGGAGCTGAGGCAAGCCTACCAGAAAACCAGAGAGGCGAACGGCCGCTCCAGGTCAGAGCCCCAAACATGCCGCTTCTATGATGAGCTGCATGCCATTTTAGAGGGTTCAGCCACCACTACCCCAGCCGTTTTGTTTGACTCCTTCAATGGAGATGGAGGCAATACGGAAGTAGGTTTTGGGGACGAAGAAGATGATGATGATGAGGAGGTTGTAGATAGCTCACAGCAAGCAAGCGGAGAAACCGGTTTTCCCGACAGCCAGGAACTGTTTCTCACCCTAGACCTGGAGCCAGCACCCCCTGAACCCACCCAAGGCTTCCTCCTGGACCCAGCAGGCGGAGAAGGGACCTCTGGTGAGTGTACCTTTTAAAATGCTATACATGGTTTAAAAGCAAGCATGTGAAAGGATTACTTTGCCCTGGCATTTGCGGTTCTCCTAGATGTAGTCCTAAAGCCTTTGCAAAAGGTTTCTGGGGAGGGCAGCCTTATTTCGTCCTTCATGGTAGGACACTTTACCACTCCAGGCCAGTAACACGTACTCGGGAACCACTGTAGAACAAAGCATTGCAGTGTATGTTTGCTGGCATTCAACCAAAATCCGTTCTTTATCTCTCTGTGTTATCCTCAGGAGAGTGAGATATAATTCATGGTCACCTGGTTGAAATAGAGTGCTTTTCTTCAGGGGACACTCAGAGGAGCCCATTCCTGCTGGGCTGTTTGCCTGTGGCTAAACAGAAATGTTCCCCGCTGTTAGCCACAGGGAGGGGAGAAGGTTGAGGGGGTAGTCACGCGGTGGGAGGAGGCAAAATGCGACCTTGTAACGAAAGCACGTGCTATGTATGTAATGTTAACAGCAAGGTTTACCCTGAAAGAGTGTAGCGACTGTTTTATAAAATGTGTCTTTTTAAATACCGCTGTCCCTTTTTTTTTCTCCACCAGCTGCATGTGTTTCAATGATCACAGGATCTTCTCCTTCCCAGAGGCTAGTGAAGCTTAGAAAGAAAAAAAAAACGCACTTGCGATGAAATGTTCTCCGAGCTCATGCTGTCCTCCCACACTGACAGAGCACAGACGAATGCGTGGAGGCAAATAATGTCAGAGTGCAGGAAAGCACAAAATGACCGGGAGGAGAGGTGGAGGGCTGAAGAGAGTAAGTGGCGGGCTGAAGAGAGTAAGTGGCGGGCTGAAGACAGGGCTGAAGCTCAAATGTGGCGGCAGCGTGATGAGAGGAGGCAGGATTCAATGCTGAGGCTGCTGCAGGACCAAACCAGTATGCTCCAGTGTATGGTTGAGCTGCAGCAAAGGCAGCTGGAGCACAGACTGCCACTGCTGCCCCTCTGTAACCAACCGCCCTCCTCCCCAAGTTCCATAGTCTCCACACCCAGACGCCCAAGAACGCGGTGGGGGGGCCTCCGGCCAACCAGCCACTCCACCACAGACGATTGCCCAAAAAAAAGAAGGCTGTCATTCAATAAATTTTAAAGTTGTAAACTTTTAAAGTGCTGTGCTTAAAGTGCTGTGTGGCATTTTCCTTCCCTCCTCCACCACCCCTCCTGGGATACCTTGGTAGTCATCTCCCTGTTTGTGTGATGAATGAATAACGAATGCATGACTGTGAAGCAGCAATGACTTTATTGCCTCTGCAAGCAATGATTAAAGGGAGGAGGGGAGGGTGGTTAGCTTACAGGGAAGTAGAGTGAACCAAGGGGCGGGGGGTTTCATCAAGGAGAAACAAACAGAACTTTCACACCGTAGCCTGGCCAGTCATGAAACTGGTTTTGAAAGCTTCTCTGATGCGTACCGCGCCCTCCTGTGCTCTTCTAACCGCCCTGGTGTCTGGCTGCGCGTAACCAGCAGCTAGGCGATTTGCCTCAACCTCCCACCCCGCCATAAACGTCTCCCCCTTACTCTCACAGATATTGTGGAGCACACAGCAAGCAGTAATAACAGTGGGAATATTGGTTTCGCTGAGGTCTAAGCGAGTCAGTAAACTGCGCCAGCGCGCCTTTAAACGTCCAAATGCACATTCTACCACCATTCTGCACTTGCTCAGCCTGTAGTTGAACAGCTCCTGACTACTGTCCAGGCTGCCTGTGTACGGCTTCATGAGCCATGGCATTAAGGGGTAGGCTGGGTCCCCAAGGATACATATAGGCATTTCAACATCCCCAACAGTTATTTTCTGGTCTGGGAATAAAGTCCCTTCCTGCAGCTTTTGAAACAGACCAGAGTTCCTGAAGATGCGAGCATCATGCACCTTTCCCGGCCATCCCACGTTGATGTTGGTGAAACGTCCCTTGTGATCCACCAGAGCTTGCAGCACTATCGAAAAGTACCCCTTGCAGTTTATGTACTCGGCGGCTTGGTGCTCCGGTGCCAAGATAGGGATATGGGTTCCGTCTATAGCCCCACCACAGTTAGGGAATCCCATTGCAGCAAAGCCATCCACTATGACCTGCACATTTCCCAGGGTCACTACCCTTGATATCAGCAGATCTTTGATTGCGTGGGCTACTTGCATCACAGCAGCCCCCACAGTAGATTTGCCCACTCCAAATTGATTCCCAACTGACCGGTAGCTGTCTGGTGTTGCAAGCTTCCACAGGGCTATCGCCACTCGCTTCTCAACTGTGAGGGCTGCTCTCATCTTGGTATTCATGCGCTTCAGGGCAGGGGAAAGCAAGTCACAAAGTTCCATGAAAGTGCCCCTACGCATGCGAAAGTTTCGCAGCCACTGGGAATCGTCCCAGACCTGCAACACTATGCGGTCCCACCAGTCTGTGCTTGTTTCCCGAGCCCAGAATCGGCGTTCCACAGCATGAACCTGCCCCATTAGCATCATGATGCATGCATTGTCAGGGCCCATGCTTTCAGAGAAATCTGTGTCCATGTCCTGATCACTCACGGGACTGCGCTGACGTCGCCTCCTCGCCCGGTATCGCGTTGCCATGTTCTGGTGCTGCATATACTGCTGGATAATGCGTGTGGTGGTTAATGTGCTCCTAATTGCCAAAGTGAGCTGAGCGGCCTCCATGCTTGCCTTGGTATGGCGTCCGCACAGAAAAAAGGCGCGGAACGATTGTCTGCCGTTGCTCTGACGGAGGGAGGGGCGACTGACGACACGGCTTACAGGGTTGGCTTCAGGGAGCTAAAATCAACAAAGGGTGTGCCTGTACATCAAGGAGTATTTCAGGCAGGACTGCACGGAGGGTTCCAATAAGAAATGGTGCACCTAAGTTATCGTTGTTATTGGAACAAGGGGGTTAGCCTGGCCTCTGATTGATACATGGCTAGATTTACCTCGCTGCACCTTCTCTGTGAGTGACTGCAGTGTGATCTAGACAGGGGAGGAGGCAAATGAGTACAAAACAAATCTGGTCTATTTCTTGTTCTGACCCACTCCATCTATCTTTTACATCTTTGGCTGGCAGCAGACGGTGCAGAAGGACTGCATGCCATCCACATCTCATGGCTGCTCGGCAGAAGATGGTACAGTATGGCTGCTAGCCATCTTCATCTCTTGCCTGCCTGGCATAAGATGGTACAATACGACTGCTAGCAATCCTCATCTCTTGCCTGCCTGGCAGAAGATGGTACAGTACGACTGCTAGCAGTCCGTATCGCCTGCCCGCTCACCATAAGACGGTTCAATAGGACTGACTGCAGGACTAAAGAGAATGACCTGGTCAAGTCACTCCAAATTTAGTCCCTGCGCCCATGTCTGCCCAGGCGCTCCCAGCCGACGTGGCCAGGAGCACCTCGGACACGACGAGGACGACTACCAATCGTATTGCACCGTCTGCTGCCAGAAGGCAATGGGTTGCTGCTACTGTGCAGCAAAGCCGTACCGCGTCTGCCAGCACCCAGGAGACATAGGGTGACGGTTACCTGAGCTGGCTCCATGCTTGCCGTGGTATGGCGTCTGCACAGGTAACTCAGGAAAAAAGGCGCGAAATGATTGTCTGCCTTTGCTTTCACGGAGGGAGGGGGGAGGGAACGGGGGCCTGACGACACGTACCCAGAACCACCCGCGACAATGCTTTAGCCCCATCAGAGTGCTCCATTGTGATTGCTCTGGACAGCACTCTCAGATGCCCGATTGTTTGCCATTGCTCTGACGCTGGGAGGGGCGCTTACAGGGTTGGCTTCAGGGAGCTAAAATCAACAAAGGGGGTGGCTTTACATCAAGGAGTATTTCAGGCAGGACTTCACGGAGGGTTCCAATAAGAAATGGTGCACCTAAGTTATTGTCCTTATTGGAACAAGAAGGTTAGCCTGGCCTCTGATTGATACATGGCTAGATTTACCTCGCTGCACCTTCTCTGTAAGTGACTGCAGTGTGATCTAGAAGAATGAGTCCCCTAGACAGGGGAGGGGGAAGCAAATGAGTACAAAACAAATCTGGTCTATTTCTTGTTTTGATCCACTCCATCTATCTTTTACATCTTTGGCTGGCAGCAGACGGTGCAGAAGGACTGCATGCCATCCACATCTCATGGCTGCTCGGCAGAAGATGGTACAGTACGACTGCTAGCAGTCCGTATCGCCTGCCCGCTCACCATAAGACGGTTCAATAGGACTGACTGCAGGACTAAAGAGAATGACCTGCTCAAGTCACTCCAAATTTAGTCCCTGCGCCCATGTCTGCCCAGGCGCTCCTGATCGACCTCACAGAGGCGACCAGGAGCACCTCAGACATGACGATGACGGCTACCAGTCGTACTGTACCGTCTGCTGCCACAAGGCAAGGGGTTGCTGCTACTGTGTAGCAATGCCGTACCGCGTCTGCCAGCACCCAGGAGACATAGGGTGACGGTTACCTGAGCGGGCTCCATGCTTGCCGTGGTATGGCGTCTGCACAGGTAACTCAGGAAAAAAGGCGCGAAATGATTGTCTGCTGCTGCTTTCATGGAGGGAGGGAGGGAACGGGGGCCTGACGACACGTACCCAGAACCACCCGCGACAATGTTTTAGCCCCATCAGGCATTGGGATCTCAACCCAGAATTCCAATGGGCAGCGGAGACTGCGGGAACTGTGGGATAGCTACCCACAGTGCAACGCTCCGGAAGTCGACGCTTGCCTCGGTACTGTGGAAGCGCTCCGCCGAGTTAATGCACTTAATGCACTTAGAGCATTTTCTGTGGGGACACACACACTCGAATATATAAAACCGATTTCTAAAAAACCGACGTCTATAAATTCGACCTAATTTCGTAGTGTAGACATACCCTTAGAGACTAACAAATTTATTTGAGCATAAGCTTTCGTGAGCTACAGCTCACTTCATCTGAATGCATCTGATGAAAAGCTCACAAAAGCTTATGCTTAAATAAATTTGTTAGTCTCCAAACGTGCCACAAGTCCTCCTTTTCTTTTTGTTAAAAGGTGGTCCATGATTGTGTTTACATTTTTCTTCTGTTTTAGGGCATCATTTGCAACAGTGTTTACCAAAGAAAATTATTTCCACTGACTTCCTTTCCTTGGTAGCTATGATTTTTATATTCCCAAGGAAAGATCTTTTGTGGAAGCTGTACAAATCCAGTTATTTCAACCTCTCGCCAAAGTTAATATTTGTTGAAATCTTTTACTATATTTGTCTTGCTTTTGGATTTTCAAGGCACAAGGCAACATGCTGCTACACAACTGAGATCAGAATCGACCCCTTACACAATGCTATGTTGCAGAGAAGAGGCTGTATGTGTTTTATAGTCCAGTGTTCCAACTTCCACATTGGCAGACATTTCACAGAATGGATAATTTAGTAAGTTTAAAATCTGGACCAAAGCAGCCACTGAAACATCCTTCACACCTTGTAGTAAAAACCTTGAGTTTAAACATATAAATGTTAAATCTGGCAGCAAGTCACAGCAAATTTTCTTATTACAACACACGTGGGATATTAACATGTGGTGTGTCTCTTAAAAAAGAATTAGTTAAGAGCAATCAACTTGTCTTCATATTCAAAAACAGAGTAAAAAATGGAAGACAAATATATATATAGTCTATAAACTAAATCATAGAATCATAGAATATCAGGGTTGGAAGGGACCCCTGAAGGTCATCTAGTCCAACCCCCTGCTCGAAGCAGGACCAATTCCCAGTTAAATCATCCCAGCCAGGGCTTTGTCAAGCCTGACCTTAAAAACCTCTAAGGAAGGAGATTCTACCACCTCCCTAATCCATACAGTAGAACAATTTAATTATTGTTGAAAACAGCATAAATGGAGAAAATATTAAATTATTTAATGTATGACAATGTTCTGTTGATATATAAATTGGGACATTTGCTGCTCTAATCATATAATGTATTCATAACATCAAATTTAAAAAATAAATCCAGGTCTGAAATTTTGTAATTTTTACTCAGTGACACTGTAACAGCCGTTATATGTAGTATTTGTTTCTATCTTGATGTTCTTCCACTTATTTACGAAAAATTGTCAAAAATTGTGTAAAATAAAAGCCATTGTATTTTCTTATTACACCGTCATTGATGTAAACAGGAAATTATCACAATCTTTTTCTAGTGGTGCTGATAGCAGCCTACCAGTCTCTCTCTTCCTGAAAGACATTGGGGAAGATTTAAACCCTCTGTGCTTTTAAGGGAACAATTTATTTAGATATTTGTTGGCAAAATTTGTAACTCGCATGGGCCTACGCTAAGAGGAGCCCCTGACTCCCCACAGGGGTAACGTAAGGAGAATGGAAATAGATGCCTGTTCCCCACTCCCAGCTGTTGACATGCCCATAGCAGCCCTGCCAACACCCCACAAAGAGCTTCCTTAAACTCTCCATCTCCCAAAAAGTTCATGTTTTTTCATTAAGAAAAGCACAACTTAGCCTTCCTATATAACTGAGTTTAAGAAATGATTACTGTTTTCTGAGCTGTGAATTAGAACGTTCTACCTTACCATATGGTCAACTCTATGGATAAATTGTTTTTTGGGTTGTAGATATGTTAGAATAGATGAGTTATTTTATGTATAAAATCTGGATATTCTGACCAAGCGTCATTAAAGAAACCTTGCCAAATAGCAGTGTGGAGCATCTTGGGTTTTCATATACTATTTACCAGGCATTTGAAGTTATATGTATTTTCTGAGCTCTGAGGAGACATATTCTTTATCCTTGTTACCCTGTTTTAATTAAGTCTCCTGGAAAAAACATTTGTCTTTGAAATACGTTTTAGAAGATCTTTCAGTAACACCCAGTGCAACTGAGGTAGTAAAAAAAATATCTCCCGTATCTCACACTCATATTCTCATTTACTTATTGCAGCACTTGAGCTGGCTCAGAAGATTATCTTGTGTAAGATAAAAACAACGAGGAGTCCTTGTGGCACCTTAGAGACTAACAAATTTATTTGGGCGTAAGTTTTCGTGGGCTAAAACCCACTTCATCGGAAGCATGGAGTGAAAAAATACAGTAAGCAGTATATACATTACAGCACATGAAAAGATGGGAGTTGCCCTACCAAGTGGGGGGGCCCGTGCTAACAAGGCCAATTCAATCAGGGTGGAAATGGCCTATTCTCAACTGTTGGCAAGAAGGGGTGAATATCAACAGAGGGAAAATTACTTTTTGCAGTGACCCAGCCACTCCCAGTCTTTATTCAGGCCTAATTTGATGGTGTCCAGTTTGCAAATTAATTCCAGTTCTGCAGTTTCTCATTGAAATCTGTTTTTGAAGTTTTTTGTTGAAGAAAAAGTCTGTTATTGAATGTCCCAGCAGACTGAAGAGCTCTCCTCCTGGTTTTTGAATGTTACAATTCTTGATGTCTGATTTGTGTCCATTTATTCTTTTGCATAGAGACTGTCTGGTTTGGCCAATGTACATGGCAGAGGGGCATTGCTGGCACACATCATATTGGTAGATGTATGTGCAGGTGAACGAGCCCCTGATGCTGTGACTGATGTGGTTAGGTCCTATGATGGTGTCCCTTGGATAGATATATGAACAGAGTTGGCTACGGGGTTTGTTGCAGGGATTGGTTCCTGGGTTAGTGTTTTTGTTGGGTGGTGTGTAGTTGCTGGTGAGTATTTGCTTCAGGTTGGGGAGCTGTCTGTAAGCGAGGACTGGCCTGTCTCCCAAGGTCTGTGAGAGTGAGGGGTTGTCCTTCAGGATAGGTTGTAGATCCTTGATGATGTGCTGGAGAGGTTTGAGTTGGGTGCTGTAGGTGACGGCTAGTGGCGATCTGTTACTTTCTTTGTTGGGCCTGTCCTGTAGTAGGTGACTTCTGGGTACCCTTCTGGCTCTGTCAATCTGTTTCTTCACTTCACTGGGTGGGTATTGTAATTGTAAGAACGCTTGATAGAGATCCTGTAGGTGTTTGTCTCTGTCTGATTGGAGCAAATGTGGGGCTCATTCACCTGCACATCTACCAATGTGATATATGCCATCATGTGCCAGCAACATGGCTACCACTCTGAAACTTGTGTAAGATAGTTTCCCAATCAGTTTCCACAGTTGCAGTTAACATTACTCTATAGAGTTATCTTCTCTGCAGTACATGGCTTAATTCAAAATACCAGCTTCTCAATACATACTGAACTGAGAACATTACCTCTTTAACATTACCTCACACTGAATTGTTAGCTTGGGCTATCACTTGGAGTTTTGCCCCAAACCCAGCTCTCATTCACACAAAGATTTCTGTCTCAAGTTTGTGGTGCTTTAAGCTTATGCTAGCTGAATTGTGTCTGGGGGAAGGGTGGGATTGTTAAGATAGACTGCTGCTGACACTGGAGAATGCAGCAGCTGAGTTACAACAACTTATCAGCTGGTAAGCCAACTATTCTATGTAGATCAAGTGTCATTTTACAGTGAGCAAGACTAGCCCAAAGACAGGAACTCAAGTATACTAATGAACTAACTGTTGAAGTGAAGACAAGCCCTATGTCAGCAGTTAATAAGCTATTTTTAGAAATTACATGTGCTCCAGAATCTACGTTTGCATTAAAAAAAAAAGTCTAGGTAGCCATTTGTTTGCATGAATAACCTTAAAAGCATGATTTCAGCCTGAGTTGGCAGACAGCCTGGAGCAACACCTCTGAGGGCAGCTCCAATTCACTGTATGGAGTTATGATCGAAGGCTAGTGTTAGTTAACTGTTGATCTGTTCACTATTTCACAGCTGATCAAAGCTTGCAAGAAAGGAGGGGTGTTAGTATTGTGAAGAGTTGTACAATAGGGTATAAGCAGCTTCTTCTTTTGGAGTTTCAAGTTGGCAGAGCATCAATATTATTTTCCTCACTAGTTCAATCAATGATACATATCATCTCACGTGGATCTTGTTTTTCCATGAATCAAGTCAGGTTTAGATTTGGGAGCATCACTGGTAAGTTTTTATTTTTTTTCCCTCCAAGACAAGATGACAAAGCCACAGAAACATGCTCTTGCCAATGAGAAATTTTAATAGGCATCTTTACACGTGCAACAAAAGCAGTAAGCTATTGTATAACGTTTTAATTTAGAACTGTGTAAATAACTTTGAGAAGTTCTGCTACTCCATCTTCAGTGATGTCCTCCATTTTTCTTCGGAGGGAACAGTGTGTACTCAACCCCAAGAGCTACCACAAAGGCTACGAATCCCCACTTGAAACCTTTGGTGAGAACGTCCATAACAGTGACAGGTTTTGCAAAGCCACCCATATATCTCCATGCTTCATTGCTAGGAAAAACCAAAACCGACAGATAGAACAAAGTTAGAAGATCCACTCAGATTCCATATGACAACACAAATGCATTTATATGCAAAAAGTTAAAAAACACATTCAAAAAAGCTATGCATTGAAAATGTAAGGTTTCCATAGTTAAAGCACTCAGGAAACGTCAGGAAATACTATAAAGTTAACTATGCCCCCTTATGCATGTGTGTCATGCCAACCTTTAATTACCATATTACATGATCACATAAGACACCTTCAGTAAGAAAATATATTTTTTCTGCAACTTTAGCTATACATGTGCAGTGTCTTCTGTTTCTGTGTCCTACTTACTTTCTGTATGCTGGAAAAACAGAACCCACAAGTTGTTTATATACAAGATATGGAGTGAATGAAGCAAGTGCTCCTGTGCCACTTCTGAATGAGGCAGGTGTAAATATCATTATTTGTATTACTTTAACATCTAGGAGTTTTAGTCAGACACCAGGACCCATTGTGCTAGGTACTGTACAAGCACAGAACGAAAAGACAATCCCTGACCCAAAGAGTTTACCATCTAATGGTAAAGCATTAGACATTTCCTTGCTTGAGTCTTACTGGTGAAATTAACATGCAAGGCACTGAATTTAGCCTTATGGAGCGGAAATCTATCAAACTACATGAAAAAACTCGTCCCCACTGTATTTTGCACTGATTGCATCCAATGAAGTGAGCTGTAGCTCACGAAAGCTTATGCTCAAATAAATTTGTTAGTCTCTAAGGTGCCCCAAGTCCTCCTTTTCTTTTTACTCTCAACATAGTTTGAATAGACCTTTCTGTGCTGTTTAAAAAGATAGAAATTCTTTATTTCTATCTTTCGGTTTAAAGACCATAACAATCTGTCTTATGCAAGCCTTTACCTCACTGAGCATTTATGTGAACTACAGCTGTTACTACCTCTTCAGTCATAAAGTACTTAGACTTATCAGATCCAGATGAAATATTAAATCCATCACAAATAATATAATCTGTTCCAGAAACAAAGCTCTGAATTCCACTATCATATTTGCAGAGGACACAGAGACACAGCTACGGAAAAAACAATCTACCAGAGGATAAGAACCTAAATCAGAATCACCATCACCGCATTTGATACTGATAGTTTTGATGAGAGTCTCAGCAGAGTTGTCAAGGACTGAATGGTCTGTAGACACTCATCTACCCTTTGTCCTGTGTAGGTAGTGTCTCTGCCTCAGGGTTAAGGCACACTGGATGGGAGACTTGTTCTGTAGGTGCTAGTACTTTGTTCCTACTAAGTGGATAAAGAATTTCAGTCTTCAGGGCTGTAAATCTGTATTTGTTCACCAGGGCTAAATCTACATAGAAGTTGTACGTAAATAAATTAGGCTACACTGGTCTTAGATTTCCCAGCCTTTTGACAGGTGCCAATACCAACTAAAAGAAAAAGCCCAGAGAGGTTTTGCTACTTTAGGATTCTTAGTACAAGATATTCTTCAGAAGGACAACATTAATAAATGTAGGTTTCAGAGTAACAGCCATGTTAGTCTGTATTTGCAAAAAGAAAAGGAGTACTTGTGGCACCTTAGAGACTAACCAATTTATTTGAGCATGAGCTTTCGTGAGCTACAGCTCACTTCATCGGATGCATACCGTGGTATCCGTGCATACAGTTTTCCACGGTATGCATCCGATGAAGAGAGCTGTAGCTCACGAAAGCTCATGCTCAAATAAATTGGTTAGTCTCTAAGGTGCCACAAGTACTCCTTTTATTTTTATTAATAAATGTAGTACACAGATCTTGATACTTCTATCATGTCTTCACTAAAGAGATTGCTATGAAACTAGTACTGAAGGCTTGTCTCAGTGTGGGATTTAAGCATTGCTTTATACATAATTCTGCATTAGGCAAAGACATGCAGGAGAGATCCAATACTTTAATCTACAAGAGATTCTGCACTTTCTTCCTTAGTCAATATTCAACAAATCCAGTAAACAATTCATTTTTTTCAACTCATAAACCCATGTTCTGAGAAACGCAGCAATTTTTCACCTAGGAAAGGGAATAAACAGTATGAATTTTTCTAAGCCCTATGCAGCATTTTGGAGCAGTTTCAGAGGAATATACTTAGGAAGCATGTGCACAAGAGGGTGTGGGATTAATTTACTGGCTATTTATGCTGCATTTTGGAAGAATGTGTTGGAGTATGGCCATTTTCTTGTTGTAGTAAACTTTACTCCTGCAGAAAAGAGAAATATTATTGTGCTCCAGATAAAATTAACTATTTAACTAGAGAGAATTTTATAAGCTTGAACTCACAAGAAATAGAAGCAAAAATAAAAAACGGAATGTCAGGGGCTTACAAAGTAGGGTTCAGAGACAGCTGATAACCGTAGATAGTTAATACCTGGTAAAACAACTCCTGGTAACATTAAAATATAGTCATTGACATAAAGTTAGAGACTATGTAATACTCTTACACTATCTTCTGAACAAATAAAAGCAAATAAAGGATCACTCAATCCACCCAAACCCACCCCCAATAGGTCATAAGAAGAATTGATACAGCAATATCCCTCCAACAGCTTGCTTTAAAACTCATGGTAAAAACTGCATAGCAGTATAGGAGGAAGCAGGTACGATGATTTCCCTATAGGACCATGGAATAGCTATTGTAGGGCTTTTGTCTTCCTGTAGAATGGGACAATGGAGCATGAGGCATGCCACTTTTCATTCCCGAAGGCTGAAAAATGGTAAAGGAGAATATTATATATTTCTCCCCATCAAAGCCCTATCTCTATAGCTATCTAAACAATGTATAATAGCTCTAGGGAGTAAAATACCTCCCCAGTTCAGGGGACTAAGATCACGTCTTCCATGACTTGATTCACCTTAACAGTTTTCTATATAATTTTCATGAACTGCTTAGTAAACATAGAACAAAGCAGAATGAAACCCCAAGCCATCTGCTACTACAGTTCAAAACTTCAATTAAAGGCCTCAATTCAGCAAAACACTTAATAAGCACACAAGTAATCCTGTTCCTATTCAGCAAAGCATTTAAGCACATACTGTACTGAAGTTCCATTGAAATTAATGAGATTTAAGCACATGCTTAAGTGCTTTGCTGAATAGGGACAGGATTACTCACACACTTAAATTCAAGCATTGTTTCAATGCCTTGCTCAACGAAGGCCAAGATCATGGAACTCCCCAACTTAAGTATTTGTGGGATAGGTCAGGCTAAATGTAAACAGTGTGCTCACCTCTCCTGCAGAACAAAATCTGGAAGGACATGTTTTCATTTAATCATAAAACATCAAAAAGTATGGCTGAACTTTACAATGTGAGGAGGCTCTGAGGGTAACGCAATACAAGTAACCTCTACACAAAAAATGAACTACATTTTTTTATGTGTTAACGGATGTACTCTAGGTGTTTTTCCAGCGTTTTTGCTAAAAAGAACCATCCACAATGACATCACAAGGTTACAGGAAGTGTGCACACGTGTGTGTGTGTATCTACATATCTGAATGATGCATTCTCTCACTTACCGAATCCATGGGTCTCTGAGACCCCGCTTAGCCAGTTTTTCTTGGACATCCTGTAGTGGAGTACCCTCTATCTTCCATTGTTTATAGTCAGGGAGTTCCATTTTCCCATGACCATGCTCATGTCCATGCCCCATGTCTGCAGGAAAAGATTAAAAAAAAACGACAGCTCTTTCAAGGTACACAATTTACTTTTGTTTGAACAGACTTCCTAAGACTGACGTTCTCCTTCGGAAAATTGGGGAGGAGAGGGAGAGTGATTTCTAACACCACCATACCGTACTGAGGCAGCTTCAGCAATGTTGTAAACAGTACTCCTCAGAATAGAAACAGATGTTTTATTAAGAGTTCTAATAATAAATAATAATAATAATGTAGAGATCCTTCACGCTGTGCTTCAAAAGTCAAATTTTCATGGTTAGGTATGCTATACTAGTTTTGGTAAATCATTTCTGATTAGCAGCACTTGACCAATCTGCCTGGGGTTCTAACTGTTCAGTTCACTGAACTCCAGTGACAGCTAGTGTACCAAAAGGCAACATCCTTCTCTGATAATCATTGTAAGGGAATTTGTGAACACTAGCATTTATCTTCTTTACAGAACAATACTAGTTTCTACTCAAAGTGACTAGCACTATGTGGATTTTCAGATACAAAGCTGAACACATTAGAGATGTTGCCCAGGGAGATGGGAAGGATTTACATATGATTGAAATATATAAAAGCAAACATTGCAGGACATTAGAGATGACAGTTTATCCAAATTTGGTATTGTAATGTCATTGTGATCCTTTCACAGATGCTAATGTGTTTTCAAAAACACTGTCTAGTATAAACATTTCTAACATTTTTGATTGAAATATTTCATGTTGGAAATCTTTTTACCATTTAGGAAATTACATTACCATTTTTTCTGAGCACTGATGCATTAAATCTCCTTATTTGAATAATTTAAATTTTAAAATAGTCTTATGGCTTCAAAAATCTCATATTGGATAATGAAAGACACAATTTACCATTTTAGGAGACACTCTTTTAATACTCTAATTTAATGCTACTATGGCTTAGTTCTGCATAAACTGTACCCTAATAAACCTGGTTAATCACAACTCCTTTAAAATTGTGCATTAAAATACTTGGAACCCAAGAGGGGGAGAAAGGGGGAATAGAGTTTGTGTACATGCTTGCACGCCCCCCCCCCCACATTTTCACCAGAAATTCCATCTCCACCTGAGACACCGTCCCAACAAAAGTTCAATTGAAATCCAATGTTTCTGCAACGTTTTGGTTTTGACAAATCAGCATCTTCCAACAAAAAGTGTTCTGTCAAAGAATTCCCAACCAGCTCTACTTATTATATAGTACATGCAACTCCAATGAATATTTTGAAACTTAACTACCAGTATTTAATTTGAGGGACAAGGTGTACATATCAGAATGCATGAAACATTGCACTCTGTTCTCAAATGTCTCATTGGACACAGCTACAGCCATAGAAGTATGTCAAAGAATCTATTTTTTTTTTAATTGGTATGTACTGCAATTTGTATGCCAGTTAGGACAGCCTGTATCCTGCTTTCTTAAAAGATCGTCTCTCTCTCTGAGCAATACTGTTACCATGGCCATCAACAAAGGTATATATGGGCCCTTCATATTTGGATCTCACTCCCTGTCTTTGGGCTGAAATAACCCAAGTTTGTTGACCTTTGTGGTATGTTGAAAATTTCATTTTTTTAATCTCAGACTTTTGGGAAAGTGAAGTTGGACAGCTGGTATCTGGGGAGGGGGAGTACTTTAATCTTTTTGCACTAAGGGGTTAGTCCATTATCTCAAATATATGGTGAAAATCAGATGCATTATTCTCTACTGTATGCGTTTTAAAGAAACATCAAAGATGTCCAGAGCATGAGACAGATTTTTTTTATGTATTATAAACCAAAAATGAATAGTAATTTGACATCTTGGTCTTAATGAATTTGATCAGACTAAGCAGACTCAATGTAATCAAACTATGAAAGTGTTTAAGCCCTGACCTAAATCACAGATTTTTAAGGCTAGAAGAAACCACTTTGATTGTTTAATCTAAATTCCTCCATATGACCAGCCTGCTCTTCGTGGCCCTTGGCAAGTGGACAGCAGACCAGTTTGGAAATCATCAAGTTAGACAAATCAACGTCACTGATCATGTTAATATTTATTAACAACATTTTAAAATTATTCAACTCACATGACGCCTACAAAAACAGTGCTTCTGTCAATCTAACTAGGGACATTGGCTTTCCAAACTCATATTGTAATTAACTCTTTGGACTACTGATAGTGTCACAGCTGTGTACCAACCCCCAATGGAGCTGATTTGGCTCCTCTTCACCGAAAAACAAAAAGATAGGGCCAGATCCTCAGCTGATATAAGACAGCATAGCTCTGTTGAAGTCAACGGAGCAACAGTAAAGGCCCATAAACAAGCAGAGGACAAGCTGATGAGGGTGGAGACAAAGATAGTTATTTTATGATACTAGGGAATGTATTCTGATGTTCTGCGTTTTAAATTGTTGTACATGTACCTAGAGCTTTGGTTGGACTCTTTTATAAATAAAAACTAATGATTAATGAGGGCAATTTTGGGGGAAGGTGTAGAGGGTTACCTATTGAGTAAAAGAAGGAAGGGCTGGAGAAGAAAATGTGATAATTTTTAAGTGTCCTCTCTTCAAAAAACACTAAGCTGTCCTATCAGCAGCGGTTTGTGACCTCCACATTTCAACATATTTTGTTGGAAAAAGTAAGTTAAAAATGATTCGGTATTCCTAGTTTTTAACAGAAGTTAGTTGACTGTAGTGGTGCTAAAAAGAGGTGATTGAAAGGGCCTCCAAGACTTCTGGGGGACAAGAGGGAGATGGTGTCCAAAGACTATGAAAGCCTGAAGGAATTAAAAATGGAGATAACTATATATATTTTCCCATCAAAATAGTAAGGAAGAGATTTGTATAACCCTTTCCCAGTTATCCTTCTACTAGGAACCATTTTTCCTCGTGGGAAGATATACTAAAAAAAAAAAAATACTGGGAACACGTATACAGTGTATCACATCTAAAAACCAGTGAGCTATTCTTCAATAGCAACAGAGCACTGAGACAAACACACCTAGGCTATTAGTGCACTTTTCATGTGGTTGACGGCACAAAGCCAGGGGCCAATGAACAGTGCCTCCAAAGAGCAACGCTTAAATACTTATACAACATTTTTCATACCTAAATCTCCAAGTGCAAAGACACTTACAGCATCACACAGCAGTTCAGTGGCAGAGCTGGGGTTTCCTGGCTCCCAATCCTTGCCCTGCCCAGGCTGCACTGCCTCCCACCCACTACAAAGGTGACTTATTTCTGTGGTGGTTTATGTTTATAGCCCTAGCAGAAAATCAAGGTCAGAAGAGGCTATGTAATTTTTAAAAAATCCCTTAGTCACTGAAATGTAAATAAATTAGAAACATTCAAAGTTGGCGGGGGGGGGGGGGGGCAGAATCAGGTGAAGGTGGCAAAGTGGGAAGGGGCACACGGGGGGGGGGACTGGGTGGAGGAAGAGCACAAGGGGGTAGGGGAGGGTTAGGTAACACAGGATGCCCATTCCCAGGGACAGCGGTGGGGGTGGTGGAAGGAGGAGGGCTGAGGAGAGGAAGAGCACTCGGGTTGGAAAGGGTTAAGTAACACACGATGCCAAGCTGGAAGGGGTTGCACGTGCTTAGGAAAATAGGATTAAAATTGAAATGATCTGGACAAACTGGAGAAATTGTCTGCAGTAAATAGGATGAAATTCAATACGGACAAATGCAAAGTACTCCACTTAGGAAAGAACTATCAGTTGCACACATACAAAATGAGAAAAGACTGTCTAAGGCAGAGGTCACCAACCAGTAGATCGCAATCGACTGATTGATCCTGGAGCCTTTGCCAGTCAATCACAATCTCTGGCTGCTAAAAGTCCGGTGGTGCAGCAGGGCTAAGGCAGGCTCCCTGCCTTCCCTGGCCCTGCACTGCTCCAGGAAGCAGCCCGCATGCCCGAGGCCCCGGGAGGGAAGGGGTCTCCGTGTGCTGCTCCTGCCTGCAAGCACTGCCCCTGCAGCTCCCATTGGCCGGGAATGGGGAACTGCAGCCAACAGGAACTGCAGGGGTGGTGCCTGCAGAGAGGAGCTGTGCGTGGAGCCCTGTTCTGCCCCCGCCCCCAGGCGCCACAGGGGCATAATGGCCACTTTTGGGTATGGCGTGGGGCTGGGGCAGGCAGGAAACCTGCCTTAGCCCCACTGCACCATCAACTGGGAGCCGCTCGAGATAAGTGCTGCCCGGCAGGAGCCTGCACCCCAAACCCCTAGCCCTAAGCCCCCTCCTGGAGCCAGCACCCCATACCCCCTCCGGCTCTCCAACACTCACCCCAGCCTGGAGCCCTCTCCTGCACCCAACTCCCTCCTAGAGCCTGCATCCCCTCCTGCATCCCAACACTCTGCCCCAGGCTCAGCCCAGAGCCCCCTCCCACACTCCAAACCTCTCAGCCCCAGCCTAGAGCCCACACCCCCTCCCAAACCCCAACCCCAGCCCAGTGAAAGTGAGTGAGGGTGGGGGATAGCAAGTGACAGAGGGAGGGGGATGGAGTGAGCAGAGCGGGGCCTCGGGGAAGGGGATGGGTAGGTCCTGGGTTGCACTTAAATTAAAAAAAAAGGGATCTTGTGCATAAAAAGGTTGGAGGCCACTGGCCGAAGGAGTACTGCAGAAAGGAATCCGGGGGTCATAGTTAATCAGAAGTTAAACATGAGTCAACAGTGTAACACTGTTGCAAAAACAAAGAAACAAAAAAACCATTCTGGGATGTATTAGCAGGAGTGGTGTGAGCAAGGCCCGAGAAGTATTTCTTCTGCTCTCCTCCGTGCTGATTAAGCCTCAACTGGAGTATTGTGTCCAATTCTGGGCGCCACATTTCAGGAGGGATGTGGACAACTGGAGAAAGTCCAGAGAAGAGTAACAAAAATGATTAAAGGTCTAGGAAACATGACCTACGAGGGAAGATTGAAAGAATTGGGTTTGTACAGTTTGGAAAAGAGAAGACTGAGAGGGGACAGGATAACAATTTTCAAGTATGTGAAAGGCTGTTACAAGGAGGAGGGGGAGGAGAATTGTTCTTCTTAACCTCTGAGGGCAGGACAAGAAGCAAGGGGCTTAACTGGCAGCGAGGGCGGTTTCGGTTGGACTTCAGGAAAAACTTCCCGTCAGGGTGGTTAAGCGCGGGAAGACGCTGCCTCGGGAGGCTGTGGAATCGCCAGCGGTGGGGATTTTTAAGAGCAGGTTGGACAAACGCCGGCCAGGGATGCGCTCGGTCAGACGTAGCCCCGCCAGGCGCGCAGGGGACTCGATGACCTCTCCAGTCTCCGGGCCTACGCCCCAGCAGCGCCCGCGGGTGGGGGCGAGAGAGGTAACGCACGATGCCTTCGCCCAGGGACGGGGGAGGGGAGAACCGACACCGCTGCCTCCCGCGTAGCGCTTGGGCCCTCTCCGCCCCTCCCCGTTACCTGGCCGCTCCGTCACCCCTGCCCAGTCCGGGCGTCCCGGCCCCGGAAGCGGAAGTCGCCGTCGGAGATTGGCTCCGACAGGGAACGCTACCGGGCGCGTAGGTTCCGGGAGCTTTTCCTGCCCCGCTGCCGATCGCTCCGAGCCGGCGCCGAGGCCCCGCCCCGTTTCGCCGGAGCTGTAGCCGCCGTTCTTGGAGGCGAGTCCCGGGTTCCCAGCCCCGGTGCCTCGCGGCCCTGGGCCGGGGCACGAGTGGAGGGAGAGGCGGAAATAGCCAATGAGCGCGGGCGCTTGTTGGGGGGAGGGAGCGGCCCAGTGGCCAGGTGCGATGCGGCGCTGCAGGGCTGGCCGCAGAGGAGGCAGGAAGGGGACGGGAGAGGGGGCGGCAGGTACCGGGGGCAGCGGGCAGGGAGAGGGGGCGCCGCCGCCGCCGCTCCTCGCTGTAGCCGTGGGGCGGGGCCGGCAGAAGGTCAGACCCGGACCCTCCCGCAGGCGGTGCTGGGCACGGGCGGGCCCCTCTGCTCGCGGGACAGCCTGGGCCCCCGTTGTCCGCACAGGTGCGAGAGCGGCTGAGACACCGGCACCCCGCGGGCTGCGGGGCCCCCGTGCTGGCACCTGCCACGGCACTCGGGACCGCCACCCGCGTAGACCCCTCGTCGGGGACCCCTGCCCCACATAGACCCTCGGGGACCCCGCCCGCCTCCCTCTCTCATAGACCCGTTCCCCTGCCACTCGGGGACCCCTTTCTCTGCCCCGCATAGACCCCTTCCCCTGCCACCCGGGGACCCCTTCCTCTACCCCGCATAGACCCCTTCCCCTGCCACTCCGGGGACCCCTTCCTCTACCCCGCATAGACCCCTTCCCCTGCCACCCGGGGACCCCTTCCTCTACCCCGCATAGACCCCTTCCCCTGCCACCCGGGGACCCCTTCCTCTACCCCGCATAGACCCCTCCCCCTGCCACTCGGGGACCCCTTCCTCTACCCCGCATAGACCCCTTCCCCTGCCACCCGGGGACCCCTTCCTCTACCCCGCATAGACCCCTTCCCCTGCCACCCGGGGACCCCTTCCTCTACCCCGCATAGACCCCTCCCCATGGCACCCTCCGGGGACCCCTTCCTCTACCCCCATAGACCCCTTCCCCTCCACCCGGGGACCCCTTCCCCTGCCACCCGGGGACCCTTCCTCTCCCCCAAACCCCCCCCTTCCTCTACCCCGCATAGACCCCTTCCCCTGCCACCCGGGGACCCCTTCCTCTACCCCGCATAGACCCCTTCCCCTGCCACCCGGGGACCCCTTCCTCTACCCCGCATAGACCCCTTCCCCTGCCACCCGGGGACCCCTTCCTCTACCCCGCATAGACCCCTTCCCCTGCCACCCGGGGACCCCTTCCTCTACCCCGCATAGACCCCTTCCCCTGCCACCCGGGGACCCCTTCCTCTACCCCGCATAGACCCCTTCCCCTGCCACCCGGGGACCCCTTCCTCTACCCCGCATAGACCCCTTCCCCTGCCACCCGGGGACCCCTGCCACCCGGGGACCCCTTCCTCTACCCCGCATAGACCCCCTTCCCCTGCCACCCGGGGACCCCTTCCTCTACCCCGCATAGACCCCTTCCCCTGCCACCCGGGGACCCCTTCCTCTACCCCGCATAGACCCCTTCCCCTGCCACTCCGGGACCCCTTCCTCTACCCCGCATAGACCCCTTCCCCTGCCACCCGGGGACCCCTTCCTCTACCCCGCATAGACCCCTTCCCCTGCCACCCGGGGACCCCCTTCCTCTACCCCGCATAGACCCCTTCCCCTGCCACCCGGGGACCCCTTCCTCTCCCCCTTCCTCTACCCCGCATAGACCCCTTCCCCTGCCACCCGGGGACCCCTTCCTCTACCCCGCATAGACCCCTTCCCCTGCCACTCGGGGACCCCTTCCTCTACCCCGCATAGACCCCTTCCCCTGCCACCCGGGGACCCCCTCTCCCCGCATAGACCCCTTCCCCTGCCACCCGGGACCCCTTCCTCTCCCCCACCCCCTAACCCCTTCCCCTGCCACCCGGGGACCCCTTCCTCTGCCCCGCATAGACCCCTTCCCCTGCCACCCGGGGACCCCTTCCTCTACCCCGCATAGACCCCTTCCCCTGCCACCCGGGGACCCCTTCCTCTACCCCGCATAGACCCCTTCCCCCTGCCACCCGGGGACCCCTTCCTCTCCCCCCCCTTCCTCTACCCCGCATAGACCCCTTCCCCTGCCACCCGGGGACCCCTTCCTCTCCCCGCATAGACCCCTTCCCCTGCCACCCGGGGACCCCCTTCCTCTACTCCGCATAGACCCCTTCCCCTGCCACCCGGGGACCCCTTCCTCTACCCCGCATAGACCCCTTCCCCTGCCACCCGGGGACCCCTTCCTCTACCCCGCATAGACCCCTTCCCCTGCCACTCGGGGACCCCTTCCTCTACCCCGCATAGACCCCTTCCCCTGCCACTCGGGGACCCCTTCCTCTACCCCGCATAGACCCCTTCCCCTGCCACTCGGGGACCCCTTCCTCTACCCCGCATAGACCCCTTCCCCTGCCACTCGGGGACCCCCTCCCTCCCGCTACCCCTTCCCCTGCCACCTCCCACCCCGCATAGACCCCTTCCCCTGCCACTCGGGGACCCCTTCCTCTGCCCCGCATAGACCCCTTCCCCTGCCACCCGGGGACCCCTTCCTCTGCCCCGCATAGACCCCTTCCCCTGCCACCCGGGGACCCCTTCCTCTGCCCCGCATAGACCCCTTCCCCTGCCACCCGGGGACCCCTTCCTCTACCCCGCATAGACCCCTTCCCCTGCCACCCGGGACCCCTTCCCCTGCCACCCGGGGACCCCTTCCTCTACCCCGCATAGACCCCTTCCCCTGCCACCCGGGGACCCCTTCCTCTACCCCGCATAGACCCCTTCCCCTGCCACCCGGGGACTCCTTCCTCTACCCCGCATAGACCCCTTCCCCTGCCACCCGGGGACCCCTTCCTCTACCCGCATACCCCTTCCCTGACCCCTTCCTCTACCCCGCATAGACCCCTTCCCCTGCCACCCGGGGACCCCTTCCTCTGCCCCGCATAGACCCCCTCCCCTGCCACCCGGGGACCCCCTCCCCTGCCACCCGGGGACCCCTTCCTCTACCCCGCATAGACCCCTTCCCCTGCCACCCGGGGACCCCTTCCTCTACCCCGCATAGACCCCTTCCCCTGCCACCCGGGGACCCCTTCCTCTACCCCGCATAGACCCCTTCCCCTGCCACCCGGGGACCCCTTCCTCTACCCCGCATAGACCCCTTCCCCTGCCACCCGGGGACCCCTTCCTCTACCCCGCATAGACCCCTCCCCTGACCCCCTCCCCTGCCACCCGGGGACCCCTTCCTCTACCCCGCATAGACCCCTTCCCCTGCCACCCGGGGACCCCTTCCTCTACCCCGCATAGACCCCTTCCCCTGCCACCCGGGGACTCCTGCCCCCCTCCCTCTCTCATAAACCCGTTCTCCTGCCACTCGGGGACCCCTTCCTCTACCCTGCATAGACCCCTCCCCATGGCACTCGGGAACCCCTTCTCCTGGCACTCGGGGACTCCTGCCCGCCTCCCTCTCTCATAGACCTCTCCCCATAGCACTCGGGGACCCCTTCCTCTACCCCGCATAGACCCGTTCCCCTGGCACTCGGGGACTCCTGCCCGCCTCCCTCTCTCATAAACCCGTTCCCCTGCCACTCGGGGACCCCTTCCTCTACCCTGCATAGACCCGTTCCCCTGGCACCCGAGGACCCTTTCCTCTACCCCGCATAGACCCCTCCCCATGGCACCCGGGGACCGCTTCCTCTACCCCGCATGGACCCGTTCCCCTGCCACTCGGGGACCCCTTCCTCTACCCCGCATAGACCTGTTCCCCTGCCACCCGGGGACCCCTCCCCATGGCACTTGGGGACCCCTGCCCGCCTCCCTCTCTCATAGACCCCTCCCCATGGCACTCGGGGACCCCTTCCTCTACCCCGCATAGACCCCTCCCCATGGCACTCGGGGACCCCTTCCTCTACCCCTCATAGACCCGTTCCCCTGGCACTCAGGGACCCCTTCTCACTCCCCTTCTGTGTAGAAGACCCTTCCCCATGGGCACTCGGAAACCTTCCTCATTACAGACACTTTTCTCCTCTGGAGCTCTCACTTACTGACATCACAGTCCCCAAAAGAGACAGGGATCTAGCTCAGGAACCCTGCTCCCAAGGCATGCAGCAATAGTTGCGAGAAAAGAATGGAATTTGGCAGGATAAGTACACATGCTGATTGATAGAGACATTTCTGTATCTACGGGTTATGTAACCTCTCTGTTATGTTCACATACACACTGACAATCTCCTACAGAAAGAGCGATACAGAGTCGGAAGGAGGTCTGCGCCATACAGATCTCTATGGAGATACCCTCTTAATGTACACACTATACACATGTATGGTAATTGTGCTGATACTCAAATCTAGAGAGAGAACAGGTTTTTCTTAAGTGATTGGATTACTGGGTCTCAGTATACCATCAAATATTTGTTTTCTCAGGAAGAGTTGGGAAACATGAAATTCTGGAATCTACAGTAAAAGGTAAGTGGAAGTTTGGCATTTCTTGGGGCAGAGATTCTCTAATGTAATTACTGTTTTATTCCCTTAGCTGATTGCCACTAGGGAATGTGTGAAGAGAACGATTAACAGGTACTGTAGTAAGAAGACTCATAATGGCAACCTTTGTGTGCCATTTTTAGGAGTTAATTACATTTTCACCTGGTTAGTGCAAATTGTTTTTCCCTTCATGATTGAGTGTGTAGTCCTTGCTTTTTGTTCTAATCTGAGAAGTAACTGGTAAGCAGTGTAATCATTACTAAATTGTAGATTTTGCTATAATGCCATTTCTTGTGGCAGTGTACACATTGAAATTATTTACCACATTTTGCTTTGTATGGGCATAAGCCTGGGTTTGTAGTATGATATTGACCAATTTTAAAATGGGTTTACTTAGTAGAATCTTCTATTAGTATGTAAATATTTTATTTATTTTGGGATTTCAAATTTTGCTTGTGTTATTAAGGTGCTCAAGTAGAGAGTGAAGACTGGAGTTTTAGTAGGAATGCCATTATCATCATATTAATAGTGAAACTGTTCCGGGTAGAAAGCCAACGGATTAATCTAGACTGTCTCTACCTGGTTTCAGAGATTAATATTTTTCACTGTGAGATAAAATCTGCAAGATCCAGGGCTGCCTCTTTTGTTCTGTGGATGCAGTGTCAGAGCAGGGGGAGGCAAACATGTTTGCTTTCTTTGGTTGGGTTTTTCATAGCTTGGAAAGTGAAGGTTTTGAATACATAAGGAGAGGTTCATTTATCTCTACCTGTGAAATACTTCCCTTCCTATTGTAGCGAGTGAATGTTGTTGGGGACTTGCCTCAGGTTCATTACTGCTGAGGATTGTTGTTTCCCTCAAGGAGAGAAATTTGCAGGTGATCTTTAAACATGTTGTATTCCAGCCTTGGTTTTTAATCTTCCCTTTGAGGGGAAAATTATGATGAGCTTCTGATTTCTTGGAACTTTTTTGATTCTGCATTCATGGGGTTCTGTGTGCTTAAAGAAATATTAACTCCTAAATTGTATGAAATTGAACTGTTCAAGTGTTTCTTGTATGCTCTAGAAATAGCTATAAAGTAGTGATGATCATTTTCTGAAAACAATACACTTATTCTCCAAATAACCATTTTATCTGTTATAAAGGTACAAGAACATGTATAACTAGGATTTTGAACTTGAAAAACAGTTTAGCAGTTTTTAATATAAAGCCATTGTTTATGTTGGCAGAGAGATTGGAATGAGAGAGAACACTAGTGATATCAAAATATACTTAAACAACGAGGAGTCCAGTGGCACTGTAAAGACTAACAGATTTATTTGGGGATAAGCTTTCGTGGGTAAAAATCCCCACTTCTTCAGATGCAATGAAAGCTTATGCCCAAATAAATCTGTTAGTCTTTAAGGTGCCACCGGACTCTTCATTGTTTTTGTGGATACAGACTAACACGGCTACCCCTCTGATACTTGGCAAAATATACTTAAGCATTTTTCTTATTAATGGAATCCTGGCTTGGTTTCTAGACTTTAAATGTAAGGTTCTGTGCGGTAGAACAGCACTTTTATATAAGTAGAATGTTGTTATCCAGCACAACCATACCATATGAAATTCTTACCTGAATAAAGCTGTAGTAGCAGATTATGGAGCAGAAAATGTACAAACCTTGAGCAGAGCCCAGGCACAATAATCATAGAGAGTTCATAAACTTTCTACATTCTTATAAGAGGTGCTTTGGTTTATCTACCACAGCAAAAGGTTAACCTCTTGTAAGAGAACTTCTTATGCTGCAATTAGCATTCTTCTGCCAGCTGTGGGTTCTTGTGTCAGACCTAATGTGTTTGAGTGCAAGGTTTCTTTTTTCTGATCAGTGGGAGCAGACAGAGAAGACAGAGATGGTATACTGGAAATACTTTCTTTGGTACATACTGTTCTAAACTCTTGTGTACAGCTATGGTACTATATGAACAATAATAAATACGCAGCTAGAAGGATATAATTACCCAACAAATGATGCGGCTGCTTTCAAACTCAAATACAATATCACATTCTTTGCTTTATGCCCATCTAATGTAATGTAATTGTACTCTGCACAATGCTTGAACTGAATTCCCCCTCAATGTCAGTTTATTCTCCTGCTATGAAATATCCTTCATTGGTAACTTAGCCCTCCCAAAAAACCTCTGGGTCACATTTGAAAATACTAATAGATGTAAAATTCACCAACAATTATTTTCACTAAGGGATTTTCCACACCCCCCCCCCATTGTCTGAGTTGACTCACTGGCACAGAACTGCATCCCCCTTCCCCCACCCGTTTACCATGAAAGTAGGAATTTTTAATTTCAGTAATTCCTTTCCCTGGTCCTTGCTGCTCTAGTCTCCAGGCAGCCCAGTTTGCTACTTATGCTTCTAGTTCCCCTCGTTCTCTGGCTGCAAGGTGCCCTCCAGGTCTGGTTCCCTGACTCCTTGCTACCTGAGTCCATAGAACAATGCAGGGAGCTCACACTGTAATCCGGTACTCCCCTTTTGGCAGCTGCAAACCTGTCCTAGCAGAGCAGGGATACAGAAAACAAAATGTCAGGTGATTGGCTGCTGCAAAATGGTGAATGCTGTTGCAAAAATCCTGAATTCTGTGGCTTCTTGGAAAATGCCAAATTCTATGGCTGAAAAATAGGTTCATATTTGGAAGGTTATCTTCAAAACTATTATTTTTTAAAACTAGGTTTCTGTTTATTAAAATAAAAATTCTGCAGAAGTTGATGGCATTTACTCAGGAAAGCTTTCTAATTACCCCGGGTGAGAGTCCACTGGATTTTTGTGGACTTAAAAAAAGCAGATTTTGTGATGGAAATATCTTAGGTTAACTTATCATAAGTTTAAGATTGATTATTTTTTAATGGTGAAAATGTATCAAATATAATTTCTTACAGCTTTTTTGGACTTTGACCTGCTAATTAAATGTTAAGTATCTTTAAGTACAGAGGACTGTTCTTGTATGGGTGATATCAGTTATACTGGTATAATTTAGTCATATGTTATAGATGCATAACTAACACTGCAGCAATATATGGAGACTCATGACAATTAGTTGAAATAACTGGAAGAAAGTGGGAGGAGTTCTTCCAAACAAATGTGGGTGAGGGTTGGAACGGATAAGTCACCAAATGTCTCAGTGTGTGCTACCAAAGTAGGAGACACACTTAGAAATGAGCAAAATACTCGGCTTTGAGTTTTGATACTATCTTAGATTTAGTAAAAGCCAAGGTGGGAGGTTTTCAGAGAAGGAATTGCAAAGTGTTTTAAAAAATTGGGATTTGCCACCTTTTAGAGCTTTGGAGGAGGACATCCTATGTGTATTAAAGAAAAACCTATGTATAATATTCTTTTTTCTAATAATTGGTATACGCAAAATGGCTAATCAAGAATTAATTAGATATCAACTGACATGTTTAAAATTAATTGATTTTATATTTGGCTAAACACAAATCTCCATGTTGAGATACTGACATGATGAGATTTGAATTTTGAGATCAGCCTCTCCTTATTTGCTTTGAATCCTTGGTCTCTCCTGTCAAATGACATACTTGGGCTAGCCAGTAATTTAAAAATACTTGATTCTGGGAATATACTTGTATAACTCCTGTGTATCAAGATGAGACTCTGTATCTCAAATGGATACTTAGATACAGATTCAATGCAATATTAGCTTACTGCATCTTGTTCAGGGAAAAGGTTTTCTAACTAAATTGGAAAAGGTATTAGAGTCCCTTTTTAATTAGTTATTAAAATAATAATGAGGCTAGCAGACCTAAATTTAGCCTACCAGCCAACATTGTTTTGACGTGTGGGTCTTTACATGACCAGGTATGTGCATGTCACTGCATCTCTACGATCTGTCTGCTCTATTCTGGTGAGCAGCAGGATATTAAGAAACACAAAAATCTTGCTCTTCAAGATCTGTGTATACAATCTATATTGGGAGTCATGGGTTTCCAATCCCTTGGGTGGTACATCTCTAATTTTGGGAACCATGAGTTTGTGCAGATGCCTGACCTAAAGTGAGTTATTCCTGCAGGGAATGAAATGAAAAAGCATTGAGCTACTCATATGTCAGATGTTTGCAGTGTTCACAATCAATTGCTTTAATTACAGGAGAAGGATCTGTGTTTATGCCATGGGGCAAAGGGTAGTGGACGCTAATAATATATACTTGCACTACTTCAAAGGTTATGTTAACTGTATTACTGTGTGTGTGTCTTTTTAGCTTGGAGTTTCCTTTGGAATGTTTTATTTGTATGTTGGTTTGTGTGGCAAGTCATTCCTTCCTCTCGGAGAGAGTCTGTGCAAGGAACTGTATATTGCAGCTAGGATTCATAACTCTATTTTAAAGTAGATTAGTTGGTTGATGCTAATAGTGATTCTTTTTTGTGCAGTTTCTTATCACAAATTGAATGAGTAGGATAAAGAAGGCCTCTACCCAGATGTTTGAGTGCATCTGAGGATTCTTGTGTTGAAACATGGAGAGTGACAGGTACTGTTCTTTACTTGTGTTAAATGTGCTGTGGTTCTAGTGGTAATAATACAGTATCTTGTACTTAATCAGCTAAGGATCTCAAAGCACTTTATAAAAGTATATAGTAAGTATATCCCAGTCTTACAGATTAGGAATTCGGATATGAGGTACTAAGTGTTTTGCTCAAGGTCACACATTGGGCAATAGAAATGAGGGCAATAGAAATGAGGGGTGAAATCTTGGCTCCATTGAAGTCAATGATTGTTTTTACCATTGATTTCATTGGTATCGGCATTTCACACTAGGTCTCCAAGCTCCTGTTCTAACCACTAGACATACTGCCTTGCTGAAAGTACCTGAAAGTAATATTCAGCAGGTATCAATAATAAATGCTTTTTGTGCCATAGCCCTGACATATGTTTGTTGTTGTAGAACAGTAGTAGTACAAGCAGTTTCCAAGTATAGCATTTATTTT